AGGGGAACGACCTGCCACCTGCTCCACCAGTGTGACGACCTGCCACCTGCTCCTCCAGGGTGACGACCTGCCACCCGCTCCTCCAGTGTGACGACCTGCCACCTGCTCCACCAGTGTGACGACCTGCCACCCGCTCCTCCAGTGTGACGACCTGCCACCCGCTCCTCCAGTGTGACGACCTGCCACCCGCTCCACCAGGGTGACGACCTGCCACCCGCTCCACCAGGGTGACGACCTGCCACCCGCTCCACCAGGGGGACGACCTGCCACCCGCTCCACCAGGGGGACGACCTGCCACCCGCTCCACCAGGGGGACGACCTGCCACCCGCTCCACCAGTGTGACGACCTGCCACCCGCTCCACCAGGGTGACGACCTGCCACCCGCTCCACCAGGGTGACGACCTGCCACCTGCTCCACCAGTGTGACGACCTGCCACCTTCTCCACCAGTGTGACGACCTGCCACCTGCTCCTCCAGGGGGCCGACCTGCCACCTGCTCCACCAGGGGGCCGACCTGCCACCTGCTCCTCCAGGGTGACGACCTGCCACCTGCTCCACCAGGGTGACGACCTGCCACCCGCTCCACCAGGGTGACGACCTGCCACCTGCTCCACCAGTGTGACGACCTGCCACCCGCTCCACCAGGGTGACGACCTGCCACCTGCTCCTCCAGGGTGACGACCTGCCACCTGCTCCACCAGGGTGACGACCTGCCACCCGCTCCTCCAGTGTGACGACCTGCCACCCGCTCCACCAGTGTGACGACCTGCCACCCGCTCCACCAGTGTGACGACCTGCCACCCGCTCCACCAGTGTGACGACCTGCCACCTGCTCCACCAGTGTGACGACCTGCCACCCGCTCCACCAGGGTGACGACCTGCCACCCGCTCCACCAGGGGGACGACCTGCCACCCGCTCCTCCAGGGTGACGACCTGCCACCCGCTCCTCCAGGGTGACGACCTGCCACCCGCTCCACCAGGGTGACGACCTGCCACCCGCTCCACCAGGGTGACGACCTGCCACCCGCTCCACCAGTGTGACGACCTGCCACCTGCTCCACCAGTGTGACGACCTGCCACCTGCTCCACCAGTGTGACGACCTGCCACCTGCTCCACCAGGGGCCGACCTGCCACCTGCTCCTCCAGGGGCTTGACCTGCCACCCGCTCCTCCAGTGTGACGACCTGCCACCTGCTCCTCCAGGGGGCCGACCTGCCACCTGCTCCTCCAGTGTGATGACCTGCCACCTGCTCCACCAGGGTGACGACCTGCCACCTGCTCCTCCAGTGTGACGACCTGCCACCTGCTCCACCAGGGGCTTGACCTGCCACCTGTTCCACCAGCGGGACGACCTGCCACCTGCTCCACCAGTGTGACGACCTGCCACCTGCTCCTCCAGTGTGACGACCTGCCACCTGCTCCTCCAGGGTGACGACCTGCCACCTGCTCCACCAGGGTGACGACCTGCCACCTGCTCCACCAGGGGGACGACCTGCCACCTGCTCCACCAGGGGGACGACCTGCCACCTGCTCCACCAGGGGGACGACCTGCCACCTGCTCCACCAGGGGCTTGACCTGCCACCTGCTCCTCCAGTGTGACGACCTGCCACTCGCTCCACCAGTGTGACGACCTGCCACCTGCTCCACCAGGGTGACGACCTGCCACCTGCTCCACCAGTGGGACGACCTGCCACCTGCTCCACCAGTGTGACGACCTGCCACCCGCTCCACCAGTGTGACGACCTGCCACCCGCTCCACCAGGGTGACGACCTGCCACCCGCTCCACCAGGGGCTTGACCTGCCACCTGCTCCTCCAGGGTGACGACCTGCCACCTGCTCCACCAGGGTGACGACCTGCCACCTGCTCCTCCAGTGTGACGACCTGCCACTCGCTCCACCAGTGTGATGACCTGCCACCTGCTCCTCCAGGGTGACGACCTGCCACCTGCTCCACCAGGGTGACGACCTGCCACCTGCTCCACCAGGGTGACGACCTGCCACCTGCTCCACCAGGGTGCCGACCTGCCACCTGCTCCACCAGGGTGACGACCTGCCACCTGCTCCACCAGTGTGACGACCTGCCACCCGCTCCACCAAGGGGCCGACCTGCCACCTGCTCCACCAGGGTGACGACCTGCCACCTGCTCCACCAGTGTGACGACCTGCCACCTGCTCCACCAGTGTGACGACCTGCCACCTGCTCCACCAGTGTGACGACCTGCCACCCGCTCCACCAGGGGGCCGACCTGCCACCTGCTCCACCAGGGTGACGACCTGCCACCTGCTCCTCCAGTGTGACGACCTGCCACCTGCTCCACCAGGGTGACGACCTGCCACCTGCTCCTCCAGTGTGACGACCTGCCACCTGCTCCTCCAGTGTGACGACCTGCCACCTGCTCCACCAGTGTGACGACCTGCCACCTGCTCCACCAGGGTGACGACCTGCCACCTGCTCCACCAGTGTGACGACCTGCCACCTGCTCCACCAGGGTGACGACCTGCCACCTGCTCCTCCAGTGTGACGACCTGCCACCTGCTCCACCAGGGTGACGACCTGCCACCTGCTCCACCAGGGTGACGACCTGCCACCTGCTCACACTGGTGACCAGCTGGGGCCGCTCTGCTTTCCTCCACCAGGGGGACGACCTGTCACCTGCTCACACCTGTGACCGGCTGGGGCATTTCCACATGGACGTGCCTCAGATCGAAAGCTCCCAATAACCCATCCATAACAGCAACAGGAACTTTGCAAGTAACTGCTAGCGACATCTGGAGTCACAAACTTTTGGGCTGATAGAAGCTCAAGCTAATAAACCACACAAAATGTAGATCACCATTAGAACAGCCGCATTCCAAAGTCGCCTTGGGTTAGCTTCAAGGTCACAATGAAGAGGACTCCTCATCTCGGGCTTGTTTGCTGAGGATGCGTTTGTTCTCTTGCCCCAACTGTGTTTCCTCAGTGACAGGGCCCTCTCTCACTGTACAGTAACTGCACGGCGCTGTGGTAGGTGCAGTGAAAATGGGTGTGAATACTCTGGGGGAAGAAAGGAAGTTACTGAGATTCCTCGGATGCTGAAGATAGACACAGCCACCTGAGTCAGAAAACACAACATGGACACGGTTTTGGTCTGCTGGAGTGGATAACAACTTGGTGTGTAAGAAACCCATGAAGCTTTTAAAGCAATTTTACTAGATAGACTTTAAAGGACTGGAAATGTTCAAAGTGTAAAGAGGTCTTTGAACCTTCAACCTTCCCTGAAGAGGACGCAGGCAGAGAAGATGGCATTTGAAAGCGTGGGCCACTTCCAAGGAAATGTGAGGGTGAGGGAGAAGCAAAAGAGAGAAAGGCTGAGGGTGTGGCTCCGCTGGTAGGTACTTGCTTAGCAAGCGTAAGACCCCAAATTTAAGTCTCAGTATCACACACACACACCCCAGAAAAACTTTTCCTTTGCATTCACAACTTGGTCATCTGCATCATTGGCTGAGTTTTTGTTCTCCAAGCTCCTATTTTGACTTTTTTTTTGGCCTATCCTGGGGCTTGAACTCAGGGTCTGGGAGCTACAATTTTCCCTCAAGTCTAGTGCTCTACTTCTTTGAGCCACAGCACCACTTCCTGTTTTTCTGGTGTTTAATTGGATAAGAGTCCCACGAACTTTCCTGCTTTCCTGTGATTATCAAGTCTTTATACATACACATTTCCTATCACTATGAAAATTATTTCTTCTAGTCTACCACTTATTCTTTTAACTTTGTAGTCCCCTGTCAGATGACCTTAAAATTTTCTGTCAAGTACATGTCCTAAGTTTTCAGTTAGAAATCATAATTCTCTAAGGTTGCATAAGGCTTTTCTTTAAATGTTTCTTTCTGAACTGTTTCAGTTGTTTTGCAATTTTTTTTTTTTTTTTGGTTCTGTCGTGGGCCTGGGCGCTGTCCCTCAGCTCTTCAGCTCAAGGCTAGTGCTCTACCACTTGAGCCACAGTGCTACTTCCAGCTTTTTTTTTCCTTCTGCTTATGTGGTGCTGAGGAATCGAACCCAGGGCTTCATGCATGCAAGGCAAGTTCTCTACCACTGAACCACTTTCCCAACCCTGTTTTGCAATTTTTGTTGTTGTTGTTGGTAGTGGGGCTTGAACTCAGGGCCTGAGCGCTGTACCTGAGCTTTTCCCACTCAAGGCTAGCACTCTAGCACCTGAGTCACAGCACCATTTCTGGTTTTCTAGTGGTTAATTAGCGATAAGAGTCTTGTGGACTTTCCTGCCTGGCTGGCTTTGAACGCTGATCCTCAGATCTCAGCCTTCTGGGTAGCTAGGATTACAGGCATGGACCACTGGCCCTCAGCATACATTTTTTTTTCCTTTTAAAGAAGGATGTACAACAAGGGTACAGAGCAGGCAAGAAGAATGCAGAGGTGACTATCTTACACAGCAAGTGAGCAGGAAAATATCTGTACTCTGGAGAGCTGCAGTGCTGTGATCTTGTAACAAAAGCTACATTCTCAGAAAATACAGACTTTAAAAATGTATTTTGCGGGCAGGGAAGGTGGCTCAGTGGTAGAGTGCTTGCCTTGCATGCATAAGGCCCTGGGTTTGATTCCTCAGCATCATATAGCAGAAAAAGCTGGAAGTGGTACTGTGGCTCAAGTGGTAGAGCGCTAGCCTTGAGCTAAAGAGCTGAGGGACAGCGCCCAGGCCCAGAGTTCAGAGTTCAGGCATCACAACCAGAAAAAAAAAAATATTTTGCTGTACCCAATGAAAATTCACATATATGCATACCATTGTATACTTACCTACACATTTCAATTATTTTTATTCCCACCTGTTGTGAATAACACCACCTATTAAGTAAAAGACTAGAAAAGAAACAAGGAATAAGAGGGTCTTTGAGGAACTACCTTGGTGAAATGTGAACACAGAAACTTTCCATTTGAAAGTGTCACATACTCAAAATCAACTAAAGTGGCACAAGTATTACTTAAAACAATAGCATGCCAGAAAAGTAACTGCATGATTATTTATTTAAAATATTATGACTCTGAATGTAAATACATATGATCTTACATAATTTATGGTTTATTCATATAAATCCTCATTAAAATGCTTCATAGTTTCTTTCCCAATGCCTTTTGTCCTAGCAAGCACAACAGTAAAATGTCTATCTCATTGAACAATAGTGTTTAAAGCCTTTTGAATCTTGATTTGTGAAGAAATCACAGAAAAATACCTTAAGCTAACTACAGCAAACAGCAGAATTGTTTGCGATGTTGTCACAGATTTCCCCATGGAATATGCTAGTGCGTGACCCACTGTGCAAATAAACTCTCTGTATAATGACAGTGTTATCACTGCAACCTGCTCAATACATTTAAAATTATGAAATACAATTTACAAAATCTTTAGCAATATACTTTTATAACAAAAGTATCCTGAGGATATTACAAAATTCATTTTGCCAGCCCTTCATTTCTTTGCTTTATTTGACTCTTTCATTTTCAATATAACAACTGTCCATATTTCATTACATAAAAATGCTCTTAATTTATAGTTCCAACCAAACAAAATAAATTTAGGCTAAACAGCATACAATACTTCCGTATATACTTAGTTGTTTCTACCTCAGTCTCCTTTGTTAAGATCAAGTATTTATCAAGTTTCCTAAAATTCTGAATCAGAAAGGGAATAGCACAAAACAGACAGAAATAGAATAAGCATAGTTAAGTTAAAAACATTGTGCATTTTAAATATTTTGGTCATATTTAATAATAAAATAATATATTTTGGCAAAATAATAAAATATAAGGTTTATTTTCTATTAATGGTAGCTCTGGGGGGCATTTTACATTTGTGAATACTATCTACTGACTCTTTTCACATTTGTTTCTAAAAACACTGCTATAAGGTTTTCAGAACTGTGAGAATGAAAGCACCTAAAAATGTGAGAAATAAGGTAAAAATAAAATTTAAGTGTTTGATGCTCAAAACTCTGACAAACTCACAAACTTACTCGTAAGTATAAGTATCAACAGAAAATATTTCCTAGTAAGATTTGTTTTACTCAGTGTAATCTTTAAAATAATACTCTTGGAAGTCTGAAGATTTATTTTAATAAAATGAGGATGGGAATTCAAAAAAAGTAATGGAAAAACATAGTTGCTAAAGAAGTTGCTATTCTGATAGCAGTCATTATGGCACAAAAACACATGAAAATTTTGTAGATTTGTACATATAGATATACACACACGTATATATATGTGTGTGTATATATATATATATATATGTATATATATATATATATGTATATACTATATATATGAAACTAAATTCAAACAAGATGTGTAACACACACACACACACAAACAGTTACACACATACAGCTGGGCTCCTGAGGGCACTGTTGAGAACCTGACACTTAATAAACCACTCGGCTCCTTAATCACCCAAGTCCCAAGGACAGTTTCAACAGAGATTTAATTATGTGTCTGATTCTTACTCAAATATTGATCCGTCACTAATTAAGGGAAGAGTTAGAGAGGTATAAGTCCGATAAAAGAAGTGAGAACATTGCAAATTAAGTGATATGGATTATGTGCAACTGCCTTTACTTAATGTCATGCAGAGGTATTTGCAGAAGTGTGTCACCAGTAAGAAAACAGAATTCCTTTGACTCTAACACACTATAATAGACTATAAACAGGAATGGTTACCGCACTGCTTATCCATCCTACATTAGGCAATATGATCTAATTTGAGTGACTTTGTTAATTTTTAAGGCATCAGTGCGTGGGAGAAAGCTCCATAGATACAGAAACAAGGAAGCAGTGGCTTATTTGTGGCACAATGGACATTACTTTTGTTGGCCACATCCATCAAACAAGTAATAAGTTATAAGCTTTTCTGCTACAGCACAAGTTTTGCATCATTTTTTAACACCTCATTAAAGGGACTAAACTGGTCTGGCAGTATCCTCATCTTCATTGTCCCATCAGCTCCACAAGAGAAAATGTGATTTGCTGGTCCCGTCTCAATCTGCATCACACCAGTCCCAATATTCCTAAAAATGGACTGCCGAGCATGTTCACTGATAAAAGTGTGGAGAAGACCAAAGGTAGAAAGACTCCAGATCTGAAAGACATAAAAAACAAAAGGAGAACTGACTTAAGGATCCCAATGAAAACTTAAGCCTGCCTTTCTGTGCAGATAAACGAAGACGGAGGAAAAATCTGTATAGCTTTATGATGACACCTTAACTGTGAACAGGATGTTGCAATTTACCAATTGCTTTAATATTAAATACTTAAAAATATCCATCCAGTGAAAGAGTACGTTAATATTAGCGCAATATTGGAAATGAGAAAGACACAAGGAACAAAATCTTGGAACACTGCAGGGGCATTTTCTCTCAGCAGAGCTTTTGCTGTGCACACACACAGGATGCTGCAGACTGGGGTACAGTGGGATGATCCTCTGCTACAGGAGGGAACGCGCACTCAAGAGATCAGAGCAGCTGCCAGAGGCTCTACCTAACATCTAGAAGCCCTGCAGCCTAAAAAAGCAATGTTCTAATCACAAGACAGTGTCAACTTCAGAATTCTTAATTTACTAAGAGTTTCCTATTTTCAGCTCTATCAAAATAAATGTCCTCTCCTCTCCCTTTCTTTTTTTGTTGTTTTTGGCAGTTAATGGCAAGAACTCTGTACACCTTGAACTTTCTCGCCAAGTGGTATTCATTTGAGCCACACCTCCAATCCCATTTTTTAACATAGGTAGAAGATCTATGCCTTTAGGACGCTGACTTCAGGTTTAGCAAGGCCCGTTTATTTCCTAATGATATTTACAACACTTGGAAGGAAACTTGTCTCTCCAAAATTTGTTTACTCATACTACTCTGTATATGAATTTGTTCAATTATAGCTTCTGAATACATTGTGTATTTTCTATTTTTTTTTTTGCATGGTAAAAGAATGAATCTCAGAATCAGTATACAAAAACTAGAGTTGATCTATACCAAACTACATTTCATTCTAAAGGCCAGATAAGAAACTTGCTGCAAACCAAAGAACAATAACTGTGCTAACAATTATATTTCATTTTGAGAAATGCCTTTTCAAAATTCTACAATTTTAGGTTTTCTGGGCTAAGAATTACGAAAACAATATGCCAGTTATAACAAAGAAGTCCACCTAACTGCACTAAATATGCTACTAGTGCTTAATGAATTCTAAACGAGAAGGCTGCTGACCTTAAAATAGCATGGAGAATCTACTCATCATCAGAGTAGTCTGCTCTGACCTAACCCATTAAGAGAGTATTCTACCCTGCCCTACCCTTGATCCCATTAGGAGAGTAGTCTTGCCCTACCCGTCAGGAATGCAGTATCCACTCTCCTACCTATTACCTGACAAGGTCAAGGGGCTCTCCATCCACACTACTGTGTGGGCATACTGCAGCCCTGGACTTCACAATCCAGTATTTCTTAGGTGAGATCCTTAGCAGTTTTAACAAACTGCTTAACAGTTTGAACAATTTCTCTAAATCTTAAACACAGTAGAGTTTGAAAAAGCCTGCTATAGGCAAGGCTTCTCCAGGTACAGATTTCTTGAATCTGGCATTTAATAGGGAAGAATGTGGATTAAAATTAAAATGATAGCATACTATTCAGTACACCAGAAAATTAAATTCAGTAAATTATATAAGAATATGGAGTCAAGACTTTTTTGGCGTACCAAGATTTGCTCAAGAACTTGTGCCTGGTAGGGAGGTACTTTACCACTTGAGCCAAGTCCTCAGACCTTTTTGCTTTTAGTTATTTTGAATAGGGTCATGCACTAACTGCCTGTGGTAGACTCAAACCATGAGTGATCTTCCTGATCTTTGCCTCTCAAGAAGCTGGGATTACAGGCATGAGCCATCATGGCCAGACTAAACTAACATCTGAAACATCTTTGTATCCATGAAAAATTTTGTCCTTAAGAATGAATAAAACATATTTTAAAACAATTGAGAAATAATAGAAAGTTTTCAAGTTAAATATAATCACACTCATGCCAGGCGCTGGTGGCTCACACCTAGAATCCTAGCTACTCAGGAGGCAGAGTTCTGAGGATTGAAGATTTGAAGCCAACTTGGACAGGAAGTCCAAGAGACTTATCTCCAATTAATCACAGAAAAGACTGCAGGTGGAGCAGTGGCAGAGTACTAGCTTCAAGCTAATGAAGCTAAGGACTAGCACCCAGCACCCAGGCCAAGTTCAAGCCCCAGGGCTGGCAAAAAAAAAAAAAACAAACCCAATTACTTTATATGAATGTATATATAAATATAAAAATCATACTCAGAAGATTTATTAAATAGCAGTTAGTACTGTTGACTACAATAGTAGACTAGTGTCATTAACATGACTTAAAGGCAAAGTTTTCTGAAGAGGTTTTTTGTTTTTGGCATCAGTCCTGGGGCTTAAACTCAAGGCCTGGATGTTATCCCTGAGCTTTTTTGCTCAAGGCCGGCACTCTTGAATCAACAGTTCTGCTTCTGGCTTTTTTTGTTGTTTAACTAGAGATGAGTCTCACAGAGTTTCCTGCCCAGGCTGGCTTTTAACCAAGATCCTCAACTCTCAGCCTCCTGAGTAGTTAGGATGACAGGCGTGAGCCACCGGTGCTGGGCCTTGAGTCTTCCAAGCTGTAGACACTGGGATATCAACTGTGTTTACCTTTATATTGCCTTCTGCCGACCCTGTAACAAAGTACTCTTCAGTTGGATCAATAGCAATAGCTTTAACAGGAGAATCATGACTCTGAAAGAGTTGCCTTTGCTGGCGTTGTCGAAGGTCAAATACACACGTGAAGCCTTTTCTGCCACCGGATATCAGTAGTTGATGTTTGGGAGCATATGCTAAAACAGTGGCTCCACTATCATGGCAGGTAAAAGCTGAAAAATTTTAAAATGAAGTTAAAACCACTGAGCAGTAAAAGAAACAGACTTCTGTGCTTGTGGCTGAAACAGAGGTTTACTTACACCAGGTTTACTTATGCGCGTGAAACAATTTAAAAACAAAACCAAATGAAATCTAAAGAAGCATGATGTGAGATACAGGACATTAGGCACTGAAGAATGACCTGTGGGAGGTGCCCAGAGAGCTTGTTGGCAATAGCACAGGGGGAGCCTGGCTGAACTGCAGCTGAGCAGGGTTGTTACAGGCAAGTGTTGTTACATGCAGTTTCCTGAGGGACAGCTGTGTTGTTGCCCATCTTTTGTCTACAAATAAAGCCTACATAAGCCTTTTCTTAGCACACATTTTCATTTATCTCAGGTACATGTAACACTGTACGCAGGTGTGTCACGCTAGGTTTCTCTAACTTTACTAGAAATTTCAAAGTAACTACACCAGTTTCTGATACTAAATCCTGGTAGGGTTTTCAGGGCTAGAGGCATGGTTCAAGTGGTAGAACAATGGCCTAGCAACCACAAGACCCCACGTTCAAACCTCAGTACCACCACCAAAACAACACAAAACACTTTGAAAACTTACCATGAACTAAGCTATTGGCAGGTGCTACAAGAGTATCCCACAAACATATGTTTCTGGAAAAAACAACAACAACTTTTTGAGAGCTATATCAAGTTCACAGAATAAAAAACATGTCTCATTCTTATTTTTATAGTGATAGTATAACATTTGAACCTTGCTCTCAAAGAAACGTCTTAAATTTATGGAAGCTCCCAAGTACAATTAATCAACAAATTCATATATGAATTTTACACAAAATTTAAAAACTAGTATCCTACAAAACAACTTTAGACTAATGTTGTTACATGTAGTTTATTTGGTAATACCAAATGAGGGCTTTTTGTATTCACTCACTGTCTAATAACTGATGGAAACACCCACATGACAGAAGACACTGAATTTTCCTGAGTATGAAGGAAACTGACTTGTATGATATGTATGGAATTTTTATGGAAGATGGTTGAAGACTTCAGAAGTCAGTTGTCTGTATGAGGAGATGGGGGCTGGAAGACAGACACTGTTTCCAAAACCTGGCCTTTGTTGGAAAGATGAGGTTGCTGTTAACCTGCCACTGTGTAGCTAACAACTCATCCTGAGTTTGTTTTCTTGTAAAAGCAGTAACATGGACCTAATAGAGCCATAGTGAGAACGAACTAAGTTAACTAAATAGTATATCCAATAAATAATAATTCCTTCTGGGCCCAGGTTTTTTGAATACCTATGAAATAATACCAAGAAACATTCGGCCCACTAACAACCATATTCTTCCCTTTTACCCTGAAGTCTTAAACATTAGAACATTAAACTACAGAAGGAATGCATATGAATTTTAGTGGCACCAGAATTTCTCTAGCCTTGCAATCAGGACACTATAAATACTCTAGTGAACAGGTCTTTATAGAAAAAAAAAAAATCCCTTAAAGGCATAAATTTTTTTTTTTGGTTGGCCGTGGGGCTTGAACTCTGGGCCTGGGCGCTGTTCCCTCAGCTCTTCAGCTCAAGGCGAGCGCTCTACCACTTCAGCTACAGCGCCACTTCCGGTTTTCTGGTGGTTTATTGGAGATAGGAGTCTCACGGTCTCTCTTGCCCAGGCTGGCTTTGAACTGCAATCCTCAGATCTCAGCCTCCTGAGTAGCTAGGATTACAGGCCTGAGCCACCAGCGCCCGGCCATAATTTTCTTTTTCTTTCTTTCCTTTTTTTTGTCAGTCCTGGGGCTTGAACTCAGTCCCTGAACTTCTTTGACTCAAGGACAGCACTCTACCACCTGAGCCACAGCTCCATTTCCAGCTTTTTCTGTTTATGTGGTACTGTGAAATCGAATCCAGGACTTCATGCATGCTAGGCATGCAGCCCAAGGAATAATTATGAGACTCAGCTATCTATGGGTGCTTCAGTGTCTTACCTGTTGTCGGTGGAGAGGCCAGCTGTAGCTATCAGAGAGGAAGAGCTAACGAAGACAAAGTCATTGGCCGTCTTGTTATGACACTGCCAGGTCTGAAATAGTTGTAAACACAACTGTCACAAGAGCTCTCACACCCAGTATATGTTCTATGTGCTCATGCACTTCATGGCTTTCTTACATCCTTTGTGTCTCTTTATTGCCTGAACTTCAGAAGAGTTGCAGAGGTAATACAGAGGATTTCCCAGTTTTGTTCCGTCCAGATTTGGCAGTCTTTATCATGTTGCTGCATCTGTTTTGCCTAACCACCCTCCCTCCTTCCCCACCCCTCTGTCCCTGCCACCTCTCTGCCTGGGACTGAACCCCACCCAGGTCCTCAACATTCTGGGAATGTGCTCTGCCATGGGCCACACTCCAGATCTTTCCTCTGTCAAACAGATGTACATACACACACACACACACACACACACACACACACACACACACAGTGTTCAGAACCACACACACACACACACACACACACACACACACACACACACACACACACACACACACACACACACACACACACACAGAGTGTTCAGAACCACTTCAATGAAGTGGCTGCCTACATCGCCCTTCTTTACAAAGCTCTTCACTTTCATTCAAATGGAACTTCAGAGGAGAACAGGAGGGTAGCTAAACTTCAAGTATTTCCCTTGGCATATTCAGTACAAATTCTGTCTTAGGAGATGACAGAAACCAGGATTTTACATTATTTTAGACTTCATTTTTTTTTTTGTTGAACTCATATTTACTTTTTTTTTTTTGGTCCGGTCATGGGGTCTGAACTCTGGGCCTGAGCGCTGTCCCTCAGCTCTTCAGCTCAAGGCTAGCGCTCTACCATTTGAGCCACAGTGCCACTTTGGCTTTTTTCTTTTTGCTTATGTGGTGCTGAGGAATCGAACCCAGGGCCTCAGGCATGCAAAGCAAGAGCTCTACCACTGAGTCAACTTCCCAGCCCTTACTTTTCTCTCCAGTTTTGTTTCGTTTTGTTTGTGCTAGTCTTGAGGCTTGAATACAGGGCTTAGGCGCTGTCCTTGAGCTTCTTTTTTTTTTTTTTTATTTTATTGTGAGAATACTGTACAGAGGGGTTACAATTACATGGGCAAGATAATGAGTACATTTCTTATCAAGCATTGTAGCCTCCTCCTTTGTTTCCCCTTCCCATCCTCCCTCCGCCCCCCCTACAATCCTCCTCCCACCCCCTTGAGCTTCTTTTGCTCAAGACTAACACTCTACCACTTGAGCCACAGCACCACTTCTACCTTTCTCTGGGTAGTTTAGTGGATATAAGTCTCATGGAATTCCTGCCCCAGTTGGCTTCAAATCGTGATCCTCAGAATAACTAGGATTATAGGCATGAGCCACCAGCAGCCTGCTGATATTTACTTTTCAGAAATAAATTTGCATATTACTGTTCAAATATGTAAGTAAAAAATGAGTCATCAATGTTAGAATACTTATGGAACTTGCCAATATTTCAAAGTAACAATAAATTGATATATTTAAATAAATTTAGAAAAAAAAGAAAGGCAGTGTCTTGGGCAACATGAGCTTGCATTTAAACTTGTTGCTTTAATGAAAATATGAGAAATACGCTTTAAAGGTAACCTAACCTTACTCTCCCTTAGATCAGCATTTACTCATAGGTGAATTCCTAGAATCATAATCTATACCTGTTACTTCTCCCGGATTGGTATTGCTTAGCTCTGCAAAGGAGAGACTTCCCTAGAAAATATATTAAATATTATGTCACTATTCACTGAAGCCAAAGAAAGTTGACTAAATCTGAAGAGACTTAAACCAATCTATGTCTAGCTGAAAAAAAATATAGGTAAAACCAAAAGCCAATATTAATAATACCAGGTACAGGATGTCCTTTCTACTTTGTTCATAAAAGTTTAATGCTAATAGCAAGAAAACAGCCTGTCAGGAGCCAGTGACTCATGTCTGTCATCCTAGCTTCTCAAGAGGATGAGATCTGAGGATCATAATCGAAAGCCAGCCCAGGCAGGAAAGTCTGTGAGAGTCTTATCTCCAAGTAATAACCAAAAAACAAAACAAAACCAAGCAGAAACAGAGCTGTGGCTCAAGTGGTAGAGGGCCACCCTTGAGGAAAAGAAGCTTAGTGACGGGCTCTGAGTTCAAGCCCCAGGTCAGGACGGCACCTCTCCACAACACCCCTCCCCCCAAAAAGACAACAATTTCATATATTGGTATGAAAATTATTTTCTCCAGGGAAAGAGCCCAGTGAAGGTTGCATGGGAAGTCCATACACAGCCAACATTCCAAATTACCCGAGTCCAGGGTTCTCACGACCCCGGGGGAGTTTTCACTGAAGGCTAGACAGACTTACTCAGGTGCTTTACTCTTTCTTGCTTCCAATACATTCTTGGTTTCTTTAAAATAAAAAATTAGAATGTATAACAAATTGAATTGGCTTACCAGGTATGGCTTGGGCATGCTCCCAGTAACCGGACAACATTTCCAGTTTGTTTGATACAAACTTAAATATCCATCAGCATCCACTATTCCAAACTTAAAGAAAGACATACTTTAATGTAAATGCAAAAGCCCATTTTTATTCCTACCCACACTGTAACACCACACTTTCAATCTTAAACATTCAGATATGTGACTTTTTACTTCACTTGTGCACGGATCTAGCTCACAGAAACATTTAGCTGCTGCTTAAAAAGAAACTCCAGGGTAGATGTAATGGAAGCAAACACCAAATAACCCTTTAGTGACAATAATCTACATCACCGGTAATCTACATCACATGTGCTCTAGAAGTATTTCAAAAGTAGAACATTGGATTACGCTATGCATTAAACTATATAATAAAGCTTTATCAAGTATGATAAAAAAGACTTCAATCATTTTGAAAAAAAATTAACACTCAAGAAGAAAAATACATAAAGATAAGGATTATCTTGGCAAAAAAATTCAACTGTAGAAATGAGGTTATTTTGACTCCATTATAATTTCTATGAATATTCAAGCATTCATATATAGCTCTTTTGTACAAACAGGATCATAATAAATCCATAGTTACATTTTAAACTTATGGTAACTATCCATCTCAAAACATAAATTTAGCTCATACTTGAAAAAAAAATTTTTTTGGTCGGTCATGGGGCCTGAACTCTGGGGCTAGGCGCTAATCCTCAGCTCTTCAGCTCAAGGCTAGTGCTCTGCCACTTGAGCCACAGCGCCACTTCCAGTTTTCTGGTGGTTAACTGGAAATAAGAATCGCATGGACAGTCCTGCCCACACTGGTTTTGAACTATGATCCTCAGATCTTAGTTTCCTCAGTAGTTAGGCTTACAGGCATGAGCCACCAGGGTCTGGCTAGCTCATTCTGGTGCTGTATAGTATTATACTACACAGATATATTATTAAAAGTTTTCATTGGTAAGCTGTTTTTACTTTACCCTAAAAGAGATGAGTTGAACATTCTTATACATATAGCTTGCATAATTATATAGTATAAATATCTAGAAAGGGGAAAGCTTGGGCAATGAACATTACTTAAAATTGGCAGATGAAGGCAAACATAAACTCAAAGTAGTAATACACATTTTGTACCCACTTTACTTACACATTAACTTTGGATACTACTAGAATTTAAATTACATGCTGATTTTTAAATATTTTTTTTGTTGTAAAGATACTGTACAAAGGGGTAATAGTTACATGAGTAAGGTAATATATTTGTTAATTTTATTCAGCAAAAGTTTTAATATAATGTCCTCAATTACTAGACTAAGACCTAAGACTTTTGGCTGGGGGCGTGGCCTAGTGGTATCATACTAGCCTAGCAAGAACAGATGTTTGGTAAAGTGTTCATATCATTTGTCTTAAAAATGTCTTTTTGAAAATTGAGTAGGGTTAATATGAGAAATACCAACCTATTATTTGTGTGTCTCTTATACTTTTCCAGTATAGGTTTGTTTTTCTTGTTTGCCCTACATTCTCTGAAATAGACCTAGGTATGTTCGCCATAGAAGAGATAATCATAGAATGTATACCTAAGAGGGTCTATAACAGTTTGGGCAGATAAACTCCGTTCCCATTCCTGGTCCATCAGGACTCTGTGGATACTGCTCTACTGCTTGTCATCTTTTTCTTTTTTTTTCTTTCTGATGGACTTTGGTTCAACTCAGGGATTCAGGCTTTCTGGGTTTGCTTACTCATCCAGCACTCTACCACTTGAGCCCATGGCTGGTTGTTGTTGTTCTTCTTCTTCTTCTTATTATTATTATTAGCTGGTTATTTTGGAGATAGAGTGTCAAGTACTTTTCTGCCTGGCCTGCTTCAAACTGGACCTTCCAGATCTCAACCTCTTGAAGAGTTTGTATTACAGGTGTGAGCCACTTGGGCCCAACATCATCTTAATTTTTGAGTCGAGTCATACATGAATTTGAAAGGGGGTTTTAAATAACCTATTCCTTCCTAGTTTTTAGGCAGGACAAGCACAGTGTAAAACACAAGCACCTGACAGAACATGATGGTTTGGGTTGCGTTTCCCTTCTAAAATCTGAAATCTGAAACTTCTTTTTTTCTTTTTTTTTTTTTTATTGTGAAGATACTGTACAGAGGGGTTACAATTACATGGGCAAGATAAAGAGTACATTTCTCATCAAGCATTGTAGCCTCCTCCTTTGAAATCTGAAACTTCTTGAGCTTCAAAACTGTTCAAAAGTACTTTGAAAGCATTTCACGTTTTTAGATTAGGTTCATTCAACCAGTATTATCAAACTCTACAGGCTTCTGTGTTAAATCTCCTTAATATCCATTAAGGAACAGACTTACTAATTAATATTGTTTTGAAATAAACTCTCAAAATTTAGTTTTATAAGCAAGTGAGAAAACATCCACTTTTGTGAAATGCAAACTGTGCATGTGACAGAGACAGTCAGTGGGACGCAGCACACCGTGACGAGCAACACGTCAAGAGGGGAGGAAAGGAAAGCTGCACCACCGCTAAGACCTGCGACGGAGAGGCAGGTGCAGCATCAGGAAGGCCGTGTGTGTGAGGCAGGCACAGCATCAGGTAGGCTGTGTGTGTGTGTGAGGACAGGCACAGCATCAGGTAGGCCGTGTGTGTGTGTGAGGGACAGGCACAGCATCAGGTAGGCTGTGTGTGTGTGTGAGGACAGGCACAGCATCAGGTAGGCTGTGTGTGTGTGTGTGAGGACAGGCACAGCATCAGGTAGGCCGTGTGTGTGTGTGAGGGACAGGCACAGCATCAGGTAGGCTGTGTGTGTGTGTGAGGACAGGCACAGCATCAGTAGGCTGTGTGTGTGAGGGACAGGCAGGCACAGCATCAGGTAGGCTGTGTGTGTGTGTGTGAGGACAGGCACAGCATCAGGTAGGCTGTGTGTGTGTGTGAGGACAGGCACAGCATCAGGTAGGCTGTGTGTGTGTGTGAGGACAGGCACAGCATCAGGTAGGCCGTGTGTGTGTGTGAGGACAGGCAGGCACAGCATCAGGTAGGCTGTGTGTGTGTGTGTGAGGACAGGCAGGCACAGCATCAGGTAGGCTGTGTGTGTGTGTGAGGACAGGCACAGCATCAGGTAGGCTGTGTGTGTGTGTGAGGACAGGCACAGCATCAGGTAGGCTGTGTGTGTGTGTGAGGACAGGCAGGCACAGCATCAGGTAGGCTGTGTGTGTGTGTGTGAGGACAGGCACAGCATCAGGTAGGCTGTGTGTGTGTGAGGGACAGGCAGGCACAGCATCAGGTAGGCTGTGTGTGTGTGTGAGGACAGGCACAGCATCAGGTAGGCTGTGTGTGTGTGTGAGGACAGGCACAGCATCAGGTAGGCCGTGTGTGTGTGTGAGGACAGGCACAGCATCAGGTAGGCTGTGTGTGTGTGTGAGGGACAGGCAGGCACAGCATCAGGTAGGCTGTGTGTGTGTGTGAGGACAGGCACAGCATCAGGTAGGCTGTGTGTGTGTGTGAGGACAGGCACAGCATCAGGTAGGCCGTGTGTGTGTGTGAGGGACAGGCACAGCATCAGGTAGGCTGTGTGTGTGTGTGAGGACAGGCACAGCATCAGGTAGGCTGTGTGTGTGAGGGACAGGCAGGCACAGCATCAGGTAGGCTGTGTGTGTGTGTGAGGACAGGCACAGCATCAGGTAGGCTGTGTGTGTGTGTGTGAGGACAGGCAGGCACAGCATCAGGTAGGCTGTGTGTGTGTGTGAGGACAGGCACAGCATCAGGTAGGCTGTGTGTGTGAGGGACAGGCAGGCACAGCATCAGGTAGGCTGTGTGTGTGTGTGAGGACAGGCACAGCATCAGGTAGGCTGTGTGTGTGTGTGTGAGGACAGGCAGGCACAGCATCAGGTAGGCTGTGTGTGTGTGTGAGGACAGGCACAGCATCAGGTAAGCTGTGTGTGTGTGTGAGGACAGGCACAGCATCAGGTAGGCTGTGTGTGTGAGGGACAGGCAGGCACAGCATCAGGTAGGATGTGTGTGTGAGGACAGACAGGCACAGCATCAGGTAGGCTGTGTGTGTGAGGACAGGCACAGCATCAGGTAGGCTGTGTGTGTGTGTGAGGACAGGCACAGCATCAGGTAGGCTGTGTGTGTGTGTGAGGACAGGCACAGCATCAGGTAGGCTGTGTGTGTGTGTGAGGACAGGCAGGCACAGCATAAGGTAGGCCTTATGGGGGAAAGGAAAATTACACCATCAGCTAGACCGTGTGAGTAACTTTCTGTGCAAAGAACAAGTGGGTGATTTACCATTTAGTCCTGGTTTAAAGTGGTAGTTGATGTGAAGTGCCTTGGGAAGTAATTTGAAGAAAGCTGGAATATGGTAAGCTAAGAGAGAGAGATGTTCGCAAGCAGGGTCAGCAAACATTTCCTGTAATGAACTTTTTTTGGCTTGCTCACTCTAAGGTCTTTGTACTGTTGTAGTGAGATATACCCAAAGAAAGTAGGATGAATGCAAAAAGACAACAGGGAGCCAGGCCATACTTGGCATCCAAAACAGGTACACAAATCTCAAATGGAGATGCTGGTTTGGGAGGTCTGCACATTGAACAAAGCTTTCCGGTGTGATTTGCTGCATGATTCTGAATCACAATCAGAGTACATTCCAGGGATAAAGAAGTTGACATTTGTCATTCAACTATGAATTACAGTCATTTGGTCCTTAAGCAATATTTTAACCTAACTTTAGTGGAGACATACACTTACCCCACTACGCGATAACCAAATGAATTTAAATGTATTTTGAGACACATTTTAAGAAAATAATTTGTATGGATTAGACACTTTACTGTCAGCCCACTGAACTACTCTTAAAAGCCCAAACAAGTAATAATTGATAACTTTCAACACAGTTATCTTTTCTCATTAACATTTTTACATAGTACCTTATTTCCTTGGTAGTTGAATCTCATTCTTGTAATTCTTGAATTGCCACCAGACCGAAAACAAGTTATCTGCTGAGAATGGCCCCATTCAAACATTCTGACACTGCCATCCTGAGCTCCAGTCAGGTCTACATCATGAGAAGACAAATTACACATTTAAGATTCCTTGGGAAAATTTATTTCCTTTTTCGTGTTGTTTTTTGTTTCTTTGTTGGTCATAGGGCCTGAACTCTGGGCCTGGTGCTGTCCCTCAGCTCTTCAGCTCAAGGCTACTGCTCTACCACTTGAGCCACAGCACCACTTCCAGTTTTCTGGAGATAAGAGTCTCATGGACTTTCCTGCCAGGGCTGGCTTTGAACTGTGATCCTCAGATCTCAAGCCTCCTCTTGAGTAGCTAGGCATGAGCCACCTTTTCCTTTTTGAAAAACTTTTTTGTAGTGGTATCAGGGCTTGAACTTGGAGCCCTGAGCTTGACCTGTTATGTCCTGGTAGAATGCTATCATTTATACTTTTAGCTATATTACATTGTTGTTCATTGTAGAACAATCAAACCTCAGTGACAAGTACTAATAACTATTACAATGAGTTGCCAGAGTAACTATCCACACTGTAATTGTAACTATGACAGTGAGTCATCATAGTAACTATTACAACAATAACTGTAACTATTACAATGAATTTTCATCTTTAACCACAGCCATGTGGGGTCTTTTGCTATCAATAGAGTGATTTTACTCTGATGCTGTTCTGAAAGCTTTAAAGGTGTCCTATTGGCAAAGAAATTTATGGAATACACTGAAAAGCACAGGCTTCTGAAAACTTCTTACTACTGGAGTAGGAGAGAATGACTAGAATTCTAACCAAGATCAAACAGAATGAGAATTAAAATAGATTGACTAAATAAAGAATTTTAATTTATATATTTTGTTTGAAACTGTTTGTACTTTTTCATGACTTTTTTCAGGATTTAAGGCAACCTTTCATTTCTCTCAAGCTATTTACAACATAAAACAATTTGGTAATTGGTGAGTAAAGATAAAAATAATTATTGTTCGTGTGTGTGCCATTCCCGGAGTTTGAACTCAGGCCCTGGGTACTGTCCCTGGAGCTTTTGTGCTTAAGGCTAGTGCTCTACTACTTGAGCCACATCTCCACTTCTCTTTTGGTAGTTAATTTGGAAATAAGAGTCTTACAGACTTTCCTGCCCAGTCTGGCTTCAACTGTGATTCTCAGATCTCAGCCTCCTGAGTAACTAGGATTACAGGGAGCCAACAGCACCTAGCAAAAAATCATTTTTCTTGTCATCTGACCAGTCCAGAATTTGGACAGTTCTTAATGAGCATTTTCACTTTAATTTTCATTGTAATATAGTTATTTACAAATGTTCAGTAGGAACTCTGTGAACCTAGTGATGTGACTCAGTGGTATAGCACATATCCAAATAAAAGTAAAAAATATGTAGTTAAAATACTAAAACTTTATTGCATTAAGTTGGTCTTCTCTATTAATTCAAGCAGGTTTTTTTCTTTCTTTTAAAAATCTAATTGTGAAATTAAGATTTTATTTACTAATATTCTTTATGAAAAATGTAGAAAAATTGCTGCCTTTTAATAAAAATGAAAAATTTACCATAAGTCCCTTATATTAAAAATCACTAAGAGTATATATTAAAAATGAGAAAAAAAATCATTGCTAATTGTTATTAACTTACAGTAAGGAAGAGTTGGGTGAGAAGTCATTCTTCTGACATTATTAATGGGTTTCTTAATCATCTGGTGAAAAGAAAAATTATTTTAGAGTCACAGAAAATAGGATTACATATTTAAAATGTAGGGTGGAGGTATATGCATAGTTCAACACTGGAGAACTTGAAATCAGGACCTTGAGTCCTCACAATTGGTACCCAACTTAACTAGGATATTTTTTTAAAAATATTTTTTGTCAGGCTTGAACTCAGGGCCTGGGCGCTGTCCCTGAGCTTTTGTGCCCAAGGCGAGCACTCTACCACTTTAAGCCATAGCTCTATTTTTGGTTTTCCATAGGCGCCTGGCTTGAAAACAGTTTTTGTTCCTTTTCAAATGAAGATGTTATTGCTCATGATCAAAATATACAATTCCAGAATGTAGGACTTTCCTAAAACTTTAGAAATTAAAAGTTTTCAAGTAAGGCACCAGTGGTTCACGCCTGTAATCGTAGCTACTCATGAGGCTAAGATCGAAGGATTGTGGTTGGAAAACAGCACAGGCATGAAAGTCGTGAGACTGTTATCTCCAACTACCACCAAAAGGCCAGAAATGAACTATGCTTTAAGTGGCAGAGCATTAGCCTTGGGAAAAGAAGCTTAACAGACAGCACTCAGGCCCTGAGTTCAAGCCCAGGATTGGTACACACATACACATACAAGTTCTCAAACATCTTTTATCCAGTAACTTAATAGGAAAAGTACAATAGCAGACAAACCCAGGCATCTTTAACTTTACATACCACGGATGCTCCTCTGCCAGTCTGGGTACTACCAAGCCATGGCATGTTGATTGGGGTGCCAGGATTGCTATGTGTATATGGAGTTGTACCTTGAACAGCTGTTAAGTCATCATGAGCATGGATGACCAAGAAATCTTCTGACCTACAATGGATTATTAACAAGAATAACAATTCCTCAGTTCTTTATTCAATCCTTAACATTCAAACATTTGATCTTATTAATTAATCTTTTAAATATTCTTGAACTTTTATTGCTAGTGACTGGTAAATTTCATATCCAAATACTTCTATTATCTTCACTTTCTAGACCTCTCATTTTACTTTTCTTTTGTGCAAATCCTGGGCCTTCAATTCTGGGCCTGGGCACTGTCCCTAAGCTCCTTTTGCTCAAGGCTAGCATTCTACCACCTGAGCTACAGCACTACTTGCCCCTTTTTCTGTGATTAATTGGAGATAAGAGCCTCACAGACTTTCCTGCCTAATCTGGCTTCAAACCATGATCCTCTGATCTCATCTCAGCCTCCTGAGTAGCTAGGATTACAGGTGTGATCCATTAGCATCTGGCTAGTTTTTTTTTTTTTTTTTCTCAAGGCTAGCTCTACCACTTGAGCCACAGTTCCACTTCGGGCTATTTTGGTAGCTTGCTGAAGGTATGAATATCACAGAATTTCCTGACTGGACAGGCTTTAAACTGTAATCCTCTGATCTCAGCCTCCTGAGTAGCTAGGATTACAGGTGTGAGCCATTGCCACTTGGCCTCATTTTACTTTTTAAAGTCCTGCCATCCCTTAGCCACATCAGTGTATATTCTGTTTATAATTTAGAACTATCTTTTAAAGAATTTTCTGAAAGTTATACATCCTTATATAAGTACACACACATATACATATATACACATACATATATAGGTTATATATGTATATGCACACAAACATTTGTAGATATAATCACTTGCAATATCACTGAATAAAAACAAAGTAAAAGTACCCTTTGGGTTCCATTTCTACATCATCATCTACCCAAGTATATATTTGTGTAGCCAGAATTCCAGAAACATCCAGTTCTTGAACATCATGGCTAGAGGCGATAGCTATGCAATTTCTATTTGCCTGAAAAATAAAGCATGAGACAGATTTTTAACAAGGAAAACCACAATGGATATATTCTGCAAATAATCTCAAGAGAGATAAGGTACAAAACATATTGCACTTACAAATTAATATTTTAAATTAACTTTACCAATTAAATTGATAATTTGATATTTTTGAGATATTTTTATGCCCTAGAAATTATAGAACAACTAGAGATATTTTTATGCTCTAGAAATTGTAAAACAACTAACAGGAAGCTATTAACAACAATGCACATACTATTTAATATCACACTACTTTTTCAATCTAATAAAATCCTATGATTTCTCCAAGATTTGTACCAGAAACAATAGCTCACATTTGCAGTACTAGGTCCCTGGGGGAGGCTGATGCAGAACGATCACTTGAGTCCAAGGGTCTGAGGCCAGTCAGACCATCACTCAAAACAAAACAACAAAAAATGCAGAGCAAGATATTGAGGAAGCCAGAAAAGCAGAGGAATGTGAGGGAGATAATAAACTCAAACTAGTGAGAGAAATACACCAGAATAAATGAAAAACTGGTCAGATTAAATGACATAAAATTTTAAGTATAGATGGAATTAAAAATATTCATCTTGACCTGAAGATGCAGTTTAGAAGCAATGACTAATTGACATTAAAAAATATACATATTTCAAGCTGGGTGCTGGTGGCTCACGCCTATAAATCCTAGCTACTCATGAGGGTGAGATTTGAGGATCGAGGTTCAAAGCCAGCCTGGGCAGGAAAGTCTGTGAGACACTTATCTCCCATTAACCACCCAAAAACCGGACGTAGTGCTTGCTGTGGCTCAAGTGAGCTGAAACGCTGAGGGACAGTGCTCAGGCCCAGAGTTCAAGCCCCACAACTGACAAAAAAAATTTTTTTAATTTTAAAAAATATACATTTCAAACTGAAAAGATATTGACAGTGAAGAAAAATGTAGAACATTACTATTATTTAAAGTGCTATAATTAGCTCTCCAGTTGGTTTAGTGGTTGGGTTGTTTATTAAAAAGACACAAATGTAGTCTTGTTTGGTTAAGTGATAAAAAAAATGGTAATATAAATTAATAAGAAAGGAGGCAATTCTCTAAGGGTGTCTTCAATAGGTATGTCTTGTGAGCCACTAACTAGACTTTGCTCCAAGGATGTCTGTGTAGCTAGTCACTGGAGCCAAGAACATGCATGCTTACTGTCCATTAGAAGAGAAATGGTTCCCAACCTCAGGGATCCCTTTCTGCAGCATAACCTTCTGCAGGTCATACGATTGGGCCTTCGCTGTCTCTCTGGAAGCTTGTGTGAAAATACTGATGTTCTGGCTGCTGCTCTTGCTGTTAGTAATACACTGCCTTGGTGGTCTAGGATTCTTGTGTCTTCAAACAGTATCCATTACTGTTCTTGTAATACATTGCCTTGGTGATCTAGGAGTCTTGTGTTTTCAAACAGTATCCATTACTGTTCTTGTTGTTAGTAATAAATACATTGCCTTGATAGTCTAGGATTCTTGTGTTTTCAAACAGTATCCATTGAGCTTTGAAAATTAACTGTTAGCTTGAATGTAAATTTTAGATCTTTCACAATTCTTGATACAGATAGTTCCCAACTATACAAATGGGAAAAAGTTCAACCTCAATGGTATTTTTTTTTTTTTTCCTGCTGGTTGTGGGGCTTGAACTCTGGGCCTGGGCGCTGTCCCTCAGCTCTTCAGCTCAAAGCGAGCACTCTACCACTTGCACCACAGCACCACTTCTGGCTTTTTTTCTGCTTTTGTGGTGCTGAGGAATCGAACCCAGGGCCTCATGCATGTAAGGCAAGCACTCTTACCATTGAGTCACCTTCCCAGCCCCTTTCAATGGTATTTTAAAAGAAATTTTCAAATTTTAAATATTTTAAAAGAAAAAAGGCATTATTTCCTATCTATAAATTTAACAAGGATACAAAAACATCAAATCTGAGAAATAATTAAGTATACCAGTAAAAAGCAGATTTTTATATATGTGGATTATTCATTTATAGTTACTTTTATAACAAGGATACAAAAACATCAAATCTGAGAAATAAGTATACCAGTAAAAAGCAGATTTTATATATGTGGATTATTCATTTATAGTTACTTTTATAAGATCCCTCCCACAAAGAAAAAAGGTAGTTTTATAAAATATTTAAAATGGTATTTTCTTCAGAGGAAAGGGAAGTACTGCAGAATGTTACACAGATATGACAATTTGGGGCTAACTCCAGATCTGCTTGCTTTAAGCAGAGCTCATCATTGGTCAAGCATGTCTATGAGGGAAATGAGATGGAGGATACAGGGAGATCTGAGGAAGAATGATAAAAAGAACTGTCTGGAAGATATCAAGAGAATACAGGCATAACATACAAAGATGAATTCAAGATGTCATAAGATATACACCTGAATAATACTGTAAAACTTCTGCAGGGTGTGGTGACATGCCCGGGGTCACGGCTACTTAGTAGGTTAGAGTAGCAGAACATTTTAGGTCAGGAATTTGAGACCAGCCTACGCACAAGATACTGTCTCAAGAAAACAAAGCAAACCATGAAACAATGTTAATTAGAAACATATGTATACGAACATATACACATGGACACACACAAATGGATATATACACCCCTTCTTTAAAATGTCCATTAGAAACACACAAGAAACCATAACTTCTATATTTTGCGTTATAGAAAGAAATGTAAACAAAACGGAAGTGGTGCTGTGGCTCAAGTGGTAAGGTGCTGGTCTTAAGCTAAAGAGCTGAGGGACAGCGCCCAGAACAAGCCCCAGGACCGAAAAAAAAAAATGTAAACAAAAAAATAATTAGATGTCACTAGAAATTATCAGTAAAGAGATTAAGGCAGATAGAAGCAGGAAATTATTAGCAGAAATTTAAACTTAAGACTATTAAACCTAAGGAACCCTCTTTTCTTAGAGCTTAGATGTATATCTAAGGAGGCTGTTAACATAAGAGTACAAAAAAAATTAAAAAAAAAAACCTAACACATTATGTAGCTACTCAAGGTCTAAGTCAATGAGGGAGAATTCCTGAGTCACACATAAACTTAAGTTTTTATCAGATATTAGGAATCATACCCAATGTACTTGAATAGGGCATACAAAAAACCTGAGTTAACTTCTGTAATATCTTATATATAAATTCTAAAGTGATTTATATGTAATTCCTTATTACTTTCTTTGTGTAATAAGAAAACATTGTACTGGCTAAATTCCCCAAATTACATAATAATAAAAACACATTATGGTCTAATCACTCATAAAATAGGAAAAATCTTATGCAGGTGGTAATTTAAACAGTGGGAAGCCACTTTGGGAAAGAGAAATACTGACACAGGATAAACTGGAAAAACAAGATATTCTCCACCCATGAGTTATTAATAATCAAAGAAAAGTACTTACTTTATTAACAGCAAAGGCAGTAATGATATCAGATTCCTTATGGATAATTCTTGCTTTACCTCCAGGATATCCCAAGTCTGCTTCTATCTAAATGGAAAAAAATAAAAGTCTGAAAAATAATGCTTTTAGTAATATAACAAATAACAGTTGTCACCAATCAGTGAGACTTTCGTAAGTTATTTAAAATTACTATTAAAAAGCTATTTCTATCCTAAAGGTACAGAATATATTTCACAAGGGAAATGTAAATTTCTGAACTTGGCTTTTTCATGTATCAAAAGATAGTTGAAATAATACATAACTTCACTCATTATTTACCCTCCAAGCAACACTAAATTAATTTTAAAGATCTAGGCACTTTCATTATTGAAGTTAGGTTTATTTACCAGGTTTCCATGTAGTACAGTTTTGGAGAGGGTGGCACTAAGGTTTGAACTCAGGGCATTTTGCCTGCTAGTCAGACTTTTATCGTCTATTTTGCTTTGGTTATTTTTTGTGTATGTATGTGCCAATCCTGGGGCCTTAGCTCTGTCCCTGAGCTTTTATGCTTAAGGCTACCACTTCAACCACAGCTTGACCTCTGGCTTTTTGCTGGTTAATTGGAGATACAAGTCTCATGGACTTTCCTGCCTGGGCTAGCTTCAAACAATAATCCTCAGATTTCAGCTTCCTGAGTAGTGAGGATTACAGGCATGAACCACTGGTACCTGGATGCTTTGGCTATTTTTGAGACAGGGTTTCACTTTCTGCTTATGCCACACTGGACCACAATTTTCCTATTTATGCTTCCTGCATAACAGATATTTAACACTATAGCCCAGCTGTTTCTGTTGAGATGGGGCTAAGAAATTTTTGTTGGCTGGGAAGGTGGCTCTGTGGTAGAGTAGCTTGCCTTGCATGTATGAGGCCCTGGGTTCGATTCCTCAGCACCACATAAGCAGAAAAAGCTGGAAATGGCGCTAGCCTTGAGCTGAAGAACTGAAGGACAGTGCCCAGGCCCAAAGTTCAGGCCCCACGACCAACCAAAAAAAACAAAAAACTTTTTGTTCATGCTGGCCTTGAACCATGATCCTTTCCAGCTGCTAGAATTACAGGTGTAAAAGCTATTCTTCACTCACAGGCCATATAAAAACAGGTAGCATTTGACCAATTCATGTCATATATTTATGACAATCATGCATAGTAATTTAGCCAAGGCAGTGCTCTTTGTAGAAACAAAGTAAAGCATTATTCTATGTAGTTTATATGAGGAACAAACATCTGACATTCTGCCCTTCCTAGAGAAGGTACATATATCTCTGAACGAAAGTACTAAAATATACTGCAAAGAGGAAGGAATTATCAAGAACTAGACACATTGCTCAATGTAGAATATTACTTTATTTACCATCTTCCTTAACCCTTCAACCTATTAAAATGAATTACTATGCTTCATAGTTCATTATGAAATGTAGAAATTATTAATTTGAAAGTCATACAAATTTGTTTCCTGTAAAACTTAAAGAAAACCAACATTAATGCCTGCCATGGACACAGAACTCACCAGAATTAGCAATGTTTTTTAAAAATAGCAATTAAGGTAGCTTCTATTGTAGGAGTTGAAAAGGAGGCTTATGCAGTAACAAAAACAAACAAGAATCAGCCACTGGATGTAAACAGCTCACTATTTACTTACTTATTTATATATTTGGTGCTGCTACTAAATGAACTTATAGCCTCACGCTTCTGCTTGGCCTTTCTGCTCATCTCCACTGGTGGTCTGCTACAGGAGTCATGCCTCCAATTCCAAGAGAGTCAATTGTCTTTCAGGACAGTTTTAACTCTAGTCCATAAAGAGGCTCATCATGCAATAAGAATGTGTAAGTCAAACTCCATAATTTTTTTTTTTTTTGGGTCCGGTTGTGGGGCCTAAACTCTAGGTCTGGGCACTGTCCCTCAGCTCTTCAGCTCAAGGCTAGCGCTCTACCACTTGAGCCACAGCACCACTTCCGGCTTTTTTCTTTTTGCTTATGTGGTGCTGAGGAATTGAACCCAGAGCCTCAGGCATGCAAGGCAAGCGCTCTACCACTGAGCCACCTTCACAGCCCCAAACTCCATAATTTTTTCACAATATCCCACTTTATGCGCCCATTTACTAGGTGTCCAAGGTACACTGTGTTCACTACAAAGTTTTGAAGAAAGAGAGAGAGAGATTTCCATGCAAGAGAGATATATTATTTGCTGGTGATGGTTGTAGGAAAGATGTCAGTTTCATGTGGGGAGTTTTTCAGACTTTGTATGTATATGAAGTAAGCCCATATAGTCATGAACTTCAAAAATCTTTATGAATGCAGGAATGCATTCTTGTCCTCTCGTCAAAAACAACATTTCTTGATGGTGTGGTATCAAGATGACCTGCATGAGAATCAACTGAAGTGACTTGGTTTCCCCTTCATCCTAACTAGGCAAACACTATGACTTAATTCCGATCACTAGCTCAAAGAACGGATTTTATCTGAATCCTATGATAAACAGTTAGAATTCCATAGCAGTAAGGCAAATAAATTCCAAAGAAAGAGTGGTTAGCCTCTCAATAGTTTTTGTTTCACTGAACTTGAGAATGAAAATATGCTAAAGAGGACTGCATAAACAGGTAGGGTTCAGTTCACACACAGGCTTCAGCTCACTATAGCATAAAAGCCATAATCAAGAGTTCAATATTACTCTAGGCTGAGAAATCATGGAGGAAATTTTGAAAATTCTCACTGTTGTGAGATAAAATATAAAAGGTGGATAGATGTAGTGGTATACATCTATGATCCTGACATCAGAAACCTGAGGCAGAAGTACCCAGAGTGCAGTGAATGTAAGGTAAGGTAGGCTAAATAATGAGCTGTAAAACAAAACCTTGTGTCAAAAAGCCAAAAACCACTGGGCACTGGTGGCTCACGCCTGTAATCCTAGCTGCTCAGAAGGCTGAGATCTGAGGACTGCCAGCCCGGGCAGTAACATCTTATCTCCAAATAACTACCAGAAAACCAGAAGTGGCACTATGGCTCAAGTGGTAGAGCACTAGCCTTGCGCTGAAGAGCTGAGGGACAGCGCCCAGGCCCAGAGTTCATGACTGACAAAAAAAGGAGAAAAAAAAAGCCCCAAACAACCTCTCCAAACAAAACTAACAAAAGAAAAAACCAAAGAGGATGTGAAAATGGCTGCCAGAAAAGCAGGCAAGCTGAAGAAAGAGGTGGTGGCGATACTGATAGTGGATGGAACCAGGACACTTTCTGCTAATGAACTGTAATCTGAGTGTGACTAATTCTAAGAAAGGATGGTTTCCTAGCTTTAAGGCCAGATAAATGGTAAGTGAAGTACTATTTACGGAAATAGGCAAAAGTGAAGCAAGAGTGGTTTTAGATTGGGATTAGGGAATGTCTGGAGTGCAACAAATGAGCTGGGACTCAACAGAATTCAGTTACCATTATATAGATGATATTTAAGCCATAAGACAAACCAAAGAGAAAGTAAGGGCAGGGAAGAAAAAAGAGAAACCACCTCTGGACATAAGGACAGATAAAGATGTGGCAACCCAGCAATTGGCTGACATCAGAAATAAAGAGTTTGATGTTACAGAAAGAGAACAGTTGTAAGAAAATATGAGGGGCCAATCAATTCACACAAGACTGAAAAGCTACATCAGAGCTCAGAACTCACTACTGGGTTTAGCTACTAAAGTCCCCATGACAAGGACTGCTTCAGTGGAGTGGACTAGAGACAAGACCCACGGAGAGAGGACATGACATCGGGGTCTTCTCCGGGGTGCTTCAAACATTAATTTTTAAATCTTGTGTGACTTAAAAGACAAGTCAACGAATATGTTTCTCTCCACAGAAGAGTAGAAAATATACTTTTTGTTAAGGTACATTTTGTAAAATGTATTTGCTCCTGCCAATACTACTACCACTACTACTACTAATCTTAAGAAAGGTAAAAATTTTTGAAGCAGCCAGGTGCCAGTGGCTCACACTTGTAATACTAGCTACTCAGGAGGCTGAGATCTGAGGATCGTGGGTTAAAGCCAGCTTGGGCAGGAAAGCCCATGAGATGCTTATCTTCTACAACTAACCAGCAAAAACTCGAAGTAGAACTGTAGCTCAAGTGGCAGAGCCACTGATCTTAAGCCAAAGAGCTCAGGGACAGCCCCCAGGCCCTGAGTTCAAATCCTAGGACTGTCCCTTTACCCTGCAAAAAAAAAAAAAAAAATATGAGCAGGAGTGGTGAGTAGAGGGGGGATAAGAACTGGAGCAAAGACCCAGGGTAGGAAAGAAATGACAGGGACAGTGCACGAGTGAAAGGAAGATCTGGATCAGAGTGGCAGCTCCTCCACTGGGCAGAACAGCTGCCAGAAGCCAGATTTGGTGGTGAAAGTAGTAAGTGACATCTGTGTTGACTATGTTTATTTTGACAGCAAAATATGATGAGCTTGAAAGGAGTGGGAAGGAGATTGAAAAATAAAATTCACCATAAAATAATTTATGAGATCTGTGCTTGAGATCTGTGCTTTCTTCATGTTTAACTGCTTAGACAGACATAAAGAGGTGTGTTTAGACAGATGTGGAGATACTCATGGAAAGTACAACGCAGTAAGCACAGAGCAAGGGGCTGAGAACGTTGATCATAAGAGTCTAAGCTGCTTGAGAAAGGAGACCGAAATTTAAGACGGACTGCCAGGGAAGATCAGGAAGTATTTGACGGAATTAATTCCTGGCATCAAAGCAGAACCCATTCTGTTCACTGCAGGCCTCGGGAGTCTGCCTTCAAGGGACAGACTTCACACGTGGGCACTCTTCCTGAAGTGGCGTCAGTAACAGCACTAAGGTTCACTTCATAAATACAGCATCATAAAACAGTTGCACTGGGAAGAATATGTTTAGATGTTTTGGAAGACAACCTGTCCCCAGGATCCACAATTCGGCCACTAATCCAGGCAAAGTATTCTAATTCAAATGATCCTGCAGCAAATGTTGAAACAGGACAGGGGAAAATCAACAAAACCCAAGCCATAGTGATATTCGGAACACAGACTAGGGCATCTGCCACAACTAATATTTAAATCAATCTTTCATCACACACACATCACTTCTGCTCTACAGTGAGTTTTTTGTACACATTTCATATAGTCTTAGAAATACTACAGAATAGAAGCTAAGACAGCCTCTTCTATTGATTAAACACACATTAGAAAATCTATTACTTGTCTGCATCAACTTCTGCAAAGCATGAACAAAGGCTAGAATTATTTGGATTGTTGTGAAAGGCTTAAAAGCAACCCTGGGGAAATATGGCACAGTGTGTGAAGATGAATAAAGCACAGTAAATGAGGGTAGCTGTTAAGGTAAGTGGCAGACCGGTTTTCTCTATTTTCCTGGTTTTGAGGGTATAGGCAGAAATTTCATGGGCTCCTTCCCTACTTTCTATATTGATCTAATTACACTGATTACAAACAGTGAACTAGTTCTTTAGAATATATTCTCTAGGTAAACCTAACTTTATTAAGAAACTGTAAATAAACAAGTGTGATTGTTTGAACCAAAATGGTAACTAACATTAAACAAAATCCCTTCCCTAATAACACTGTGACATATAGAATGACTACATTTTAATGTAGCATGGACATGATTTTAAAAATAAATGTTGCTGGGCACCAGTGGCTCAGGCCTGTAATCCTAGCTACTTAAGAAGCTGAGATCTGAGGACTGTGGTTCAAAGCTACCCTGGCAGGAAAGTCCATGAAACTCTTACCTCCAATTAACCACCAGAAAATGAGAAGTGGCGCTGTGCATCCCTGAAAAAGTTCAGGGACAGCACCCAGGCCCTGAGTTCAAACCCACAACTGACAATAAAACAAACACACAACAAATAAAAAACACAACACTGTAATTATTTACACTGCAGAAGCGGCATTAAAAGCAAAGTTTTTGGGACAAGAATGACTAATAAGTTATAGAAAGTAATTAGTGATCAAATCCAAACAAAGAAATGTTTACATTAATATTTGAATTAAAAATGTGGATATTTTCTCAAAACCAAAAACCATTAGGAAATTTCAAAGTATAGACCACATGTATTTATTTTATCAAATATAATGTATACTTGATATCAAGTCAGTCTTTTTTTTTTTTTTTACTAATTGCACAGAATTATTTCTTCTATTTTACCAAAAGATTCCTTTAGGAAAGAATAAGAAATAGGGGCTGGGATGGTGGCTCAGGGTAGAGCGCTTGCCTTGCATGCTCAAGGCCCTGGGTTCGATTCCTCAGCACCACATAAGCAAAAAGAAAAAAGCCAGAAGTGGCGCTGTGGCTCAAGTGGTAGTATGCTCGCCTTGAGCTGAAGAGCTGAGGGACAGCGCCCAGGCCCAGAGTTCAGGCCCCACGACCGGACCCAAAAAAAAAAAAAAAGAATAAGAAGTGGCATTAGTACACTCAAAAAAAAAATCTTTTCAACTACTTAAAAAAATTAAAAAAGAAAAACTTTTGAGCAATTTCTTGCTTAAAGATCACTCAGCCTGTGGATTGAAAAATTAGTTAAATATCAGTCATATTCAATGTACCTAAAGTCTAAGAATTTTTCATGATTATACTAATTCTTACCCTTCTTGTTTTAGTTCTCAAGCACTCTCTCTCTCTATATATATACATGTATAGACATTATGCTAGATAGTTATCCTCCCAGCAAAACAAATGCTCCTTTCTTCCTTCTTTCCTTCCTTTCTTCCTTCCTTCCCTCCCTCCCTCCCTTCCTTCCTTCCATTCTTTGTCAGTTGTGGGACCTCAACTCTGGGCCTGTCCCTCAGTTCTTCAGCTCAAGGCAAGCACTCTACCACTTGAGCCACAGTGCTACTTCTGGCTTTTTCTGCTTATGTGATGCTAAGAATCAAACCCAGGGCCTCATGCATGCAAGGCAAGCACTCTACCACTGAGCTACCTTCCCAGCCCCAAACACTGTATTTCTTAGGAATTAATATCATAGGAAAAATTCTAACTTCTAAAATGACACTGGCAGAAATGGAATAATGTATTATATTTTTATAACTGCTAGTGTAATCACATTTACTAAGAACTTTAGTTGTATTTCCTCAGAAAAATCTGTAGCCAGCACAAGACACATTCAACTCCCTTTGAAACTGCATTCTTTTATTTGACAAAAGAGAATCATTTTTATGACTCCAATACAAAAATTTTTTTAATAAAAGAAGAACTTAAGGGAATAATATTGTTAACTCTACTGGAAACATATCAAGTAAAGAACTAAAATGTAACTTTTTGTTCTGGTTAAGAATGCAATTTCAAGTTCAGTTGAATGATATTGGTACCTTATTGATGTTTGGCTCCTCCATCATAGAATTTTTGATGGTTTCACTGCTGTCCTCTAATGACTTCATCAAGAAAGAATAACCACATGACAAAGAGCAAAAGATGAGATACAACATGCAGAACACTGGGGATACTTTTTAAAGTTTTATTTTTGACAAAATTTACTAAAAAAGAGTAAGGAACTGAATCACTGTTCTTAAATTTCATATACCATAGAAAAGTATATGTAAGAGTGGATGGAGAGGGGTTGAGAAAACTTAATAGCTCAAACGTAATTAACTACATATGGGCTTTTCTTTTTTTTTGTAGGTCGTGGGGTTTGAACTCTGGGCCTGTGCACTGTCCCTCAGCTCTTCAGCTCAAGGCGAGCGCTCTACCACTTGAGCCACAACACCACAACACTTCCGGTTTTCTGAGTGGTTTACTGGAGATAAGAGTCTCATAGTCTTTCCTGCCCAGGCTGGCTTTGAACCGCGATCCTCAGATCTCAGCCTCCTGAATAGCTAGGATTACAGGTGTGAGCCACTGATGCCCGGCCCGTATATATATATATATATATATATTAACTACATAAAAAATTTTTACTCACTTATTTTGAATGTTGACAGCAAAACTAAACCTGTTAAAGGTTGAGTCTAAGGTACTTTATATTTAAAAAGTCAGAGCTACTGGTACCAGAGTACAATATTAAAAATCAAAGTCAGATTTTCTTTCATATACTACTGTCTTATTTCCACAATGCATGACCCCCTTTAGGAAAACCTTCTGATTAGAAATTTCTGTTTCTATATAATTCTCTCTGCTGATGTTGCCACTAACAATCAAAAATGGGTTAATGTCCCCTTTTTATGAGGGGACACTAGGATTTACTAATTCTCTGGGATTTTTCCACAAAATGAAAGCAAACAGAGAAGCAAGTAGTTACAAAGATAGCAGCTGTCAGATACACTCTGGGAATGGCTCAGAAAGTCTATCTCCTCATCTGTCATTAATTTCCAGATAAATATAAGCAGGGAAGACATTTTATTTTTTTAATGTATATAACAGTAAGCTATAATATATATGAAAAAAAAATATCTAAAGATACATCAAGATTTTAAGGTATGTTTAGGAAATAAAGCCAGATAGAGAAAGGATAAAATTTCATTCTCGAGCACATAAAGGAATAATGAATCAGAAGTAGTAGAAACATTACCCATCACGTCCCATCCAAAATATACAACTGTTATAATATGGCTATCTCATAATTGGCTAAAAAGTACAATGACTTCAACATAATCATGATGTTATAAAAACAAGAGATGAAAGGAAGTTTTGTTAATCCAACAGGCTACTCAACTTTCTAGTAGACATTAAACAATTTTATAACAACTCTATAACATTAAGATTCTATTGCATACCATCTATTGCACCACATAAAAATTTTCATTTCAAAATCCCTTTACAAAAATTTTGTCTCTTGTAAGAGTATCATTACAGCTGGGCACCGGTGGCTCATGCCTGTAATCCTAGCTACTCAGGAGGCTGAGATCTGAGGATCGAGGTTCAAAGCCAGCCTGGGTAGGAAAGCCTATGAGACTCTTATCTCCAATTAACCACCAGAAAACCAGAAGTGGCGCTGTGGCTCAAGTGGTAGAGCGCTTGCCTTGAGCTGAAGAGCTGAGGGACAGTACCCAGGCCCAGAGTTCAAGCCCCATGAGTGACAAAAAGAAAGGATCATTAAATCAAGTAGTACCAACAAATTTCTCTAACTACTAATGATTAGGCCAATGTTTAAGAAAGTTAAATCAACTAACTAAAAAACATCTGAGCCAGGCACTGGTGACTCATGTCTATAATCCTAGCTATTCAGGAGGATGAAATCTTGAAGATCATGGTTTGAAGCCAGCCCAGTCAGAAAAGTCCATGAGACTCTTATCTTTAGTTAACCACCAAAAAAAGGTAGAAGTGGAGGTGTGGCTTAAATGATACAGTACTACCTCTGAGCAAAAAATCTCAGTGATAGAGCCCAGGCCATGAGTTCAAGAACCAGGACTGGCACTAAAACAAACCAACCAACCAACAAACAACAACAACAAAAAAACCATAAGGAATGAAATAGTTATTTTGCAGATAAAAATCACTAGTAGTTTTTGCAGAGAAAATCACTAGTAGTTACAAAGTTGTTCATGAATTCATTATCTGATATTCTGCACTCTGGCTCGGTTATATAGTACTCTGCTCCCTATCTATTCCTGAAATCACCTAGATAAAATTTTAACATTCATATCAAAAGATGCATTAGAGAAAGCACAGTAACAAGGAAAAGCAAGCGTTTTGGTTTTTGTTTTTTTTTTTTTGGGGGGGGGGGGGGTCCAGTCGTGGGGCCTGAACTCTGGGCCTGGGCGCTGTCCCTCAGCTCTTCAGCTCAAGGCTAGCACTCTACCACTTGAGCCACAGCGCCACTTCCGGCTTTTTTCTTTTTGCTTATGTGGTGCTGAGGAATCGAACCCAGGGCTTCATGCATGCAAGGCAAGCGCTCTACCACTGAGCCACCTTCCCAGCCCAAGCAAGCGTTTTTGTATAGAATAACACATCAGTGCTTTGTGTATAACATCAGAATACTGTAAGTTGTAATAAATTACTGTAGGCAAAGCCATATTTTAAATAAAACTGGGAAAATTGAACATTGAACATATCCTAGTAAGTCTTTTACTTCTAGAGCTCTAGCACATTAATGAATGATATATTTTCTTGAATTGTTTAGTGTTAATTCACACACTAAATATTATTTTAATAAAGTTAAATGAAATACTTTCAGATTCCCCAGGTTTCAATGTAAAACCTAGGGACATGAATCCCTCTTAAATCAGCCATAATAATATATATTCTGCTTCCTACTGTGGTCAATCCGAGTGTATGTTCAAAATCAGCAAACAGTAAATAATAAGACAGTTAGTTGCCTACTACAAATCAGTACTTAAACTGAAAGACAACAATGTATGGATGAGAAAACAGTTTATATGTGTATGTGTGTGTAGTCTTCCTTTTATTCAAGAGTCTGAAACCATCTTGTAACATAGTTTGCATGTGTATATGTGTGTAGTTTTCCTTCTGATGTCATCTTGCGTTTTGCTTGTCTGTTGTGAAGGTACTTATTTCCTTACTTCCCCAACTGAAACATATCTCCTCCTACTTGAAAAATAGTACAGAACTTGCTTTCAGAATAGTACTGTGCTACTCAAAATGTGGCTCACAGGCTAGCTGCCAGTTTTTAACTCTGTTGATTCATGGGAGATAATTAATTACACAACTATGTCCACTTTTTATATTTCTGCTAATTTTTAGTAGCAAACTTCCTCAATAAAGAAAGCAAGACATTCATTTACATTTAGATACAAGTTTCCCATGTTACTAACCCGGTACTTTTCATCACTGAACTAAATGACAAAAAAGTAACAATTATAATGATACTATCAAGAGATAATCTGCTACAGTATAATTATTAGTCTGTACATTTCAATTATTTAAACCTAATCCATGTAAAAAGAAGAAAATGTACATTAAGAAAGCATCTTCACACCCCAAACTCAGTCAATCAGACTGTCTGTCTGTCTCCCTCTCTTAGTTTCTTGTCAGTAGTAAGATCTGAACTCTGTGCCTTGTGCTCTGGCTTGACTTTTTCTGCTCACGGTTGCTCTACCATTTGAGTGGCTCCAGTCCCACCTTTTTGTTGGTTTAATAGAGGTAAAAGTTTTTTTTTTTTTTTTTGTCGGTCGTGGGGCTTGAACTCTGGGCCTGGGCGTTGTCCCTCAGCTCTTCAGCTCAAGGCGAGCGCTCTACCACTTGAGCTACAGTGCCACTTCTGGTTTTCTGGTGGTTTATTGGAGATAGGAGTCTCACGGTCTCTCCTGCCCGGGCTGGCTTTGAACCGCGATCCTCAGATCTCAGCCTCCTGAGTAGCTAGGATTACAGGCGTGAGCCACCAGCGCCCGGCAATAGAGGTAAGTTTTGTGGTTTTGTCTGCCTGTGTTGACTTCAAACCTTGAATCTTGAATCTCTGCACAGCTAGTGTCATAGGCATGAGCCACCAGCACCTGATCCCAGTTTCCATTAAACTGCTAAGACATCTTTTTACTGTCACTTGAATGTAACAGGAATGTCACTTATACAATTGATCACAACAATTCAACACACAAGAAATAAGATGCAGAATCTTAGCTCAAACAATATTCACTTGAGAAAAATGTCAAGCACATCGAATTACAATAAATGAGACTGAATAAAAATATACTGTTTCGTTCTTTTGAACCACTTTTCTAATCATTAACGGCACATGGATATAATATAGAAATGGGTTTCAAAGTCTGTAAGATACATCTCATCATGATAAAAGATATCAATAATAAAGTACTAACGTTTTAGCCTATAAAATTTAATAAAATATTAAAGTTTTATCTTATACTGACCTCATTCAGACATCGTTTCTTTGTGAATATATTTCTGATAAACGTTTCTTGAACTTCTTCCTGCTTCACCAAATACTGCCAAAGCCTTTTCACAGATAGTGCTAGATGATGTTTGGATCTACAGAGGGATAGTAAATTAAATGATGTGCTTTGAGATTTCTGACTTACCTGACAAGTCCTGGGTTCTATACCGATGTTTACTGCAATTAAGTAGAACCACAGTCATCCAGTAGAACAGTTCACAAGCTTTTTCTTTAAAGGACCAGAGAGTAAGTAAATATTTAGGCTTTATAAACAATATGGTTTCCATCACAAAGACACAGCTCTCCAGTGTATTGGGAAAAGCAGCCATACAGCCCTGATGCAAAATGCTCCAAAATATGAAACTTTTAAGTTGCTGACATAGTACTTGGAAACTTTCAGATTCTGAAGCACTTTGGATTTTTGATTAGGGTGGTTCACTAGTAAAGTCTACAGAAATATCCCCAAATCCCAAGCATTTTGGATAAGGACATCCAATCTATAACATGCAAATGACCAGTATGGATATGATAAAACAAACAAACAAAAAGCTTTATTTGCAAGAGCATGAGCAAAAGGGCTAGACTGGGCCTGAGTGGCCGGCCACTGTGTGATGACCCCTAAGATGGACATGGGATGTTCTAGGCTTCCTACAAGTGGGTGAGAATCAGAGCTGCTCAAAAGTGCTTTTGGTAAACATACCTCCAGGTTGTCTAATATTTTATCATTATTATCTCAAAATATTTCATCTAGTTTTGAGGATATTTCAAGAAGGAGGGCCTCAAAATATGACTTTATAATAGCATTTTGTAGCAACACAAATGTAGGCATTCTATTCAGTATACATTATGTTAAAATTGAACTATGTAACTTGAGGATAGAAATGGAAAGGGGAATAATGGGAGAGAGTGATGGAAGGGGTGATGTTGATCAAGGTGCATTGTACACATAACTGAAATGGAATTTTAACCTCTCTGAACAACTTCTAAATAATAAATTATTTTTTAATTAAAAAGTGTTTTCTGTAGACACATAATAGTCCAGAAACTCCGTCACTAATCAGCAGTGAGTTGACTTGGGCAACAACATTGACTATAACATTAAGAGACTAGACACTGCTTAGCTTTTTTGGCACAACTTCCTAGAGGAAGCGATTACTGCACTGATTTGACTTTTGCTTCAAACTTTCTCTTTTATGGACAGTAAAACACTTGCTGAATGGCTATATTCCTCTACCAAAAGTATCAATAAGCTGTGGCCCAAATGCCAAGTAGAATCATTATTTACAAAGAATAAAGTTTAATAGATTATCGCCAAGTTGCCCTCTTTACATACTGTCTACGTTTGCGTTGATCCTACATTGGCAGAGTTAGTTAAACAGAAAGGAGAAAGATGACCCTCAAAGCCTAGAATATTTACACTCTATCCTTGCCAGGAAAGCTTGTACCACATTACACAAAGGCACAAATTTGGACCTACAATTGAAAATTAAGCATGGTTCTTAAAAATATCTTTTCTCTCTTTTTTAGCAGTCACCTGATTTAGTAAAGTTTCTACTTAAGAACAGTATCTACAGGAAAACATACTTGAAAGGAGTATTTGTAGGTTCCAGTAAAGCTTTATGGCGGAGAATTGCAGGGCCTGCAGACAAACTCTCTTCAGACGTATGACTCGAGATATAGTTTTGAGGTGGTCCACCATGAATTTCAAGACGTCGGAGAAGAACCTGTTCCCAACACTGAAGAGTTTTCAGAACTGCGTGACAAAGAGGTGAACTGACTGGAAGCTCTGAAAAGGTAAAATATAAGTGAATCAGTTATTTTCTGCAGTAAAATGTTAATTCAATGGTTAGAACCTTGAGATAGGATACTAACACAATTTAGCGTGGAAAAGTGGACACAGACTCTTGTAGAGGGATAAAAAGATGTCATAAATCTGTATAAACATTTGAACACTACTGCCTCTCACTTTAGTTTCAGATAAAATGTACCTAAAGATTACAAAAATATATGTTCAAGGAAAATTAATTACCTGAAACTGTTCTATCAGTCCAAAGGTTAAGAGGGGGAAAATGAACCGCTTTCACTTTTGAATTAGTTATGACATACAGATCTGATATCTGTAACTTTAAAACTTGCTTAGAGGGGCTGAGAAGATGGCTCAGTGGTAGAGTGCCTGCCTTCCATGCATGAGGCCCTGAGTTCGATTCCTCAGCACCACATAATCAAAAAAAGCTAAAGTGGCACTATAGCTGAAGTGGCAGAGCACTAGCCTTGAGCTGAAGAGCGCAGGCCCAGAGTTAAAAACAAAAACCAAACTTGCTTAGAAAATGAAAATAAACTTTTGTGAAAAGTTAAAATAAGGGTGCATTGTCCAAAAGGAAATGTACTCTTTCCCTAACCTATGTATCCTCTATGTACATCACCTTTATCCTTTATAATAACAAATAAAAGATTAAGAAAATAATTTTTAAGAAGTTAACAATATTTGCCATGAAACTCAGCATTTTTCATTTTTACCTTTTCATACTTCTGACTTTTGTTCCACTTTCAACTTTAATTTCTACCTCCTCATATCTAAATATGCTTATACTGTTAGCTCTTGTTTTTGTTTTTAGTTCTGAAAATGACCTGCTGATTCATTACAACAGAACAGGATTCGTTCCATCATTCCAACACAATCACAAAAAATTTCTGGTTGATGTGTTGGTGTTTAACTCATTATATGTTCATTATACATTTGAAAAAACAGTTCTCAGCTGAATCTCTAAAAAGGTAAAATGTAAGTGAGCCAGCTGTTTTCTTCAGTAAAATGCTCTCTTCTCCTATACACCCATTTCCTCCTTTGCCGTTAGTAACTACGTTCTAGGTTTGTTTAGTTTCTGTGTCCTCCATTATGAAATCTCCAAACACTGAAAGAGATGAGAAAATCCTACTATCATTATCCACATAAGATTCAGTGTCTCTGATTTCAGACATTATCCTCTTCATGTATCTAATATTACAATGCACTAATTTAAAGGTAATTTCTTTAGTTAAAAGAAATATGTCTCTTACTATAGGAAGTTTTTAAGCTTTTCCTTCAATATTTAACCCAAATCACTATCACATTATTCATATAAAGACATTTATTACCTGCAAGATCATGACCTGCAGAGGGATAGAAAGTCTTCAAATTGTTGAGCACCAATTGTACCATAGCCAACCGCATCAAAGACCAACTACAAATTAAAAAAAGGTAGCTTGATTAAAGATTTACCTAGGGACTTATAAGAAGATGCCATCCTTTCAACTAACAATTTCACTTCTAGAATGTACTCTAAAGAGGAAACATACATACACAAAAAGAAAATAATATATACATACAGTTATTCATGCCAGCATTACCTAAAATAGCACAGCAATAAAAAATATAGGTCAAACTGTCCATCTACCAATAGAGTACTGGCTAAATGTAATTTTAAAGTATGGAATTTTAAGGTAATCATAACTAAGAAAGCTCTAAGTGTTAATGTGGAAAGAATGATGAATTAAATAATTTTTATTAACTATAACAGGTTTCAGAAATTATGTATGGTGTGACATTTTCTATGTAAGAAAACAGGAGAAAGCTGAGCACTGGCAGCTCCTGCCTATTCTCCCAGCTACTCAGAAGGCTGAGACTGGAGGATAGAGGTTCAAAGCCAGACCAGGCAGAAAAGTTCATGAGACTCCATCTTCAATTCACTAGAAAAAAAGCCTGACTGGAGGCAAGGCTCAAATGATAGAGTATCGGCCCTAAAGAAGAAAGCTAAGCAAGATCATGAGGCTTTGAATTCAAGAACAGAACTGGCACAAAGGAAGAAAAGAATGGGAGAGAAGGAGGGGAAACAAAATCACATAGATACATATATTTATTTTTGCAACCAGAAAGACAGCCAGGAAATAATTATCTGTAGAATTCTGTAGAAGCTATAGAGAAAAAAACCTGAGTGGAGGATACAAAAACATAACACTTTTTTTTTTTTTTTTGGTTGGTCATGGGGTTTGAACTCTGGGCTTGGGCACTGTCCCTGCGCTCTTCAGCTCAAGGTAAGTGCTCTACCGCTTGAGCCACAGCGCCACTTCCAGTTTTCTAGTGGTTTATTGGAGATAAGAGTCTCACAGGCTTTCATGCCTAGGCTGGCTTTGAACCGCAGTCCTCAGATCTCAGCCTCCTAAGTTTTTAGCTAGGTTTACAGGCATGAGCCACTGGCACCCGGCAAAAATATAAGATTTTTTATTTCATATTTCTACACACTGATGTGTTTTAAGAAGCAGGCAACCAGGGAGATTGACTGAGTGGGTGAGCTTGATAGGTTGGTTACATTGTATGCATGTAGGGAAAAATGTCATAATAAAATTCCCCTTGTACAACTAATATATGCTAATACAATCTTAAGTAAGTTAAAAAGTTTTTATTTCTATTTCTCTTTAATTTCGAGTGGAACACACTGCTTAAGGTATGGGCTTTTGTTTCTTAATTGTGTTTAAATTTACCATTTATTTCCCATCTTATTTGCAACATCTTCAACATCTAACTTCTTTCATCTTGCAAAACTAAAATCTACATTAACTCAATAATAACCACCCTCTTCCCTCTAGTCCTGCTCTTGGCAACTGCCATTTTACTTTTATTCTCCATGCATCAAGAACCATATGAAACTTTTTAGGACTGGCTTTCTTCACTTAGCACAATGTCTTTCAGACTCATCCTTGTTGGACCATGTGTTAAATTTTTTTCTTTTTTTTTCCTTTTTTTTTTTGTGTCAGCACTAGGGCTTAAACTAAGAACATTAGCTTTTTCTATCAGGGCTGATATGCTACCATTTAAGGCTCAGGAAATAAAAGTCTCAGACTTTCCTGCCTGGGCTGGCTTCAAACCACAATTCTCCAATCTCACATACCTGAGTAGATAGGATTACAGGTGTGAACCACTGGCATCTGGTACTTACTAATATCTTACTGTACTATTGTTCTATTAAAGACATTAGATTTTGTAGGCTGAAATCATTTATCTTAGGCCCAAATGGCAAAGCACAATCTAAGAGCAAGATTTGTGGGAATTGATACAAATGAAAACAATCTATTTATCAATAATCAAAACTTGAGAAATAACTAAGGAATTTACAATTTCAACTATATAAATGTTGAGTTATATTATAATTCACCAATAATTGATTAATTTTACATGCAAACATTATATAGGCCATAAAGATGTTTAAAAAGTTATGAAATATTCCATACCTATATGAATTTGAGTTAGAATGCTCTTGAAGGTGAAAATCTGAAGCTAACACATCATCTTCGTTATCATCATCATCACTTTCCAGACTCTCCTCTGAGTCATATTCTGGTCTACTTTGGGAAGGGGGTAGAAAAGGCTGAAACAAAAAAAGTTAAGCAATTTATCTAAACATCTGATTTAATACATTGAAACACCTAGTGTAATAGTATCAGTTCACTCCATCTACAGATATTTCAATATAGGGAAGCTGCCTTTGATGTAACTTAGTTCTACTTCTTTATTCACCCTGAAATTCAGCAAAAACTTTAACTACCCATTATGTACCACAAAGTGTATTTGATATGAAGAATTTTTGTTTTTTTTATTTCAGACAAGGTCTCTCTATGTAACCCAGCTTGGTGTTTTACCCTGTGATTTTCTTCCCTCAACCTTCTAGTTTTATGATTACAAACCTCTGAGATGTAAGAATATTTTAGATGGATACAGCCACTGCCCTAGGAGAGTTTTTATTGAAGTGGTAAACAGAAACAAATAATAAAAAAAAACTAGATAAAAATTACATTAAATACTATGAAGAAAAAAAAAGTAGAGGTAAAGAAGAACAAGAACTAAAATATGCTCATCATAGAAACCTTGTTGAAAAGTGGCACTTAGTGGGACCTAAAGGAGCGAACAAGCCATATAGCAAGTAGGAAAAAAATCATTTTAGGCAATGGAAATAGTACACAGAAGCAGTTTGGCAGAAGAGGACAAATGTTAAAGCTAATAGTAGATGAACTCACCAGCAGTGTCACGCAGGCCATGGTAAAGAAGTGTAATGTGTTGCCAATACTGAATTTTAGAGAAAGGGCATTGAAACATCATTCAGACATACTAACACCACTTTTTTATGAGAAAAAAAGTCATATATCAAGAGTAGAAATAAATAGCAACTGATTCAAGATCTAGAAAGCAAGAAAATGTAAGGAAAAATCCCAGCACTCCAGAGACTGGGGTAGGAGGATTTCTGAGTTGAAAGCCAGTTTGGACTACATAGTGTGACTCTGTTAAAAAAAAAAAAAAAGTGATAGAGGCAATTAGGCAAAGGAAGGGAGAAAAGAAAGGGAAGAAAGAGAGAAAAAGCAAATGACTCCTGCGCTTCTGCTATAAAGATGAGGCTACCATTATTAAAATGAGAAGATTTTGGACATGAAAAGGGAGATCTTGCTGGAGGCATGGCTCAAGTGGTAGAGTGCCAGCCAAATGAACAAACAAGCTACACAGCATAAGACCCTGAGTTCAAACCCCAGTTCCACAAAGAAAAGGAGGTGTTAGGGAAAATGAGTATCAATAGCCTGCATCTGAGGCCAATATTCTTGGGTCAAGTAGAAGAGGAAAGATAAAGAGAAATGGAAAATTAAGAAGGAATAAACAGCGGGGCGCTAGTGGCTCACGCCTGTAATTCTAACTATTCAGGAGGCTGAGATCTGAGGATTGTAGTTCAAAGCCAGCCCAGGCAGGAAAGTTCCTGAGACTCTTATCTCCAATAAACCATTCAGAAAACTGGAAGTGGCTCAAGTGGTAGAGTACTCACCTTGAGCTGAAGAGCTGAGGGACAGTGTTCAGGCCCATGACAAAAAAAAAAAAGGAATAAACAGTAAACGGGGGAAAAAAGTAAGAAGACACAGACATCAGTGGACAAAAGTAGAAAAAAATTTCAAGGAGAAAACGGCAAACACATTAAGTATTACTAGGAGGTCAGATAAGAGTGACAGTAAAAAAAAAAAAAAGTAGGGGGGGTGTTATTTGCCATGGATATCACCTGAATCTCATAAAAGCTGTTCCAGTGGGAGAAACAGACTGTAAGTTAGAAACAATTAGGGAAATACTGTGAGGCAGTAGGAAGAAATGTGGATGGCTGGAAAAGCTGACTCCACATAGAAAACACAAGTCATACAGGGAGGGACAAAGTTTTGGAGTCAAAGCAGGTGATCACAGAGGGAGAAATCATGCACACCTCTGCCCTAATGGAAAAGAGCAAGAGCGAGAGAGAGAATGTACTGAAACAGAAGAGAGCAGAAAAGAAAAATGAGAGGATTCAGAATAGACGGAAGTGAATGGTCTTTGACAGGAAGAATTCTTTCTCCACTTTTACAGGAGGAAAGAGCAGGATGGGAGTAAATGCAGACTGCATTACATACAGCTTTACAATGCAATGATAAAAGACTAGTGTGATTGCTGTGAAGTGATTTCCGAGTGAGGTCCAGTTGAGGGTAAGGGTCTGGGGTGTGGCTCAATGTAGGGCATTTGCCTAGCATGGGCAGGGCCCTGGGCTCCAGCCCAGCACCAGAGAGACCATGGGGGAAAGGCTGGAGAAACGCTGTGGGAATTTCAAAAAACATTATAAAATCTTGGCTGTAGGGAAGACCAATAAAAACATAAAAGAAACAGTAAGGAGGGTGGAACTTCGGCAACAGCTCAGAAAGAAACTTGGAAGTCTTCCACTCAAAAGGCAAAGAACTAGACGGTTTTCAAAACAACTTGGTTTATAATTAGGAAGTCTTATTATTACCAATATTAATTGAGAATTCTTACTACGACCAATATTAATAAATTTTATTGAAAATATAAAAATGCTGGGAATTAGTGTTTTTATTCTTAAATTATTACCAATCTGTTGCTTGAATAGTGTTTGTGTTGTAACTGTATCTTAGATAAGAATATATTCTTTATATGTATTAATAAACTGACAGACATATCTGTTTCTATCAGCTTCTACCTTTGCTCACTTTGCATTTTCAATTCTGAAAAATCTAATGTGGTTTTTGCCAAGGTCACACGCTAAAATATCCTCATGCTTTGTCCATAACTTTGTGAATTTACGTTGGCAAGCTTAGATTCACTAAATTCATCTATTTATAATTCTATATTCTTTCACATGGCAGTAATAGCCACATTTCCAGTTAGCTATTTTCCCCCACAATTCCATCTATATTCAACATGAATTTCCCTCATAGTACTATAATTTTTTTTCTTTTTGTTGCACTTTTTCTCTTTGGATTATCCAATTTTGTAAGGATCACAGGTTTACTCTGGAAACAAGAGAACAAAAATTATGTGCTATGTTGTGTGTAAATGAAGAGCAGGTACTAAATGACAAGTCACAAGCAGACTTGGAAAGAACCAATGTCACTTGACTCTCATCAAAGGTGTATCTGTTACTGACACAGTGATCTGTGAATGAAGATAGAGCAGGGAACCTTGCATTTTATGCAGGTACTTACACTTAGTATACAGTACTGGTAACTTAAATCTGAGCCACACTCTTGAGGGAATGATGCTATTTAACTGCAGGAATGGAAATATGTGCCTATCCAAACACTGCCATTGTGTTACACACATGGTATAATACGGCACGTTGTATTACACACCAGAAAGGGCTGGGGATGCAGCTCAGGGGCACAGTGCTTTCTTAACATGTATGAGTCTCTGGATTTGACCTTCAGGGTCTACAATATTCAACCCTAACAACATTGTTCTGCTTAAAACACAAAACTCAAAATTTAGCAAAAACATTGTCAAGGTTCATGTCTATAATCTTAATTACTCAGGATGCTAACACTTGTAGGATTAAAGTTCAAATCTAGCCAGAGAGAAAAATCCAGGGGACTCCACTACAGACACTGCTCACATCTGGTGAGCTCAAGCCCCAGAACTGGCACATTAAAAAAAAAAATCCCCTCCCCAACAAAAACCAAACACGTTGACCAACCAACCAACCAACCAAATAAATGCATGGCTTAAGTAGTAACTAGATACATGATCAAAATATCTTGCAGTTGTTTTATTTTCCTCACCAAAATATGGCCTGATACAAATGATAATTCTCTAAATCCAAGTGGAGAAATATTTGGAAGCACTAATAACTGGAATTAAGTTCCTTCATTTACACTTGGCTAAATGTACTCTTATTACCTTGGCTATGAAATAGTCCCAGATACTGAGCTCTGGGGGGATGAACTTCTCTTTAACGGCCGGTGACTCTGTGTCTATGGGTGGCGAGGATGAGGTCAGAAGAGCAGATTCTTGGCAAGGTGTTTTGGATGGCCTAAAATGTTTGTTTTGTTTTTCTCCTTCTTCCACTAGTGAGGACACTAAGTAGGAAATAAAGCATTATTAAACCATTATTTTCCTTATACTTATCTCATCGGCCTTTATACAAAATCTAAGGTTAACTACAATTAAGTACATACAAAAGGCTGGGACAGGACTATAAAATGTAAAACAAAAATCACTTTGTAAACCAACCTCTGCTTTTATATCTAATTTCTCCAACTTTTTGTTGTTGTTGTTGGTCATAGGGCCTGAACTCTGGGCCTGGGCGCTGTCGCTCAGCTCTTCAGCTCAAGGCTAACGCTCTACCACTTGAGCCACAGCGCCACTTCCAGATTTTTCTGCTTATGTGGCGCTGAAGAATCAAACCCAGGGCCTCATGTATGTGAGGCAAGCACTCTACCACTGAGCAACCTTCCCAGCTTCAACTTCTTCAACTTTTTGAACACTGACTTATCTGTTGTCTATGTAAGATAACAACATATAATGTCTACCTATATATCATCCATATTTTAGCTATGATCAGGATAGGAAATTTTCTAAATCCTTATACTTGGGAGTTTTGGGGGGAGAAATGGATGCTGAGGAATGAACCTAGGGCCTCACATTAGCTAATAAGCATTTCTACATTATTAAATCAGTATTTCTCTGCATGTTAACCTTGAACTCTAAAGATATTTAGCATTTAAAAAGTCATAAATACTACAGGCCTTATTTGATAAACTTACAAACAGTTCACATTAAGGAACATCAACATTTTTCTTCAATGTTTCCAATCAGATGCAAATATTTGTGCTATAATACAATTTTGTTTTGTTTGAAGCTATTCAGCTTGTAGACTCAACATACACACACTACATTTATCCAGCTACAATAATGCCAAATTAATTTGGTTGTTTCAGAATACAACTGCTTCTAATAGGACTCTTATATATGATGACACACATTCTAAAACTAAAGTGAAAAGAGGGCTGGATAAAGAGTTTATGAATTACAACAGCAGGGAGAGGGTAAAAAGTGTTTAAGAAGACTGAAGGCATGCATACTGAAGACTGACAGAACCAAGTCTTGCTGCCCTGATGCAAAGAAATGATCTTTAAAAGTAGGCTTCAGTGTAGCATCTCAGAGGCAGACTAGCAGACGAAACCATCTTCCCAAGAACCCCCTCCTCACCCTTACCACCTCTCCACTGTGGCGTTTTTAGAGCTAGGCAAGTGGCTCCAAAATTCAGAAGGGAAACGAGAGGTCTTTAACACACTTCATCTAAGGAACAAGAATGGGAAGTGCAGAGGAATAAGAAATTCACTGTTGCTTTTTATAATCTTTCTCTGTATTACTGCACTTGTTAATTTGAACAAATTACTCATTAAAATTAAAATCCAAGAAGAGAAAGGTTATTAAACTAGCAGTTATTGTTTCAGTTTACTACTTAATGCTAATTTAATTCAATTGCTTGGTGGTAGAACTATAGACACTTGTGAGAGGCCCTTGTTTTGGGAGGGGTGGGGAGTGGGGTTGTTTGTTTTGCCAGTCCTTGGAGCTTGAACTCAGGGGCCTGGGCACTGTCCCTGAACCTCTTTGTGCTCAAGGCTAGCGCTCTACCATTTTGAGCCACAGTACTACTTCTGACTCTTAATAGTTTACTAGAGATAAAAGTCGCACAGACTTTCTGGCCAGGACTGGCTACGAATCACAATCTTCAGATCTCAGCCTCCTGAGTAGCTAGAATTACAGGTGTGAGCCACCAGTGCCCAGCTTAGAGGCCCTGGTTTTGATCCTTATTACTCACCACCGCCCCCCCTCCCCCAAACCTAGAATAATGGAAATATATTCAAAATACTCTTCATATAAGACTTGAGACTACTACAACTATTAGAAAAGAAGACTGGAGAGAGATCATGTGCTTAGCTTCAGTAAGTTACATAGAAATTCTGAATGAGGGAATCTTGGTAAAACAGAAGACATGCTTCTTATAGTTAACTGCTTTGTTATTAAAAGCTTTAGGAGTGACATAAAGAAAAAATTTATCTGAAGGACGTACATGTGAATTATTTGGAAGGTTTAATTCTGTGCTTTCTCTACTTTTTTTTTTTTGGGCTTGAACTCAGGTCTAGACACTGTCCCTGAACTTTGAATCATAATCTTTCAACCTGCTGAGATTATAGGCATGAGCCTCCAGTGCCCAGCTTGCTTTCTCTGCTTTTTTTTTTTTTATAGAAAACTATGATTCTGTAGTAATTAACAAGATGTATGAATGCTTTTTAATTTTATCATATAGTCCTTAACAAACGGTTAAGACATTAACAAAAATGTATTATATTATCCTTGAAAGAAAAATGTTTCATTAGGATCCACAGCTTTTTGCAAGGTCTTTAATAAGCTATAGAACCTGGAAAAGCCATTGATTCATAACACAGTCCTGGTTTTGGTCTATATACATATAAACATAAATACACTATATATAAAACATAATTTTTTTTGGGTCCGGTCATGGGGCCTGTACTCTGGGCCTGGGCGCTGTCCCTCAGAGTTCAAGCCCCATGACCGACAGAAAAAAGAAATGTTAAATTTAATTTTTTCCATTTGTAAGTACTCTATCAAATATGAAAGGTCTTACCTACATGGGTCTATTACAGAAAGTGCTAAAACATTCTCCAACTAATGAAAGAAGTTCTCTACAATTAATCACCTGTAAAAAGTGTTTGGAATGGCTGGGCACTAGGGGCTAACACCTAGAATCCTACCTATTCAGGAGGCTGAAATCTGAGGATCGCAGTTAGAAGGTAGCTAAGTCTGAGAGACTCCCAAAGCTGGAAGTGAAGCTGTGTCTCAAATGGTAGAACACTATCCTTGAGCAAAAAAACTCAGAGACAGCACCTAGGCCCTGAGTCAAACCCCAGTACCACCCTTCCTCCCCCTCCTCTCTCTCATTCATACATACACATATACACAGTGTTTGGAATGTTAAATACCTAACTCTTTAATTTATTTTTTAAATTTTTTGCAGAGGTGACTACAGAGGAGTTACAGTTACATAAGTCAGGTGTTGAGTACATTTCTTTTTGAACCCTGCCACCCCTTCCCTCATTTTCTTTCCCTCCCAACTCCCCCCCACCAAGTTGTACAGTTCATTTCCAACATAGCACCTAGTGAGTATCACTGCTGAATTAGTTCACCCTTTGTCCCACCATTTCTGTGCTTCCCCTTCTAATTTTGTTTTTTATTTTAACTATACTCATCTTACCTTTTCAAGCAAGACATTTTGCTATTTTGCTAAAGAAACTATAGCAATCATGTGATAATCACTAAATACTAAGCACAGAACTCCTTATTTTTATGCAAGTTGCATAACGGGAACACTATTCATAATCAACACATTGAGTCCACGTTTAGCACAAATAATAAAATGTCAGAGATATTTAAAAATGTCTAAAATATGTCATTAGCAGCCTTATGACATAAAAGCTGACATACCAACTGCAAACAAAATATTCATTTTTTTATTTCATTCCTCAATTTGGAAAGAAACAGTCTTTACTGAAAATCTATTAAAAGAACAGTTACAAGAACAGTTCTTGTAATAGAAAATATTCTCAAAAATGTAATAAAAATTCTTGAAACAAAGTTATTTTGTCTTGCTTTAAAATATGCAATGAAAAGCAAAAGTATGGATTTCTAACTGTTGGCAGAAATGTATTTTTTGAAAATTGCTAATGCTTAGCTGATTCTCAACTTAAAAAGTTAACCGCAACAACGTAATTTAGAACACCATGAACATCCACAAAAATACTATGGTTTAACTATTAGAAAAAGCAAATTCTTCATTAATATGTGCGGTAAAATTCACAAACAAAATTAAACTTGATTAAACAGGAAACTGCAAAAAGAAGAAACTGTTTTATGTAACTGTAACCTCTCTGTATATCACCTTCATAATTTTTTTTAAAAAATACAAAAAAGGAAATGTTAATTTCTGTAGTTTTACGTTTTTGTTAAGAATTCTGACCTGCAAAGCTATGCTTTATTTTTTTTTTAAAGTACTGTTTTTAAAGCTCAAAGTACATTTTAAAATCATGCCACTGAAAATACTTTATTCAATGGACATGAAGTAAAATATAATTTAGTTTAGAGGCTATTGTTACAAAGAAAATTTAAAAATCAGAATTTACACCAGGAAAAAAACCCCAATATTATCTTTCAAACTTATTGACTAGCATTAAGCTTTCAAAAACACTTTTCTATACAAGTCAGTTTTCATTTAGCTAAATTGGTCTCCTTAGACGTTGAAGGTTTTTCTTGATTTTAGGTATCTGAAGTGTACAGTTTATACTTATTTTACAAACGTAAACTGATCTTGACTGAGTTTCATTACTTTTTCTTTTTTATTAGCACATGTTAATTATACCAGATTTCTTCCATACAGGTAAAGGTGGTAGACAATGTATATTGTTGGACAATGTATACTGTATATTTACTGCACCAAGACTTGTAGGGCATTGTGATTGTAAATACAGTGTTGTTTACCTACAACCTATAACATCAGTCTGCTCTTGTAGTATTGGTATCTTTAAAAACATAATCATGCCTAATTTTACTTAACATTGAAAGGCACCACTGCTAGTCCAGGATCCGAATAATTACATTCTCAGATTTTTTTTCTCTCATTTTCAGTGGCTCTACTTCATAGAACTGCTGCTTCTAGCCGACACTACTGCTGACACTCTCTCCTATCATATCCCCTTCTCCCTCTCTCTTCTAGCTCTCTCTCTCTTTTGGAACCAAGCATCTGGCTTCGTCATTCACCGGGGACTCTTTCTGGCTAGCCAACAGATGAGTCAGGTCGTTCACATTTTCTGAGAGTACCTTTACCGTTACTTTCCTGATCATGTTCAGGTGACTTCTGGGTTCTCACAGACAGGTATTCTAACTACATCCAGCCCTACCAGGGAAGTGAAAGAGCTTTAAAAATTCAATAGCTTAAAAGAGCCAAAACTCCATCAGCTCCAGACTTTATTCAAGGAACAAGGAGCCATGGAGGGAAGACTGCAAATTATTCCTCTGCTGCTACTTGTCCAATTTTACAAGTACTGCTTTGTGCGCAGCTCACAAACTGATAAGGGACCCAAGGTGATGCCCATGCTAGCCCTGAAAACGGTATCTACAGTCCTTATAAACTAGAATTTGTCTAATAGAAAAGGCAAATGCCCTATTCCAAATGAAGCAACAACAAACTGATTCTATCTCTAAAGCAGAGGTTTTTCACAATGTGACTTATTTCTGTAATTACTATTTTACTGGAACAGAGCTATGCTTTTGTTAACATACATTATCGATGACTGCTTTTGTGCCACAAGGACAGAATAGAACAGTTAGGAGACGCCAAAGGCTCTTAAGTCCCAACAAAACTGAATGACTTTGGCTCCAAACTATAAACTAAATCTATTTGATGTATTCTAAGTATTAAACAGAAGGGATTGAATCTATGGTCTGTTTTTGTTTGATGAGCGAAGTAAAGGACTCGGGACTAGAAATAAGAACAATGCTTGATAACTGAAGGAACAGTTTCAATTAATGTAATGCAAACTACGACACCAGTATTTGATTGTATAAACCCCTGCAATTAATGGTTAGTAGAAACAGCTTTTAGAATGCATAATGCAAGCCAGTGGTGCTCTTAATAATTTTTTTGGGGGGGGTTCGGTCGTGGGGCCTGAGCTCTGGGCCTGGGCGCTGTCCCTCAGCTCTTCAGCTCAAGGCTAGCACTCTACCACTTGAGCCACAGCGCCACTTCCGGCTTTTTTCTTTTTGCTTATGTGGTGCTGAGGAATCGAACCCAGGGCCTCATGCATGCAAGGCAAGCGCTCTACCACTGAGCCACCTTCCCAGCCGGCTCTTAATAATTTTTAAGTACTTTAAACAAGATAATAATTTTTTAAACTTTTTTTTTTTTTGGTCAGTCATAGGGCTTGAACTCTGGGCCTGGGCACTGTCTCTCAGCTCTTCAGTTCAAAGCGAGCACTCTAGCACCTGAGCCACAGCACCACTTTTTCTTAACAAAGCTGACTTTGAACCGCAATCCTCAGGTCTCAGCCTCCTGAGTAGCTAGGATTACAGGCGTGAGCCACTGGTACCCAGATAAACTTTGTTTTAACGTACTTTTACTTAAAGAACATTGGTCATTCCTGGTATAGATTATGGCAATATTTTCCTATATCACAAAACTGAGTGTAAGTTGTTCTTAGCTATTCTCTGCCAACCGTCTGACTTCTCACACAAAGGTACTCATATCTTGTAAAAAACAAAAATACTCTCATAGGTAACGTTATCCTGAGTGTAGATAAGAGGGAGGAAGTGTAATAAAGTTCAAAGAGATAAAACATCTTGTTGGGCTCCTCAAATGTATGCATACAGCTTAGTTTTGGAAAAGCATTTAAAATACTTTTAATTTAGTCTGTCTGTATAGAATACAATGGCCTTTCTAGTACTACATACTAATTCTTACATCTACTCCATATCATCTTAAAAACCTGGAAACCCAACATTACTATGTACAGGGTCAATAAATCACTGAAACAGGTACAAAGCATAATGGCAATTCTTTTCTTTTTTTTTTTCTTCTTTTTTTTGGGGGGGTCCGGTCATGGGGCCTGAACTCTGGGCCTGGGCACTGTCCCTCAGCTCTTCAGCTCAAGGCTAGCACTCTACCACTTGAGCCGCAACGCCACTTCCAGCTTTTATTCTTTTTGCTTATGTGGTGCTGAGGAATCGAACCCAGGGCCTCAGGCATGCAAGGCAAGCGCTCTATCAATGAGCCACCTTCCTAGTCCTGGCAATTCTTTTCAAGTTGAGAAAGTTTGCTGTTTCAATTTTTTTTTTTTTGGTGGGGGGCGGGCGCGTTGGTCAAGGGGCTTGAACTCAGGGCCTGGGCACGGTCCCTGAGCCTCTTTATACTCAAGGCTAGTGCTCTCTACCACTTGAGTGCAGCACCGCTTCTGGCTTTCTCTGAGTATTTTACTAGAAATACCAGTTAACTCATGGACTTTTCCTGCCTGAGCTGGCTTCAAACTGTGATCCTCAGATCTCAGCCTCCTGAGTAGCTAGGATTACAGGTGTGAGTCACCACCAGCACCTGGTTGCTGTTTCAATCTTTAAATAAACATAGTATAGTTTTAGCAGTAGTGGATAAATTTTAATATTAACTTTCATGGCATTATGAACACTTAGAAATCCAAAAATTCTCACAGCCAGTCATTATACGCAAATCACAAAGCAGCCTTTTAAAAAATATTTTCAAGACACTTCAAGCCATAGTCTGATTTCATATGATCAGCACTGACATCTTTATATTTTCCATACTTAAAAATGTAAGGGTTAGAACACATTTTAAAATGGAGAATTTCAAAGCAAAAGTAGTTTTGTAAAATGCAAATCATTGTTATAAACCAAAAGTATGGCTTGGTTAAAGGCAATTTGTCAATTTTCCATTAAGTGACAGGCAAAATAAAATCATTCCACTCTTCCAACCCCTTGAAACAAACACACAGCAAGGAAAACTGTAAAAGCCTATTTCTAAAGCTAGTATCTTGCCTGCAAAACTGGGAGGACTATGGGAACTGATGGCTGAAAGAGCTTTGGAAAAGCCCACACATTCCATGGAGAACACCACTACCTGGTGGGGGCTAGGCATAGCAAATGGCCTTCCTGCCAAAGAAAGAAGAGAGAATCTGTATTTGGCACAGAACAAAAAGCAATGATACAGCGTAGTTCAAAGAAATAAAAATTATGATAGCAAAGTATTTTAAAAAATTAAAACTGATTTTTTAAATCATTGATACTGGAATACCTTACAGATTAAAAACCACACCAGAAACTTTTAATACTTCATTTTCACCAGAAAACTATTTATTAAAAAAAAACTCTGGGACAAGAGCTTTCTATGACTAAATTAAAATTAATTAGATATGATAAAGTTACCACTCACATGAATAAAAGGAAAAAAAAAAAAGATTGAAAACTGACCAGGTAAAGCTTTTGCGTGAGCCTGTTCTTTGCTGGACACACGGGCCCCGCCACCAAATACTGCAGACCACATTTTTTCATTTAGAGGATGGGCCACAATCCGAAAGAGTTCATTGCTAGAATGTGTGGCCAGGCCATGGATGAAGAGACTAAGGTAGACTGCCGTGAGAATTTCACAGAGCAAGATCGTAAGTCCTGACTGGGCTTCCTCACCAGAAGAGGTCAAAAGGCGAATTAGACAAGTTATTCCTAAAATAAACAACAAACACAGAAGCTATTGACTATACATTTTGTTTGCGGGGGAGAAGGACTAGGGATGTAAACTCAGGGCCTTGGGCTTACAAGGCTCTACACTAGAGCCACACCACCGACTTTTTTTTTTTTTTTTAATGGTTATTTTCATCATAAGATCTCCCAAATTGACTGACTGGGCTATTCTTGAACCATGATTCATTCTGTTCTTAGTTTCCCAAATAGCTGTAATTTTAAGGGTTAGCCAACAGTACTTGGCACAAATACATTTTTGTCTGTCTCTCTGTTTTGATTAGGTTATATTAGTTAAACAGAAGGGAATTTCATTTTTACATTTCCATGTTTACAGTATGTTCCAATCAATCAATCTTACCCCCTCTATCATTTTACTTCCTAATTTTTGAAATTTTCTTAGTTTTTGAGAAAAAAAGACTATACTATATCCATTAGGATTAAGTCTTTTCTTCTCAAGTGTCATAACTAGTAGTACATACTAGAGTTACTGAGTAAATGTTGAGCTATTTGTTCAACTAGGTAAACACTGAAAATCTGCAGTTTGTCTCAAATCTCATATGTAAACTTTTTTTTTTGGTAGCACTGAGATTTGAACTCAGGGCTTTATGCTTCCTCTTACTGCTGGATCCTAGCCTTCAGCTCTTTTATAGGCCAGAGCAAATAGGCCCTGCCTAGGAGCCTGTCAAAGCACAATCCACTTTAAGTTAGGCTTTCTGTCATAGATAGGATAATTATGTGCCACAGTGCCCACCTCTCCACTGAGAAAGGGCCTCCAAATTTTTCTGTGTTCGCGTCAAAAACCGCAATCTTCCCACTTCAAATAACACAAACTTTTGATGCATGCTTTAAAATTTTTAAATGATGTGACAAAACACTTTGATATAATCAATATAGTTTTAGATAATTAAGGAAATAATACAGAATTAAGTAATTACAGAATTTGTCATTACAGACGAATACAGAATTGGTATCAATTCTAGCAACATTAAGTGATTATTATATACTAAGCAATAATTTAAAAAATCAAGCTTTTTGCTTAATATTTTCAATAAACCCTAAAGAAATTAATATCAAAGAATATTAAGAAAACCTCATATACATTACTTATACCTGGCCATTGAGCTGGTGCTGTGTTGGGAGTGACTGCTTCTTCCAAGCTTCCTGTTCTCAAAGAATGTCGATGGGGAAGCAGTACTGTTTGATAGACCATTCCAGTAAACTGATTTGTCTGAAATGAACTAAGAGAAGAATGCAGTATGTAAATCTACCATGAATTTCACATGAATATTTCTAAATTTGAGATCTAATTTCTAGGGTAACTTAAATACTAATATTTACTTATTATATTTAGGTTGTATATTCTGTAATTTGGCGCTATTTAAAATAAACTATCCTATAAAGTATAAATACATACATCTTTTTAAACCAAAACACACTTAAAAGACTTTAGGAATATTCATTAATAGTGATTACAAACAAATGGAATAAAAACTACATCACTATGAACAAGTAGCAAACTCACTATGAACAAGTAGCAAACTCATATATAGGACTTGGAGGGGGAGGGGGTTGGAGGGGGGGGAGGGGAAAGGGTGTTTGATGGTTCATGAACTCAGGGCCTAGACACTGTTGCTGAGCCTTTTTGCTCAAGACTAGTGCCCTATCACTTGAGCCACAGCTCCACTTCCTGCTTCTGGGTAGTTAGTTAGAAATGGACTTTTCCTTTCTGGGCTGGCTTTAAACTAAGATCCTAAGACCTTTGCTTCCTGAGTAGATAGGATTATAGATGTGAGCCACCAAAACTTGGATTTACTCATAGGACTTTAAAACAGCCTATCTGATGGGGGCGGGAGGTAAGCACATTCAGTTTCAATTCCATATTTAATGGCTCTCCTGCCCTACACATCAGGCACTGAACAAGGTGCCAAGCACATACGCTCCTGTAAGAGAATCAGGCAGGTTGTTCTGAAGATGAAACTATGCCTATGGCATGACTAAAGTTACCCATTTGAGTTCAGGATAAGTCTCACCAAGCAAAGGATACAGTGAAGCATGATCTCATTGGAGGTACTACACCATAGGAAGTTGGGAAAGGAAACCCCAACACTGTATCTCTTGTGGAGAGGACTATTTAGACCTCATCTATAAGGTCCCAAACCTAGTTTACCTATTAAGCCTAAACAGAAAGCAAGACATTGCAGAAGAATAAATCAATGTCAGGAAAACAAAGCTAGGATTTTTGTTTGAATGAAACAAAGAGATAAAGAAAAATAAGATGGACTTACAAGTTCCAGTGTCTGGACAGAAAACTTCAAAGAATTAAAGATAGATACAATGTAGACGGAATGACAGCTATTAGTTGAGAAGGGGATCTCCTGAAGTTATTTTCCTGGGATTGCCTTAACCCAGGACCTCCTCATTCACTTTTTTTTTCTTTTTTTTTGGGGGGGGGGGGGGAGGTCCATTCATGGGGCTTGAACTCTGGGCCTGGGCGCTGTCCTTCAGCTCTTCAGCTCAAGGTTAGCGCTCTACCACTTGAGCCACAGCGCCACTTCCAGCTTTTTTTTTCTGCTTATGTGGTGCTGAGGAATCGAACCCAGTGCCTCATGCATGCAAGGCAAGCACTCTACCACTGAGCCACCTTCCCAGCCCCTGATTCATGTTTTTAAGTATAACCTTTCTCTTCTTACTAGCAAGGGGCTGGGGGGAGTGGAAAGGGGAGAGGTCAGAGGAAGAGGAGTGGATGAATGAAGAGGGAAGGAGAGGAGAACACTTTTAGATAAGAATCATTGTACATGGCACAAAATGAAGAAAAGTAAAGGGAGTGAAAATGCTGAAAGGGTGACGCTGATCTTGAGGCACTGCATCCATAACGTGCTGTATTAAATGGTTCTTCCTTTGCACAACTACTTAATAAGAACATTGAAAAAGAAAGAAAAAAGATAGCTATAAAAAGACTTCACAGAATATCAAACAGTATTTTTAAAGCCTATATTATGGTGAAACTTTACAAAATAAAGAGAATACCCTAAAAATTATACTGTCTGTGAAATTCCTCTCAATTCCAAGCCAATCACTTCCTATCCTGTGCTCCTTAGGTTCCTGACCACCAAATTACAGCGCTCAGATAAAGGCTATGCCTTGTTGTCATATATCAGTTCATATTACTTTTCTCTAACCAAACTGGTCTTAAGGAAGGAGTTCTTACCCTATTCATTCTAAAATTATCAGCATCTCTCACAATGTCCAGCAAAAGCCAGTGATCAATAATAGGATGCTAAATAAGTTATACTGACAAGGTTTACTTGATATTTGCTTATTATGAAGTCATATGCTAAATTTCCAAGATTAAAAACAAGTACTCAATACCTCAGCCATACGTTTTTGCATTATTGAAAGGACTGCTATATATAGTTCTAAATTAATAATGTATAAAATATGATACCTCAGAGGTACAGTAAACATTCTTACATTTCAAAAAGACATTTACCTGTAGTTATGACTACCACAAAGGCACTGATAAATACAAGCAGAAAGTGAGGCTGCTAAAGTATGCATTACATATACCTGGAAAAAATAAAACAAAATTAAGTATAGGATTTTAAAGTATAATTTTTATTAAGACTAAATATAGCATTTTTTATGGTAGTCCTGGGGCTTGAATTCAGGGCCTGGGCACTGTCCTTGAGCTTCTTTTGCTCAAGGCTAGCACTCTACCACTGAGCCACCCTACTTCCAGCTTTTTCTGGTATGTGGTACTAAGGAATCGAACCCAGGGCTTTATGCATGCTAGGCAAGCTCTCTACCACTGAGCCACCTTCCCAGGCCCTAGTTGGCATTTTTTTTTAAAGTGAAAAAAAAAAAATCTTTTGCTCACACTGATTTCCACCTAAAGAGAAAATTTTTTTCAAAAAACCCCACAAAAAACAAAAAAACAAAACTCAGAGTCTTCTGGCAGAATTATAAAATACATAGGTGCTATGTATAATTATTTTTCAAAAAGGGAATAAAGGGAAAATGTCAGCTCTCAGCTCTCCAGTAGAGAATGAGCCACATATTAAAAGCATGTCCTTTAACACTAAAGCTGCTCTTTCCTTAAAACAAAATATGGAAGCACACACTAATAATTGCCAGTTCACCTATAGACAAGTCATAGAGGAAAATGCACCATGTATTCTAGCTACCATAAAAAACAATGGCAAGAGACTAATACCGGGGCTGGGAAGGTGGCTCAGTGGTAGAGTGCTTGCCTTGCATGCATGAAGCCCTGGGTTCGATTCCTCAGCACCACATAAGCAAAAAGAAAAAAAAGCCGGAAGTGGCGCTGTGGCTCGAGTGGTAGAGCACTAGCCTTGAGCTGAAGAGCTGAGGGACAACTCCCAGGCCCAGAGTTGAGGCCTCACGATCGGACGCCCCCCCCCCAAAAAAAAGAAAGACTAATACCTAGAAAGGAGTGTGGAAGACAGTAATCAAAAGACACTGGGGTCAAGCATTTGTTTTAAGCAAGACCTACAGTAGTAGACCCAATGACAGGAAGAAGCTTAAGCTAGGTAAGAAAGTAGACCAGATGAGAATATTGAAAGACTCTCAACTGTCAATAAAATACGTGATTACAAGGTATCTTATAACTGAAAATGGTAAAGATCATGGATGAGAGATCACAATTTGTTTTTTCTCCAATAAGAATTCCATTTCTATTGCTCTTAAACCCCTGCAACCATCTTATGAAATAACAGCAACAAAATAGGTGTGCCTGAGTGACATGTACAGTCACACATTATTCTGAAGGGGTTTCTGGTTTAGCTTAATATTGAGATGAGCAGACTAACTGAAGCAGATTGGGGGAAGGGGCCACCCTCCCATCAACTAAGAGGCCTGGAGAAAGCTGGCCTGGCTGACCCAGAGGAAACTGCTACCTAATTGCACTGAGCTAGGACACAGTCCTTTCTCATGTCCTAACTCAGATGGAAACACAACCTCTTGTTGGGTCTTAAGCCTATTTACCTTTAGATTAGAATTTACACAACAGACTTTCATGGTTCTTGGGACGTTAAACCTGACGTGGAATTAGACCACCAACTGCTGACCCAGATCACCAGTTTATCAAATGCAAACACTGGAGCTTTACAGCCTCCACAGTCATTTGAGGCAAGTCCTTATACTCAAGCAATCTGTCTATATCTGACTCTCCTTTCTCTCACTCCCTATATATACTATCCAGCCTGATATGGTGGGCTCGTATGCTGGAGGAAGAGATACATACGATCTGGATTTTCCTGTCATCCTTTATCAACCATCACTGCCTAGGATGAATGAGTCTAGAGATGAGCCAAACTGCCCAAACCATGGTACTGATAAGCCAACTCATGAAACCACAAGAAAAATAAATGTTTTTTAAAGCTAGCTATGTTTCAGGGTTTTTTGTTTTGTTTTGTTTTGTGTGGGTTATGGGACTTGAACTCTGGGCCTGGGCACTGTCCCTGAACTCTTCAGCTCAATGCAAGCGCTCCACCTCCTGAGCCACAGAGCCACTTCCAGTTTCACGGACTTTTCTGCCTGGGCTGGCTTTGAACCATGAGGAGACCTCAGCTTCCTGATGGCTAGGATTACAGGCATGAGCCACCGGCATCCGGCTCAGGGTAGTTATTGAAGCAGCAAATGCTACTTACTAAAAGCTAGTGTGACATATTGTAACCATGCTATAATTTAAATATGGAATATGATTTTCTAAAATGGCACAATATGAAGGAAATTAAATTTCAAACTGTGTAATATGCACTATGGACACATAACTATAGAGCAATGCAGCAAAAGAAATGACAAAATTAAGTTACAAAAGTTTCCTAAGAGGACAAAACTATGGAAGTAGTGTCCACTATCACACAAACAGAATCAAACTGGTGTGACATCATAACCTGTGAGATGAACAAGAACCACATGATAGACCACGAGGGAAAAATCCAAAAGATATAAAAATTATCAAATTCAAAGCCATATTTCAAAGGACAGTAAAGATATCAACTGATAAAGTGGAAGGATATGGGGGATGAGATTGATAATTTTTTTTGTCAGTCGTGGGGCTTGAACTCTGGCCTTGGGCACCATCCCTGAGCTCTTCAGCTCAAGGCAAGCACTCTAACACTTGAGCCACAATGCCACTTCAGTTTTCTGGTTGTTTATTGGAGATAAGAATCCCATGGTCTTTCCTGCCCGGCCTGGCTTTGAATCGCAACCCTCAGATCTCAGCCTCCTGAGTGGCAGGAATTACAGGTATGAGCTACCAGCACCCAACTTTCTTTTTTTTTTTTTGTTGGTCATGGGGCCTGAACTCTGGGCCTAGGCGCTGCCACTCAGCTCTTCAGCTCAAGGCTAGCACTCTTATCATTTGAGCCACAGCGCCACTGCTGGCTTTTTCTATGTATGTGGTGCTGAGGAATCGAACCCAGGGCCCCATGCTCTACCTTCCCAGGCCCCACCACCCAGCTTTCCATTTTTTTAAATACAATTTTATTGTTATTATTATAGTCAGAAAATTATTCTACTGAGTTTAAGAAACACAATAAGATAAACCTGATCCATAACTGGCTTTCTTTAAACAGAATATAAAGGTAGTAATGGAACAACTGGCTCTCTACTCTGGCCATAACTGCTTTCAACCAAGGTTAAACATACATCTTTTAGGCTTTTCATCCTATATAAGCAAATCAAAAGTGTGAAGCCAAACATACTTACTTTATTGCTTTGGCTATCTGGATGAGGTGGTGAATCCAAGTTTATAATGGCATGTAGAATATCGTGTGTCAGATTACTAAGGTGCAATAATGGATTGGCAACTACTGTTTTGGCACTGGCTGTACAAGCAAAGAGGAGAGGCACTGAGGTTTGCTCTGACAGAGGGCTAGGAAACAGTGGGTCTGATGTTTCCTTAAAAACATACAAGAAAAAAAGTTGATAATCACAGGTTAAACAATTCAGAAAATTCTTTGAGAAACTCCAAAAGTATTAAAAGCTTTCTATTTTTATAAATATAGAAACTTAAAAACCTAGAAAGGATCTTAGGAGCTCAACGTTTTATCAAACACAATTTAAAACGCAACAAAGAGAAGCTCCACCCATTACAAGGCATTCATTTAAGGCTACAGAAGAGTGAATTAAGCAAGGCATAGAGCTGATACAGAACTGCCCTCCAACGATAATACATACACAACTCTACAAGTTCCTAACACGATGGGCTATGTACAAAGGAGAATGCTTTAAAAAGCAATGGTCATAAAGAAAATCAAGTTTTAGTATTTAAAACAGGAAGATAGAACACCAAAAGCTGCTTCATGCATGTTCTATAATTTTTTTTTGAATTAGTACAAGTTGCATACCTGCTGACATTCTTGTAAAAGCAAAATCAGTTCCATTCTTACAGATGCAAGACCCCCACCATGGGAGCCGTGAAGTATACAGTAACTAAGAAACATTCTCAGGAGTGACTGATATTTCAAGAGCCACTGTCTCTTTTCCTGAAAACTCTCTCTCAGTTGTTTCGCTTTTGTTTGGTGGTGCAAACCATCAGCGTCCTTGCTGAATCCAAATTCATCTCTATTTTTGCCATCTGTGGTGGGCAGTTCTTCCACATCTGAGCAAAAGTTACATGTCCTCTGAAGAGCTACCACCTCTTTCTCAAGCCAGTGGTATAATTGGTAACGTAATTTTCCACCATCTATTTCATAGCCAGTAGATAAAGTACGAAGTTCTACTGTGAGAATCTTTAAACATGCTCTAAATTTTAACTGAACAGCAATTATATCTTCTGATGGATTTAAAATATCATTTTCATCTAGGGTGCTAAAAGAGTCTGTATAACTGCTTACTTCATCTAATTTTGCATCTACTTTTCTCTGTAATGGTTTCAGTTCTTTCATGCAAATAGGGAGATCCTCATTTTCTTCATCATTATCACTGTCCCATTTTAACTCTAAAGAATCATCCTGAAATACAACACTTGGCTGGCTCCAATCAAAAGAAAGAGTGGAGTTGGATTGCTTCTCCGAAGAGCCCTCTGAAGAAGAGTCAAAACCATTTGTCAGTGACTGGGACCAGTTAATTGCAGAAGATTTATCTTCTTTTGCATCCAGTTTCACTGGAGAAGAATCTTTACTACTATCCAGAAAACCAGATGCTCTACAAAAAGGTTTTATTTTCTTGATGACTCTGGGCATCTTTGATAATACTTCCAAGGCCAACATAGGACAGCCAGCTTTTAGATGAGCACTAGCAGTAGTAAAGAATAACCTTCTTTCACTCAAACTAATGGTTCCTGCCAATCCACTCTGTCCTGGTAAACCCAGCTGTGCGGAAAACGTATCAGATGATCCAAAATGACGTCTCAGCAAAACAGGGTGTGTCCTTAGGTAATTATAAAAATTAAAAACTGCAGGATTACAGGCTGACACCAAGACTTGATCTGAAAGTAAATGTAAATTCATCTTCAGAATTGAAAAGTTTAAGATCTGAATTGAGTGTATTAGATTGTACTTTATCTCGACTATGTTGCCTTTATCCATCTGGTCTTCTGACCAATTTTATTAATAGGCCACACCAATCCATAGCATTGAACAAACAAGAACACATTTATAAAGAAAAGTGTTTCAACAAGATAGGAAAACAAAAGTTATGCTTTTTTTCCCCCACTGCAACAAATCTTTTCAGGTAACATTCTTAATTTTTGTTCTGTCATTTATCTCATGATCAAAACACTTATGAATTGAGCTTTCACATAATTTTTTTTTTTTTGGGTCCGGTCATGGGGCCTGAACTCTGGGCCTGGGCGCTGTCCCTCAGCTCTTCAGCTCAAGGCTAGTGCTCTACCACTTGAGCCACAGCGCCACTTCCGGCTTTTTGCTTATGTGGTGCTGAGGAATGAACCCAGGGCCTCATGCATGCAAGGCAAGCGCTCTACCACTGAGCCACCTTCCCAGCCCAAGCTTTCACATAATTTTTAAGCCAGGTGCTGCTGCCTCACATATGTAGTCCTCAATACTCAGGCGACTGAGTTCTGGAAGACAAGTTTTCAAGCCAGCCCAGGTAGGAAAGTCAGGGAGACTCTTATCTCCAAAGAGCCGCAAGTGGAACTGTGGCACATGGGGGTAGAGTTAGCCTTGAGCAAAAAATGCTCAGGGACAGTGCTGAGTTCAAGCACTACAACCAAACACCCAAACACTCCCAAACACACACACACACACACACAAAATTTCTAATCTTATCAACTTAAGTCAACTTTCTTTAAAAGTGTGTACAAGTTTTACAGTAAGAATTATAAAGCTTTTTAAACAGCAATAGATAGAACCTAAGGTACAAAACTGATTTTATATTAGTATTACTTCAAACTCTTTTAGTCAAATGTTCGTATTATTTATGTTTAAAAAATCTATTTCAAGGCTGGGAAGGTGGCTCAGTGGTAGAGTGCTTGCCTTGCATGTATGAGGCCCTGGGTTCGATTCCTCAGCACTACATAAGCAAAAAGAAAAAAAGCCGGAAGTGGTGCTGTGGCTCAAGTGGTAGAGCGCTAGCCTTGAGCTGAAGAGCTGAGGGACAGCGCCCAGGCCCAGAGTTCAGGCCCCACGACCGAACCCCTCTCCCCCCCCCAAAAAGAAAAACTATTTCATAACAACAGAAAACTCTGAATTCTTCATTTTCAAATGATTTAACACTCTGAAAATAAATTTAAATACATAGCCTATATTCCTAATCCACAAAGCCACAAAAACTCTAAATTCAAAAAAAAATTTTTTTTTGTCAGTCATGGGGCTTGAACCCTAGGTCTGAGTGCTGACCCTAAGACACTTTGTGCTCAAGGCTAGTGGTGTACCATTTGAGCCACAGCACCACTTCCAGTTTTTGAGTAATTAATTGGAGATAAGAGTATCAGGGGGACTTCTCTGCCTGGGCTGGTTTCAAACCGCTATCCTCATAATTCAGCCTCCTAAGTAGCTAGGATTATAGGTGTGAACACTGGTGCCCAACTATAAATTCAATTTTTTATAATATCACCCTTGATACCCAACAATGGTCTGCACATCTAGCAGCATTAATATACTTATTCATTAACCACTTGGAAATACAGCTTACCATCATCTTCTCTCACTGGTTGCTTTATTAACGTTTCCAGAGCATCACTGTAATCTTCCAAAATCCAGTATGCCATACTCCGAAGGAATGGATCACAATGCACACTTATGTCCGATGAACTAAGTTCACTGACACGAGAATCAATGCCCAAAACTTTTTTCCGTAAAATTGATTTGTATGTTGTAGATTTATCAAATTCAGACTCATATAGTCTTGCTATTACAAGAGCTAACTGAATGTCATTCAGTTTCTCAAGACATACCTTAAAAAAAATTACCCATTAATAAGCATCTTTCATTGCAGTATAAATTTAATTAGTTTACCAACAACTAGTATAACACAGGGCTTTACTAGTCTCCAAAATTAACAAACACAGGTATGAGAATTAAATATATACAGGTTGGCTTACTTTAGCAAATTTGCTTGGGAACATTTATACTAACATTTGCAAATATGCTTCCTAATACTAAATATGTATTTCCAAAAACATTTAGACTAATAAGGATGTATGTATCAGATAAAAACTCTAAACAGTGTCAGTTTGAGCAATTTTATTTTATTCCTGAGCCACTAGTCTTTTCTATCAGTGGCAGCAAGTATGGCATTTCCAAATTAAAGGCTGTTTTGAATTTCCTGTTATGAGAATGTGAACAAAGGGCAAATTGATGCAGAAATGTTACATCTGAAATGTTCATAATTTTTTTCACACTTACTGAAAAACAATCACTGAAAAATTTTCTAATGTTCATTAAGACGAAGCCAGACATATTCAACTATATTTAAATAAGCAGAACAAGCCAGGCACTAGTGGCTCACACCTATAATTCTGACTACTCGGACATGATCTGAAGATCGAGGTTCAAAGCCAGCCCGGAAGCAAAGTCCCTGAACCTCTTATCTCTAACTAACAAAAAAGCTGGGAGTAAAGGTGTGGATCAAGGGGTAGACTGCTAGCCTTGAGCACAAAAGTGAAGGGACAGCACGCAGGCCCTGAGTTTAAGCCCCAGGATCTGCACAAACCAAAACAACAACAACAAAAAACAACAAATAGAACAGATCTTTTTTTTTTAAGTTGTTCATGAAAAGAGTTATGAACTATCCATTCTACCAATCATTCAAACTAAATGACAGCTTTTAAAGGTTACTATATTAACAGATACTTCAGATATTTAGCCTTGTTATTTCTAAGGTGAAAATAAAATTAAAACTAAGAGCTTAGAAAGATGATAGTACTATTTTAAAAGTTTTTTCATTACCTCAACTGCATCTCTCAGACAACCAGCTAAAAGAAAAAATGCTGCAGAATGTTCAAATCTTTGTTTGCCTAGCAAAGAAAATGCATTCTTCAGAGCTGCTTTACGCCACCTCTCTTCCTCAAAATTGTGTCCGAAAAATTGTGTCATTCTAGTGTCCTTCTGAGATCTATAAAGAAAAGTATAAAAAAGAATATATTTTTGGAATTAATCTCCTAAAAGTTATGACTTAAAAATTAGGACTGACAATATATGTAATCCAACACATCAACAGGGCCAAGTTTAAGAATCACATGATTATCGCCACAGATGCAGAAAAGGCCTTTGATAAAATTCAACATTCATTCATGCTAAAAGCTCTGGAGAAAATACGAATAGAAGGAACATTTCTAAACACAATAAAAGCCATTTATGACAGACCAATAGCCAATATTATACTTAATGGGGAAAAGCTACAACCAATCCTCCTAAAATCAGGAACAAGGCTTCTCCACTCCTCTTCAATATAGTCCTGGAACCCTTAGCCAGGGCAATAAGGCAAGAAAAAGACATTAAAGGGATCCGCATAGAGAAAGAAGAAGTTAAACTATCCCTTTTTGCAGACGACATGATACTATACCTTCACGATCCCAAAAACTACATCCCTAAACTCTTAGAAATCATAAATCACTTTGGCAAAGTAGCAGGATACAAAATCAAACCCACAAAAATCAGTTGCCTTCCTGTACACTGACAATGTACAAGAAGAGAGGGAAATAAAGGGAGCAACCCTATTCACAATAACCTCCCAAAAAATAAAATATTTAGGAATTAACCTAACCAAAGATGTAAAAGAACTATTTAATGAGAACTATAAAAAGTTAAAGAAATTGCAGAAGACACCAGGAAATGGAAAGACCTCCCATGCTCTTGGATAGGCAGACTTAATATAGTGAAGATGGTAATGCTGCCAAAATTAATATACAAATTCAATGCAATTCCTATTAAAATCCCAATGACGTACATCACTGAAATACAGAAAACAGTCCAAAAATTCATATGGAACAACAAAAGACCTAGAATAGCCAAAACAATTCTAGGCAATAAAGACAACATGGGAGGGATATCCATGCCGAACTTACATGGGAGGGATATCCATGCCGAACTTCAAACTCTACTACAGAGCTATAATAACAAAGACAGCATGGTACTGGAGCAAAAACAGACCCAAAGACCAATGGAATAGAAGATCCAGAAATAAATCCACAGGCCTACAGACAAAGGAGCCACACACATACAATGGAAGAAACACAGCCTCTTCAACCACTGGTGCTGAGAAAACTGGGCGGCCACATGCAGAAAACTAAAAGTGGACCCCAGCCTATCACCATGCACCAATATCAACTCAAAATGGATTAAAGACCTTAACATTAAACCTGAATCTCTGAAACTATTGCAGGACAGAGTAGGAGAGACACTTGAACTAATAGGCACAGGAAGGAACTTCCTGAACAGAGTCCCAGGGTCACAAGTTGGAGAGAGACTCGACAAATGGGACTATCTTAAAATAAAAAGCTTCTGCACAGCTAAAGCTAGCGCAACCAAGCTAGAAAGGCAACCAACTAATTGGGAAAAAATATTTACCAGCAATATACCAGACAAAGGGTTAACATCCTGTATATACAGGGAACTCAAGAAACTAATCCCTCCCAAACCTATCAAACCAATTACTAAATGGGCAAGGGAACTAAAGAGGGACTTCTCAAATGAAGAAATAAAAATGGCAAAGAAACACATGAGGAAATGTTCATCATCCCTGGTGGTGAAGGAAATGCAAATAAAGACAACCCTGAGATACCACCTTACCCCAGTCAGAATGTCCCACATCCACAAATCAGCCAACGACAAATGCTGGAGGGGATGTGGAGAAAGAGGAACCCTATTACACTGCTGGTGGGAATGTACACTTATACAACCACTTTGGAAAGCAGTCTGGAAGGTCCTTAGAAAGCTAAAGATTGACCTCCCTTACGACCCAGTCATACCACTTCTAGGCATCTATCCTGAACAACAGGAACCAATATACAAGGACACGTGCACCTCCATGTTTATTGCAGCACTGTTCACAATAGCTAGGATATGGAAACAACCCAGATGCCCCACCACAGATGAATGGATCCAAAAATTGTGGTATCTATACACAATGGGATATTATGCAGCCATTAGAAATGACAAAATAATGGCATTTGCAGGGAAATGGATGGAGCTAGAAGAAATCATGTTGAGAGAGGTAAACCAAGAGCAGAGACAAATGGTACATGGTCTCCCTGATAAGTGGATGCTAAATCCAAAATGTTAGGTGATACGACAAAATTAACAGGACTTAAGAAACAAAGAACTTCCACTCATCTGGTCGAACCACTACTAAATATCCTCATGCTGCTGATCACATGTATGGTATATATGTATACACCGTTATATGTTATAGACCGTGAGAGACAATTTGCTCCAGGAAAGTTAGAATGAGCTTGTGACTTTAAATCAGCATCATTATTCCACAATACTGTGAAATTTGGGAAATTATGTAATCACTTAATCACAATTTTTTACAAAAAAAAAAAAAGCACCAGAAAACTAGAAGTGACGGGATGGCTCAAGTGGTAGAGCATGAGCCTTGAGCTGAATTGTTCAGGGATAGCTCCCAGGCCTAGAGCTCAAGCCCCATGACTGACAAAAAAAAGAGAGAGAGAGAGAGAGAGATCTTTCATGGGATTGTTTCTAACATATTTATAAGATTATGTCTTTGTTGCCTTGTATGTCCCTCCCCCATGGTATAACCCCTGCTTTCACTATACATGATGTTGGTATATGTGGAGGGGAAGGGAAAAAACAAATTGTAAAAACAGGGATACAGGAGGACCCATTGCAACAATGAGATGTACAAGTCGTTATGTCGAAAAAGGAACTTTACAACTTTGGTGCTGGGCGGGGGAGGATGGGAAGGGAGGTGAAGGGGAAACAAAGCAGGAGGCTGCGATGCTTGATAAGAAATGTGCTCATTATCCTACCCACGTAATTGTAACCCCTCTGTACAGCATTTTCACAATAAAAATATATTAAAAAAATTAAAAAACATTAGGACTGAGGCAGGAGGATTGCAAATTTGAGTCCGGCCTACACTAAATAACAAAGTCTGTTTCAAAATAACCCCTAAACTGTACCCCAACCCAGAGTTGGGACTCAACAAAAACATTTGCTAGTTCATAACTTATATATCCGCTAATTTTTCCAGTAAAAGCAGAGTAATACTTCCCTACAAAAATCTCAGAGGTTACTTAAAAATCTGTCAAACTACAAAGAGAAATTACTATTAAACTCATGCAAAACAATTATATCAATATACTTAAATTAATATAAAATAATTTATTGATCATTTTCTTATACTAACATCTGTGCTTCCAATTTAAACCTCACCAATAACTTTTCCTTCTTGCCTATTGAACATGATTTGGTGATCAAAGTAATTCCTTGGATCCTGAATTAGTCTTACAGAAAACTGATTTGGAAACATGAACCAAAAACAAATGACAAACTACCTGTTTCTAATCATGTTCATCAAGTACTACTGAGGAAAAGGGAGAAAGGAATGAACTCAGGGCCCCAGGAGGAGACAGCTTTGGGGAAGTCTGGTCCATGGTCTCTCAATAGAGGAAAGATGGGTGCTTATCCTAGACTCCGCCAACTCATCTTCTTTCCCAACTCAAATGCCAGTTTCTGGTTTAGTGACTTTTGTACAGAAACGTTGTAAGAAACTCTTAAAATTAAAATGACGTTATCTGGAAAGTTCCTCTGTGGAAAACACCCAAGCATTCTCCCTATAAAATCATTCCTTAATCACAAAAACAGGCAAGACTCTACATAACTCAACAGCAAGTGAAACACATCTAACCATACACAGTTATGCCTATAAAATCATTCCTTAATCACAAAAACAGGCAAGACTCTACATAACAACAGCAAGTAAAACACATCTTACCACACACAGTTATGCGTTATAAAAAGTTTTTAACCTACCTGTACAATCCCCAGATAACAGCTTTCTTTTTCATTGCAAGGTAAAAAATGGCAGCATCTAAAGGATCATTATTTCTATAAAAGGCTGCTTTGGCTACCTACAATTAGAAAATACTGGTCAAATTTTCATAGAAAGTCTCTAAGTGAACAAATAATTTTGTCTATTTAGCACTGACACATATAGAGAAGAATACAAAGAGAAAGTAATAAGACCTTTTATCACAAGCTCATCTATACTGGTTTACTTTGCTATACAAAATTCTCATGGTAAAAACCAGAAACATATTATTAAATGAACTATAATTTTTGGAGTTACTTTTAAAAATTCCTTCACTGTTATAAAAATTAAAACTCTCCAAAGCAAATTTCTGCTCCAAAACAAAAGGGAGTAAATAACGACAGAGGAGATATGGTATGCAATTTAAACAAACATCCAAAATATATTCTTTTTTTACACCAAAATAAATACACTCACTTTTTCTATGCATGTGCGTAAGATTCGCTTATTCCGGACCCACCACCCCACACCCATGGCTCTTAATTCAGACCAGGTGGGGTCATGCTTCTGCATTGCAGGCAACATGTTCAGCAGTTCTTCTTCTGCTACTGAATGAAATGCCCAAGCAAAATGACTGGTAGACAGGCCTGAAAAAAGGGAAAAAGTAGTATTAATAATGATTAACACAAACTAGTGCTACATCTATTTGCAATGAAAGTACATAAACTTTTATAAAATACAGTCACACTTAATTTTTAAGTTTCCTGAAGGGCTACTTTTTAATCGTTGGTTCTCCAAAGAACTCTAGTACTTTAATGTGCAATATATCTTGTACAATTAATACACATTTACTTGCGAAGATATGCAAAATGCTTATAGCAAATGCCACTGTGATGAAGGAATTCTGTTCTCTGGTTGTAAACTATGACTCAGTTTAGGAGATGAGAAATACTTGAAGCATTACTACAGAAGGGAAGGCATTCCTCTTTAAGCTGCTTCCCCTTCCTTTGGCCACTATTTGTTTTATGGATATAACTCCCATGAATTAAAGAACATCAAAAAGCATAACTGAGTGGAATAAGTGCTAGCACTACAGAACCTCCAGAACCAAAACATATATACTCAGTTTCAATCGCAAAACTGAAATATATAAATATAACTTCAGACTAGTTATTTAGTTTCTTAGTGCCTCTGTTTTTTCATTTGTAAAATGTGAGTGATCCAGCCGGGTGCCAGTGGCTCATGCCTGTAATTCTAGTTACTCAGGAGGCTGAGATCTGAGGATCGCAGTTCAAAGCCAGCCCAGGCAGGAGAGTCTGTGAGACTCTTATCTCCAATAAATCATCAGAAAACCAGAAGTGGTGCTGTGATTTAAGTGGTAGCATGCTCGCCAGGAGCTGAAAGACAACAACCTAGGCCCAGAGTTCAAGCCCTACAGCCGCAAAAAAAAAGGGGGTGGGGGGGGCTGGGAATGTGGCTTAGTAGTAGAGTACTTAGCTAGTATGCATGAAGCCCTGGGTCTGATTCCTCAGTACCACATAAACAGAAAAAGCCAGAAGTGGCACTGTGGCTCAAATACTAGAGAGCTAGCTTTGAGCAAAAGGAGCTCAGGGACAGTGCCCAGGCCCTGAGTTCAAGCCCCAGGACTGGCCAAACAAAAATAAAAATTTACAGAGGATAAAATAATACTAATTTCCCTCAAATATACAAAATATTCAACTGTCCAATATACTTCTTCCTTAAGTCTATTTTTACAATTAAAAGTTCCAATGGGGGCTGGGAAGGTGGCTCAGTGGTAGAGCGCTTGCCTTGCCAGCCTGAGGCCCTGGGTTCGATTCCTCAGCACCATATAAGCAAAAAGAAAAAAGCCGGAAGTGGCGCTGTGGCTCAAGTGGTAGAGCGCTATCCTTGAGCTGAAGAGCTGAGGGACAGTGCCCAGGCCCAGAGTTCAGGCCCCACAACCGGACCCAAAAAAAAAAAAAAAGTTCCAATGCCCCGGGGTGCTGGTGACTTACGCCTGTAATGCTAGCTAAATTGAGTTAGGATATGGTTCAAAGCCATCCTGGGCAGGAAAGTCTGTGAGATTCATATAATTAACCACCAGAAAACCAGAAGTAGTGCTGTGGCTCAATGTGGTAGAGCATCAGTCTTAAGCAAAATAGGTAAGGGACAGCACCCAGGCCCCTGAGTTCAAGACCCATGACAAAAAAAATCCAATGCTATATGAAAGAAAAATGAGGAAAGTTAAAAAATAAACTCTGAATGCGTCAAATTTGTCAACATTCTCACATGTGCTTGCCTTACTTCTCCTGGAACAGACTAATATAAAAATCACCTTGGCGAAGGAGTTGGGCTCGACAGGCTGGAAGGGAAGTTGTAAGAAAGGTATGGAGCCGAACAGCCAGAAGAAACTTTAACCCACATTCATCAAGCGTTTCTCCACCTACAATTAGGAGATAAGTATTATTTTCACACATAAAAGCATTTTATAAGCAAATCACAGAACTAAGTTTCTGATAGCGCATAGCATAGCATAGCATAGCATAGCATAGCATAGCATAGCATAGCATAGCATAGCATAGCATAGCATAGCACAGCATAGCATAGCATAGCATAGCACAGCATAGCATAGCACAGCAGAGCATCACATAAAGGATAAAGCATTCTAAACTGACAGAAGTGGTTATAATCGCAAATACTGTGTAACATTGATCTTACCTACACAATTTTAAAAAGGGAAAAAAGAATATAGGTATATAATTTAGAAAATAAAGGTTAGGGAAGTGGCGCTGTAGCTCAAGTGGTAGAGCGCTCGCCTTGAGCTGAAGAGCTGAGGGACAGCGCCCAGGCCCAGAGTTCAAGCCCCACGACCAACCAAAAAAAAAAAAAAAAGTTTAGAATGAATTGACTCAGTGTCTATTAACATTATAATCTGAATTCACCTGAAATGACTCAAACATAACTGAACTTTCAAACTATCTTTTCTACAACATATGTTACAGTGATATCTTTTCTTTCTTTTCTTTTTTCTTTGTTTTTGGTCAGTCATGGTGCTTGAACTTGGGACCTGGGTGCTGTCCTTGAGCCTCTTTGTACTCAAGGCTAGCACTCTACCACTTGAGCTATAGCACCATTGCTGGCTTTTTCTGAGTAGTTTACTGGAGAAAAGAGTCTCACAGACCCCTCTGGTGGATTCAAACCACAATCCTCAGATCTCAGCCTCCTGAGTAGTTAGGACTACAGGCACAAGCTATCAGCACCTGGCAGCAATATTTTCTGTATTGATTGAAATCATGTATCCATCCCAATAATCTGTTGATAATGGTTAAATAGTATTTGGACCTGATTTTACTTCATATGATCAAAACTATAAAATATCTCTTCCAAACTCACCTCAAAAATAGTTATCTATTCATATTCCTCTTAAAAAGATCAACTTATTTTCTAAAAAATGATAACTTTTTAAATTATATTAGTTTTGTCTTTATTTTCCTTTTAGTTCCGTTAATTTAAAGGGTACAGGCTACTGACCTATACCTTCTATGACCAGTGTTTCCTTCAATTTAATTTTACCTTGGCTTTTGTCTCTGCTTTCTCCAATATCAGTGCTTGTTGTTGCAATTGTGTCAGCCAAGGCCATCAGAGACATCTGCTCCATCCGGCTGAGTCCTGGTAGACTGGAATGCAGTAAGTGGCCAGAAAGAACCTGAGCATGCTCAGGTCCAAAGTAAGTCGGATTGTACTGCGAAAGGTCAATGACTCTGGGTTTTGTATTTTCTTCCCCTGATTCTAACACATGAATATCAGGCATTAGAGCTGAAGTCTGAAAAAGCTCATCATAACTTTCTTTGGACAATTGGTTTGATTTATTGAAGGAACTCTCATTACTGGATTTCTCCAAAGATGAGTAACATCTATCATCATCTGCTGCAAGCAAGGCATATAAAGGAAGTGGAGGAACAGAATCTATTTCTGTGTAATCCGTACTGTCAGTCTTGTTGAACGCCTGGGGGTCTCTGGTAGTGCTTCCACTAGCACTGATGGTGAGAGACCTTAGACGGCGATCATGATTAGACTCAGCTTCACTCAGAGCCACAACCTCCCCAGCAATGCACTTGACCAGATGTGACAGGATGGCCTTTGCTCTCCGAACCTTGCCAAGGTCCATCAGTTCTAAAAGCTGCAAGGGATGGTACTGAGGCAAGGTTGGGGAAAGTGCATGAGCTGCTTCAAAGAGTCCTGAATCTTCCATATCCACTGAAGGATCCAGGGCAGTCTTCTTCCCACAGATTTTCTGAGCAAGACTAGTCATGGATCGAGTCAGAGTTTTCTTTGTAGGCTGTAGTCCAGAACTTGATGAGTTGCTCTGTCTTACTAAGCTGAGTACAGAAGGAGTGCTCCCACCGTATGAATCTGTCCTGGCAGGTTCTTGTTTAGAAGATGGCTGCCACTGGGAATATACATGCATTTCACAATCCATTCCTACCACCAGGATGCCATCCCGGACCCACGACAAAGAAACAGGAAAAGGGGGGGAGCCTTCCACAGAAGAAACCAAGTCCACACTTCGTAAGAGGACAAATTTAGAAAGAGGCACAACTTTAGTACTCTCCCACAGAGGAAATGCTAGGCTCTCCTTACCAATATGTTCTTGTACCTTGCCAGACAGAGGTCCATACATAAAAAGTTTTGATCCAATTCCAACAGTCAGGATATGAGAACCATCTTCTCTAGACATCCAGTCCAAGTGAACTAAATGCTTTGTGTTTGTTGTGATACTTTCTTTACTGAATAAATAGGTCTCTTGCTTATTATAGGCCACTAAATTGCTATCAATGCTAATGCCAGAATCCAACATTGTGCTTAAATCATCTAAATGAATTGTCTGTTCAAGGACCCAACATGAGCCTCCAGTAGACTCACATTCAAAAATACTCACATGCATCACAACGTCCTGAGAAGATCTACTATTAGATGCAAGATGTTTATATGCCACTGCTAAACGATTTGTATGTGCACAGCTAACTTCTACAGGCCTACCCGGTACAGATATACTACTATTGCTCTGAAGTCCATCTTCAATAAGTAATGGCCATTCTTCCCAAATGTACGTAAGATCTATTTTTCCATTCTTTGAGGTAGCAGGTTCTCCATCTGTTACTCGGCATCTCCAAAACCTTACTTTCTCATCCGAGCACGAAGTGGCCAATAAGTAAGGGGCACTGCATACAGGATATATAGAAGAAGAACTCAGATGTCCTAAAAGGAAAATAATCCATTAACAAAACATCAAATGTTGTTGAAGAATTTTTACAAGCTGGGCTTTAGTCCTTTAGTATGAACTACTAAGAATATGACTATCTAAGGATACAATAATATCGGAAAGAGGCTTTTAATGATATCAAAAAAGTATATAAAAGAAAATATTTACTAGGGAAGGCATAGAATTAGTACCATATCCAGGCACCGGTGGCTCAGTCCTATAATCCTAGCTACTCAGGAGGCTAAGATCTGAGGATCAAGATTCAAAGCCAGCTTGGGCAGGAAAGTCTGTGAGGCTCTTATCTCCAATGAACTACCAAGAAACCAGAAGTGGCCCTGGTTTGAAGTAGTAGAGCACTAGGCTTAAGTGAAAAAACTCAGGGATAGCACCCAAGCCCTGAGTTGAAGCCCATGACTAATTAAAAAAAGGAAGAAAGAAAACATTGCCAAAACCTATAGCTAAAATCTAACTGCAATAACAAGTACTTTAATTTCTGCATTTTACAGGTAGGGATATTTTACTAGATACACTGCCTTGTGCCTAAGTAACAAGACTAAGACAATTAAAAACTTGAATTCTGGATCAGTGGTAGAGCGCTTGCTTTGCATGCAAGAGGCCCTGGGTTTGATTCCTCAGTACCACATAAGCAGAAAAAGCCGGAAGTGGTACTGTGGCTCAAGTAGTAGAGCGCTAGCCTTGAGCTGAAGAGCTGAGGGACAGCACCCAGGCCCAGAGTTCATGCCCCACAAGCAACAAAAAGACAAAAACAAAACAAACAAAAAAAACTGAATTCTTTGCTAGTTTATCCAATTCAACACATCTGTAACAATGTGTCAGCTTTCCCTGGTTTCTCTGTCTTTCTGATTTTTTATACAAATGTGAATGGCCTATTTCACTAAGTATTGAATGGTACTTTTAAATGTCCTACACAACTGAGGTATGTGTAATATTACTGATGCTGAGATGATTCCTCAGTGGACCTTACCAATTGTACATGCTCAATCATATACTATCAACTTCCTCGAATGGGTGAGCGAGTGAGAACAGGAGAGAGATCACCACCTCAGGCTCTGCCTGAGGTGTGCTGTGGCCGCAATGCCCTGGAGCACTGCTGAGTCTAGTATGAACACACAGATGTGGCTCTGTTCTAATCCAAGTATCTCTGACAAGTGTACTTCTGTCCTGAACTATGACAATAAAAAATGCTACATGAACACTTGAAAGAACATGTTGAAAGTAAATCCTATGTACATTAAGTTTCTCTGAATTAAAGTTCTCATTATATTAATAGGTTGAATAAAAGTTACATATGCTATTTTACATATGCTATGCTTTTTGCCAAACAAACAAAACCGTATTTTTCCACAGGAGTTCTTTCAAACAACTTTGCCCAAAGTTAAATAGAATTACCTTGATAACTATTTTTGGATTCTGTACAATTACTATGTTATTTTCATTAGAATTTAGTAGTGAATACCAGCTAATAACAATAGCTCCTTTCTTTTCCCCTTACTTTTCATTTGTTTTGTGACAGAGTATCTATATATAGACTAGTTTGGCTTCAAACTAACCATATTGGCCAAGTGAGACTTGAATTCACGATCCTCCTGCCTCAGCTTTCCAAGTGCTGGTTTTATAGGTATGTACAACACCTTGCTTAGCTTTTCAACAAGCTTTACTTTTCCCGATATTTTAAATTAAAATATACAATGGAACCAGAATTTAAAAGTTGGAACACTGTCAATACTCCCAACTCCTGTGAACTTCACCATTCAGAAAATCTTAAATACTTGATAACAACATGGGATTCTGAATAGCATTCAAAGCCATCCAGCAAAATAATTAAATGAACGGACTGTCAGATGCCAGTGCTGCATATCTGTAATACTAGCTACTTGGGAAGCAGTTCGATCCCAGCCCGGGCAAAAGTAAAAAGTTCTTGAGACCCCATCTCAACAATACCAGGTACAGTGGTATGCATCTGTTCTTGCAGCAATGACAAAGGTTGAAACTGGGAAGATCACAGTTCCAGGTCACTCCCGACAGACAAGTCCATGCAACACCATCTCAAAGGGAAGAGGCTGGGTCTAGTGGAGCACACTTGTTATTCCAGCTATGATGGGAGGTCCAAAATAAGAGGATCATAGGCTAAGTACAAACCTGGGCAAAAAGTGAGACCCTGGGGTTGGGAAGGTAGCTCAGTGGTAGAGTGCTTGCCTTGCATGCATAAGGCCCTGAGTTCAATTCCTCAGCACCACATAAGCAAAAAGAAAAAAGCCGGAAGTGGTACTGTGGCTCAAGTGGTAGAGCGCTAGCCTTGAGCTGAAGAGCTGAGGGACAGCACCCAGGCCCAGAATTCAGGCCCCACAACCGGACCCCAAAAAAACAAAAAAGCGAGACCCTATCTCAAAAATAACCAGTGCAAAAAAGGGCTAGGGGTGTGGCTCAAAGGGAAAGGACCTGTCTAGCAAGGCCTCAAGTTCAAACTCTAGGATATCAAGAAAGAAAATAAGACAGAAAAGCAGAAAAGAACAAAGACCATGAAAATAATCAGTAATAAAGAACATGGATGCTATATTTGTATTCTTGATACCCTAGAATAAGTGGTTCTTGATCTCTAGTGTATAAAAAAATCATCTTGTTCACTAATTAGAACAAACTGCTAGCCTCTATCCTAGAGTTTGTGACTAACAACCACATTTTGGCTATGAAAATGAAATAATTCGGTGATATGAAAATTGAAGTTTCAGAGCCTAGTCAAGGTACATACTTTTAGATCCAAGGCAGAAGGAATGTTTGAACTCAAGTTCAAGACCAGCCTGGAGAATATAGAGAATCCATCTCAAAATCGTAAGTAACAAAGGATTTCTTTATTTCTTCTCTGTATTCTTGACATGGGTGCATGAGAACCACCTGGAAGGCTGCAGATTTCAGGGGTACTAGAAACATTCATGGCTGTAAAGTATTTTTGCATAAAATTCACACACCTGCTGATGGCTTCACACTTATGATCTCAACTCCTTCAGGCAACTGCAACTCCTGGCTGTACACCATTTCAGAACACAGAGACAACTTGCTGGTGCTCTGGAGATTGGCTCTGCAAGCCTGAAACTTCTGTGCAAATGGAGTTGGGATCTTCTCCGGAGAAGAAGAATAATGTTCTTCTGGTTGCCAAACTACTTCAGAAATTTTCATATCTATTCTTTCATCTATAAAACATAAGAAAAAGAGCAAAAACTGGGAGGGAACCCTATATAGATTACAATAGCTACTTAAAAATCCAGTAAGGCACCAGTGGCTCTTGCCTATAATCCTGGCTACTCAGAAGGCTGAGATTGAGGATCACAGTTTGCAATCAGTCCAGGCAAAAAAGTCTATGAGTTTGTTATCTCCATAACTATCCCCAAAAAGCCACAAATGGAGCTCTGGCTCAAGTGGTAGTATATTAGCCCTGGGTAAAAAGAAAGCAAAAAGACAGCACCCAGGCCATAACTTCAAACCCCAGAACCAGCATGCATGTGTGCGCGTACACACACACAGTTCAAAAGATAAACTTGTAGACATGTCAACACAATTCTTTACAGCAAGAAAATGAGAGAATTATTTTGTTTCTTAATGAATAAACCATAATAATCACTACTACATAAAATGACTGTAGGTAATATACCCTGAACTGTCTAATCGTGCAAAATTTGTTAGTAATTAGGCCAATTTAAAGTTAAGGAAAAAACCCAAACTCACCCAACGAGACAGGAATTGACTTTAAATGTAAGTTCCACATGCGTAACAGTGAACGGTTGTCCTGAGTACACTCTATCACAACCAGGTAGAATTTTTCAGAAAATCCATTAGATAAGCTGCCTGTTGGCATCAGTGATATTTTTCATGTTAGATAATAGAGACAATTACTAATATTAAGATTAACATAAATGGCTTTTTTAGAGAAAGAAAACGATCATTTTATCTGGAGTTCTAAGTGGAAAGTGACATTATAGAGTATGTTCAACTTCTTCACCAAATGAATTTGTATTAACATTTTAACAATTATATGCAGACTATGCTTAAATTTCATTTTTATCTGATATGCTTTAAAAGTCACGTATTACAGTTATCACTACCAACTATTCAGAGAGTAAAACATATTAACCAAAAAATGTCTAAAAGGAAAGGAACCATATGATAACATACATATCAAAATATATCACGATGGAAATTATGTGGCCAAAGTCTTTCAAAGTAATTAACTTTCGTAACAGAAACACTTCTATTCATGTTTCTTATCTAAGGATCAAAATATAAGTATTCATAACAGATATTATTCAAAAAGATCTTAACTCATACTAACACAATTTATACAACATTAATGTTGCACAAATCAAAAAATGCACATAAAACCACTATTTCATTATTTCCTTTTAACAATAAATTTTAGTGCAAGTTTTTCTGATTATATACAAAATTATGTAAAAAAATTATAAAATGATATAAATCAAAATATGTAAAAACTGAAAGCAACTAATATTAGGGGAAAAAGTTTTGAAACAACATTAGAAATGATAACCATATCTTAAATTACCTTGTAACGAGAGATTTAAATGAAGAGGTAAGTTTGATAATGCCTTCTAGATGGGTCAGGCATTCAAATCATAAGAATTAAGAGGAAGGAAGAATTATGGGAAAAGAAAAAGACCAATTCAATCTACTTGTGATAACTTCACCAAAACAAAATACCTTAATAATGTCTGTAAAGTACCTTTCTTCTTGACAAAAGAACAAAAGAATATAAAAATATAACTCCATGGGAATTTTCTGGGAAACTCTAATAATAAAATAATGGTAAGATGGGTACTAGTGGCTCACGCTTGTCATCCTAGCTACTCAGCAGGCTGAGATTTGAGGATCACAGTTCAAAGCCAGCCCGGAAGCAAAAGTTCATGAGAATCTTATCCCCAATGAGCCACCAGAAAACCAGAAGTGGCACTGTGGTTCAAGTGGCAGAGCACTAGCCTTGAGCAATAAAAGCTCAGGGACAGTGCCCAGGCCCTGAGTTCAAACCCCAAAACTGGCACATACACACAAAAAGCCAAAACCCTATACATCAGTAATAAACAAACACATGCAACTAAGAAAATACTTTTAATTTTTTTTCTACTTCTTGGTTAAGAATAAAAAGATGAGCTGGGTGGGCTGGCACACACCTTTCACACCAACTGCTTGGGAGGCTAAGATTAGAAGGATTGTAGAAAGTTCACAAGACTCAAGTTTCAAGAGAAAAACGCTGGACAGGGTGGTATATACTAGCTATAGTGGGAAGTACAAACAGGAAGAATGCAGTCCAGTCCAGCCCAGTCTACACAATGAGACTATGTTTCAAACAAAAACAAAAAAACAAAAAATAGCATAAATGCCAGCTCAGTTGCTCATGCCTACAATTCTATTTGCTTGGGAGGTGAAGGTCAGGAAAAGATTGTTGATCAGGGCCAGCTTGGTAACAATCAAGCTGGACATGATGGCTGATGCCTGTATTGCCCTCTACGATTAGTGCAGGTTAGAAGACTACAGTCAGACACTAGGCCAGGCAAAAAATGTACCCTATCTGAAAAATAACAAGAGCAAAAAAGCCTTCACAGGCATAGCTCAAGTGGGAGAGTCTGCCTGCCTAATAAGAGCAAAGTCGTGCGCTGAAAGGCCAAAAATAAAATTAAGCATATACAGAACAATTTTAAACTTCAATACATTTTGAAACCGTCTTTATTAACTTCGATCCATCATTATTAACCATCTTTATCAGCATGTATCCATCTTTATTAATTGCCTAACATATTCTGATATTTTTCTTTACCTGTATCAGATGGAATGCTATCTTTCCCCAGACTTTTCTTCTCCAAGTTATTCAAAATGAAGTCTTCTTGAAACACATGAAGAAGCTGGGTTTTTCGGCCATGCTGAATGTAAATAAATACTACCATAAGTTGATGTGATGTGTGTACTGTTTACCTAATGCTACAGAGCAGCATATAATACTTACAAGTTTGGTAATGGGATCTAATGCAATAATGCATCCTGGCCTGGCTGTTGACTGCTGACTAACAATGTTAAACACTTCCCCAACATATTTCTATTAAAAAAAAATAAAACAAATTAAAATTTTAATTCAGTAAGCATAAACATGAAATTTCAAGCACAACAATAAAAATAATTTTCAAGTGGGCTGCACATAGTTCAAGTATTAATACTCTAGGATTTTACCTCACTAGGAATTAAAAAGGCCTGAGTAATAGTTACATCTCAGCTGAGTACTGACATCCCAAAGCTGCCATCCTAGCTAAATGGGGAGGCTGAGAATAAGATGTTGGATGAGACTTCTTTTCAACCCTAGGTGAGTGAAGCGGTAGGTGCCTGTCAACCTAAGTTATGTGGAAAGTTGATACTGGGAGAATTGAGGCACAGGATTGATTCAGCACAGGCAGAAAAGTCAGACTCCAGTAGTAGGTGCCTGTCATTCCTTCTCAGAAAGAACATTTAAAACATAGGCAGATCAGGGGCTAGGCAGGTGGCTTCAGTGGTAGAATGCTTGCCTCGCATGCATGAGGCCCTGGTTTCCATTCCTCAGCACCACATAAGCAGAAAAAGCTGGAAGTGGCAGTGTGGCTCAAGTGGTAGAGCGCTCGCCTTGACCTGAAGAGCTGAGGGTCAGTACCCAGGCCCAGAGTTCAAGCCCCACGACTGAGGGGAAAAAAAAAAAAAAAAAAGAGCAGATCATGGAGGGTGCTTGTCATAGCTATAATCCTAGGCACTCAGGAGCCTGAGATCTGAGGATCACAGCTTGAAGCCAACCCAGGAAGTAAAGTCCATGAGACCTATCTCCAATTAATGACCCAAAAAAAGCCAGAAATGGAGTTGTGACCCAAATGGTAGAGCACTAGCCTTGAGGGAAAAAAAAAAAAAGAGGCTTGCAGTGTCCAAGTACGCAGGCCCTGTGTTCAAGCCCCAGGAACAAAACAAACAAACAAAAAAGGCAAATTACAGTTTACAGTTTAGGTAAGCATTTGAGTAGAAACAAGACCCTGTCTTAAAAATTAAGCATCAAACTATGCAACCAATCTCACTAACAGCCTTCCTATCCATGCTTTCCATATAACTAGGATTACTGGCATGAACCGTCACACTAAATTTATTTTTGAAGTCTTGCTAACTTTTAGCACTGGCTGTCCTCAAACTGTGATCATGCGGGTTTCTGCCTCCACCGTACCTAGGATTACAGGCATAAGCCATTATGCCTGGTCCATTGTCCTTATATTTAAAAATATGCAGAGGCAGATTGATTTCTGTGTGTACCCAGGACTATTATAAATGCTTTACCCATCTTAACCCATTTAACAACTGTAATGGCCCTTGGTGTCTATTCTGTTATTATTCTCATTTTATAATGAAACAATGGAGACAATGAAACTTTCTTAAGGTCACAGAACTGGAAAGGGAAAGCTAGGATTTAAACCCACTCAGTTTGCTTCGGGGCTCATTCTTTCAATCACTACCATGCTCCTCTGCGAAGTCAATGTAGAATCTACTAAAATGACAGTGTTCTTAGGGGTTCCCAGAAGTCTTCTGCTGAGCTGGCCTCAAACCATGGCCTTCCAGATATCAGTGTCCTGAGTAGCTAGAAATATAGCCATGAACCACAGACACCTGGCCTCATCTACCTTTTAACCTACTACTAAACAATTTAATGTATGTGGCTGTCATCCATTCTTTTGTTCTTCTAAGGTATCTGTCTATGCATGCAACTTTTCTTTTTTTTTTGGTCAGTCATGAGGTTTGAACTCTGGGCCTGGGTGCTGTCCCTGTACTCTTCAGCTCAAGGCAAGTGCTCTACTGCTTGAGCCACAGTGCCACTTCTGGTTTTCTAGTGGTTTATTAGAGGTAAGAGTCTCACAGTGGGCTGGGAAGGTGGTTCAGCGGTAGAGCGCTTGCCTTGCATACATGAGGCCCTGGGTTCGATTCCTCAGCACCAATTAAGCAAAAAACAAAAAAGCTGGAAGTGGCGCTGTGGCTCAAGTGGTAGAGCACTAGCCTTCAGGCTGAAGAGCTGAGGGACAGTGCCCAGGCCCAGAATTCAGGCGCCACGACCGGACCCCCCCCCCAAAAAAAAAAAAAAGTCTCACGGACTTTCCTACCCTGGCTGGCTTTGAACCTCGATCCTCAGATCTCAGCCTCCTATGTAGCTAGGGTTACAGGCATGAGCCACCAGCGCTTGGCTTGCATGCAACTTTTCTAGGAAAGTAAGAAAGACCTTTGTCTTCACTACTGAATACTAGGTGTTAGAACTATGCTTAGCAACAGAAGTACTTAATAAATGTTCCTTAGTGAAAAGGTTTGGTGTGTTTAATTTTTTTAATTTGGCTATCATGAATACTTCCTTCTAAAAACATATTCTCACAAGTAGATGTGAGTATATATGAGTGTTCCAATATCATAATTTAAAATGTGGGCCTGGCCAGGCGCCAGTGGCTCATGCCTGTAATCCTAGCTACTAAGGTAGCTGAGACCTGAGAATAAGGTTCAAAGCCAGCAGGGGGAGGAAAGTCCGTGAGACTCTTATCTCCAATAAAACCACCAGAAAACCAGAAGTGGCACTGTGGCTCAAGAGGTAGAGTGCTAGCCTTGAGTTGAAAGGCTGAGGGACAGTGCACAGGCCCAGAGTTCAAGCCCCACAGCCTACAAAAAAAGTGGGCCTCAGCCAGGCACCAGTGGCTCACGCCTGTAATCCTAGCTACTCAGGAGGCTGAGATCTGAGGATCACAGTTCAAAGCCAGCCTGGGCAAGGAAAGTCTGTGAGACTCTTATCCCCAATAAACGACTAGAAAACCAGAAGTGGCACTGTGGCTCAAGCGGTAGAGTGATCACCTTGAGCTGAAGAGCTGAGGGACAGTGCCCAGCCCCAGAGTTCAGGCCCCACGACTGGACCAAAAAAAAAAAGATTAAACTTTTACTCCTTTTGTTCTAGCACTACTTTTATCTAGAAAAAGAACTAACAACTTACACGCAATGCTCCCATTAGTCTCCATTTATCTATGAGCAAAGAAGTATTACAGAAGCACATATTGTAGTAGAGCAGACTCTTAGTTTTATTGTGTGTATGTTATGAATTGAATGTGTTCTGGCACTGAGCTATATCCCTGGCTTAGATTCTAATTTTTAAATGAATGACAGTTTCTTCAGCTTAGAATCATTGTAAAATAGATATAATACAAATGTGAAAATAGTAACAAAGACATATTGATCATGACTTACATGTCAGAAACCTAGACACGCCCAGCAAGAACAGTTAAGTATTTGAAAATATCATTTAATACTTAGACCAGTTTTAAAAGGCAGTAACGTACAGAAATTTCTGGGTTGGAGAGCTCACACAGAAGTTTCTTGGCATCAATGACTGCTTCATATAACCTCAGATACTGTCCATCACTAGCCACAAAGCAAGCACTAGGAGAGTCACAGTATGCACCTAGAAAGCATTTACAACATTTGTAACTTGGCCTTCGGTAACAGTGTCAGAAAATCTAAATACTGAAATGAAAATCAGAATGCTTACCGAGACAGTAACTGGGTATAAGAGTAGGAAGCCATGCCACATTGGAAAAGGCAGAAACATGAAGAGAATTGATCCGGGCAAGCTCAGACACTCCTCCCGAAAAGGACAATGGCCCAACTGGATCAACCCTCCAAAGAATAAGCTCACTATAAACTGCATTGGGATCCTGAAATGCCACATCAGCAGTGCTTTTATTTTGGTGTACCAGAGAACATTCTTCAATATTTACACTATCATGAGGTTTCTTTTGGTTATCAATATCTGGTGTCCTTAATGCATTATGGTGCGATGTTGTCAGTAATAATGGCAATACTGAGTGGCAAGCTAAGTCATTGAGATGAAAACGATGACCACAGTATCTGGATTTGTGAGAAATACTAAGAACTGTAGAAAAAGCAGATTCCTCAGCAAAACTTACTAGCCACTGATTCAGAGAGCCATCAGCATGCTTTGAAATCATCATAACATTAGGGGTAAAAATACTTAATTTTAAGCTATTAGATGATTTATTTTGACCAGAAGAGATAAGCATTGATGTAGATCGAGTGAGGCCAGAGGGCTTTTGTCGCCCTTGCTGAATAGCCAAGTCAACATTCTTGGTACAAGCATACATTACTATGCTTTTACAGAGAGAGTTTGCATCACCTGTAGGGAAAGCTACAGGAATTCTCGAAACAAAGGACACCTAGAATTAAGAAAGCAAGAATTAGAACAAATAGAATTGTACAAAACAACTACAAAACAGTATAACTCCTTAGAGGTCATAATAACTGTACCTGTACTTGGCGAAACATTCCAGGCTGGTATTCATCCAACCAATCTACGTGCCAAACTAGTAAAGAACCATCCATGGGATGGATACTGAAAAGCATGTCTGCATTTTTGCTCCATTCAGACAGAAGTACTTCAATCTCATGATCAATGGCAGCTGATGGTAATGGTGCAAAACTTGAGTTTGGTACCATTTTATCTTCTCCCAGTTCCTTCTTTTCATGATTTATTTTCAGATCATCAGCACCATCATCCATTTCTATAAGCAAAACGTTCATGAGCCAAGTAAATAAACTGAGACTATTACTACAAGCTTTAAGTTGGGTGCCAGTGGCTCATGATTAGAATCCTAGCTATCCAGGAGGTTGAGATCTCAAATCATGATTCGAAGACAATCTGGGCAGGGAAGCCTGTGAAACTCTTATTTCCACTAAAACTATCAAAAAAGCTGGAAGTAGAGCTGTGGCTCAAGTGGCTGGGTGTTAACCTTGAGCAAAAAGTTCAAGGACAGTGCCTAGGTTCTGAGTTCAAGCCCCAGACCACACGTGCACGCACGCACGCACGCACGCGCACACACACACACACACACACACACACACAAAAGAGCTTTATATATGCCTTCAGGATGGAAAACAGAATTTTAACATTAACAAGAAATGGTCTGCCTTTCAAAAACTTTATCCCAAAAGCAGAAAGTCACCAGAGTTACCTCAGAAATCTGATGTCTATAGGAAAGAGTCAAGGCATTACTAGTAGAAGGACAAATAAAACTGGAAAAAGAGGTAAACTGGTTTCTAAATCCAGATGTCCATAGCTAACCTTCACTAAGATAAGCTACTTTTCTAAACTTGAAATTTCCTCATGGAAAAAATGAGAGAACTGCAACTGGGATTATAACCTAGGGTTTAATTTTTTTATTTTATTTTTTGTCGGTCATGGGGCTTGAACTCTGGGCCTGGGTGCCGTCCCTCAGCTCTTCAGCTCAAGGCTAGTGCTCTACCACTTGAGCTACAGTGCCACTTCCGGTTTTCTGGTGGTTCATTGGAGATAAGAGTCTCACGGACTTTCCTGCCTGGGCTGGCTTTGAACCGTGATCCTCAGATCTCAGCCTCCTGAGTAGATAGGATTACAGGCGTGAGCCACCGGTGATCGGCTTCAGCGTTTAATTTTTAAAGCATGTTTTTTACTTTATTCTTTGTTCATAGTACAAGATTTACTCAAATATGAATGTGAAAAACTTAACTTGTGGGGCTGGGAAGGTGGCTCAGTGGTAGAGAGCTTGCCTTGCAATGCATGAGGCCCTGGGTTCGATTCTTCAGCACCACATAAGCAAAAAGAAAAAAAGCCGGAAGTGGCACGGTAGCTCAAGTGGTAGAGCGCTAGCTAGCCTTGAGCTGAAGAGCTGAGGGAGAGTACCCAGGCCCAGAGTTCAGGCCCCACAACCGGACCCCCAAAAAAAGAAAAACTTAACTTGTCTTCTAGATGCATGTGCTTGTAATTAACATGACACCTTAAAGCAATCACTTCAAAGAATTACATTTATAGGGCCCATGTTTCAGATTTCCCTTTATACATCAGTAAATTAAACATAAATTTTAACACAGGTAAACATGCATACATCCTTAACCTCTTTCAATAATCCCAGCTTCCTTTACTTCCCTCCTCAAATTTTGGCTACAAATATAGAGCCTTTCTTAGAGAGATACACTTAAAAATGTTTTGATTATGTACCAGATTTAAAGGAAAATAAGGAAAGATATACAAATAAGTAAGGAAATGAAAGACAACAGAAAATTGGGTAAAAAACATGAACAGTCAGCCACAAAAAAAAAAAACTAAAACATAGAAGAACTGCATATAGTGGCACCTCTAATCATGGCAGTTAGTCTGAGGCAAAAGAATTACAAGTTCAAGGCCAGATTGAGTTGCACACTGAATTTGAGGCTAATTTTGGATATATAAGACCTTGCCACAGGTCCTGAAGGTGGCTCAGTGGTAGAGCGCTTGCCTTGCATGCATGAGGCCCTGGGTTTGATTCCTCAGCACCACATAAGCAAAAAGAAAAAAAGCCAGAAGTGGCACTGTGGCTCAAGTGGTAGAGCGCTAGCCTTGAGCTGAAGAGCTGAGGGACAGAGCCCAGGCCCATAGATCAGGCCCATGACTGGACCCCCCCCCCCCCAAAAAAAAAAAGACCTTGCCACAAAAAATAAAACAAAATAAAAGAAATTAACTATCTAAATGACTATCAGTAAGTGCTAAAAGTTTCTTCTTAGAGAAAGTATACTAAAATTAGTAAGAAAGTTGAAAAGTTCTAGCTGGGCACTGGTAGATCAGACCAGTTTTCCTAACTACTTGGAAAGCTGTGAGTAGGAACATTGTGTTTCAAAGCCAGCAAAAGCAAAAAAGTTCATAGACACCTTTCTCAACTCACAGCTAGGTATAGTAGTGTATGCCTGTTATCCTCACTTATGCAGGAGGCCGAGATTGACAAGATCATGGTTCCAGGTCAGCCAGGGCATTTTCTAACAGAAATACCCACAAGACTGCCTCACGGAGAGAAGCTAAATCCAGCAATGTGCAGCCCCAGTCATCCTAGCTATGACAGGAAGTCTAAAATAGGCAGAATGAGGTCCAGGTTTGTACCTGGCAGGACATGAGAACAAAAACAGGGCTGGCTCAAAGTGTGGCTCAGTGGTAGAGCACCTGCCTAGCAACCAACCACAAGGCCCTGAGTTCAAACCTCAGTATAACCAAAGCAAAAAGCTGAAGAACAAGCCAGGTGCCAGTGGCTCATGTATAAATCCTAGCTACTCAGGGCAGGAATGTTCATGAGACTCTTATCTCCCCTGGGGGCTGGGAAGGTGGCTCAGTGATAGAGCGCTGGCCTTGCATGCCTGAGGCCCTGGGTTCGATTCCTCAGCACCACATAAGCAAAAAGAAAAAAGCCGGAAGTGGCGCTGTGGCTCAAGTGGTAGAGTGCTAGCCTTGAGCTGAAGAGCTGAGGGACAGAACCTAGGCCTAGAGTTCAGGCCCCACGACCAGACCCCCCCAAAAAAAATGAAAGTGGTGCTATGGCTCAAGTGGTAAAGCGCTTGCCTTGCACTGAAGAGCTGACAGTGCCCAGGCCCAGAGTTCAAGCCCCAAGACTGACAAAAAAATTGAAGAATACTATTTTTATTTAAAAATGAATACCCATTGTTCCATTTAAAAAAATTGTCTCTTTATACTGAAAAGAATCAGTCTGTACCTAAAACTGTCTATAACAAGCTATGAAAAAGTAGTAATAAAGCCTCCCAACAAAAGCTCAGGCACACAAAATCATACACCATTATCAATGTGGTTTCATTCTAGGGATGCAAGAATTTGATTCAACATTTGCAAATCAAGAATGTAACAAATATGGCACAAACATAGAATAAAGGACAAAAATAATATGTGCATCTCAATACAAGCAGAAAAATCTTCTGACAAAATTCAGCCTGCCTTCAAGACTGATAAACTCCCTGAACAAATAAGCAATAAAAAGAATGTATTTCATCATAACACAGGTTATATATGATAAACCTACAATTAACACCATAAAAAAAATGGGAAAAACTCTCTATAAAGACAGGAACAAGACAAGGGCAGTCACTCTTTCCATTCTTTTCTCTTTCTCTTTTAGGGCCAGTACTGGGACTTAAACTCAGGGCTTCACACTCTTGCTTGGCTTTTTCACTAAAGGATGATGCTCTACCACTTGACACAAACTTCCATTTCTGGATGTTTGCTGGTAAATTGGATGTAAGAATCTCATGACTTCTCTGCCCATGCTGGTTTTACAGTGGTATCCTCAGATCTCAGCCTTCTGAGAGTGTGATGCACCAGCTCCCACCTTGAGATTATGCACTCCTAAAACACTCCAGGTAATCCTGATCCTGCCAGTCTACAGACAGCAATTTGGGCAGTTCGGTCTTAAGGGCTGAAAAATTCACAAGAACGGAGATCCTTTGAGGTCTTAAACCACCATGTAGAAGGAGGAAAAGCAAAAAAGGAACATCTAGTCCACATCTGTATTATGCATTGTAATCTTGGACTTGTATTTCTAACAATAGCTAGTTTTACCCTAACATAAAAGCTATGTCTCAAGCGGCAGAGCAGCTGCCTAGCAAGCATAGGGCAAGTTCAAACCCCAGTAGCACCAAAACAAAACAAAAACCTGTTTCTATTTTTAATATAATTTTAAAATATTCATTTTCCTTAATGCTTTACCTTCATCAGATTTTACATCTGCCTGATTGGAGTCTTCCATACTGGCCTCAGAAGATGGCTGTTCAAAACTTTTTCTAAGTTGCTGTAAGAAGACTTCCATAGACAAAGTAAAATGCAGCTCTTTATTGTTTAACCAGTGTACTACAAAAGGTCCACTCTCTTCTTGATTTTCCCTTAAACTCAGAGATGTTATAGATGGAAGAAGTGGAATGTCTATAAAGAAAAAATCCACAAAATGAAAATTGTTATCATTCTGGTATACAAAACATTGAGATCTCCTGTTCTGATTGTTGACTACTACACTTATCTTCTGTCTGAGAAACATTTCTCCACTTTTTAATTAGATTTTAGTTTCTGTTAACCGAAATGACTACCTTAAAGCAGTTTTAGACTTACAGCAAAACTGACAGAAGAGTACAGAAATTGCTATCTGCATTCCATATTAAGCATGGTCTCTACCATTATCAACGTTGACCACAAGTGGTGTGTTTGTTATAACTGATAAGCACATTCTGACATATCACCAGCATTCAGAGTCCACAGATTACCTTAAGATTCACCCTTGGGGTTGTACAGTCTATGAATTTGGACAAATTTAAAGTGGTATTACACTTATGTTTCGACTTCCCAAATTCATTCCTCTAGTTTATGTGGTTCATTGGTGATAGAGTCTCATGGACTTTTTTTGCCCTGACTGCCTTCAAATCATGATCTAAGTGTCAGCTGTCAATATTATTTTCAACAGACACATTTAAGTAGCAAACTCAATATGGTTATTATGAAAGAGATAAAATTATATACTCTAGGTCATATATCAAAATTTAACTATTTATGTTTACTTTAGTCCTAAAAAATACGCTCCTGAGGAAAAATGTCTACAATATATACATATTTAAAAGTTTCAGTCTCCTGAGAAGCTAGGACTACAGGCATAAACCACCACTGCCCAACTCAACAGCAACAACTTTTTCACCTCCCATGCTGACATTAACTTTCCTTTGTCTATAAACTCTCAAGCCTTTCCATTAATGACAAAATTCAAGCTTCCTTGCTTTTCTCTTTCTTTTTTTCGTTGGTCATTAATTCAACGCTTGAATTCAAGGCTCAGGCACTGTTCCTAAGCTTTTCTGCTCAAAGCTAGCACTCTATCACTTGAAACCATAGCTCCACTTCTGATTTTCTGGTAGTTAACTGGAGATAACAGTCTCATGGACATTCCTGCTGGGGCTGGCTTTGAACTGTGATCCTCAGATTTCAGCCTTCTGAGAAGCTAGGATTATAATCATGAGCCACCAGTGTGCAGCTAAAATATTTTTTTTAATTTTTAGCCGGTCCTGGGGCTTGAACTCAAGACCTGGACACTGTCCCCGAGCCTTTCTGTGCTCAAGGCTAGCACTCTATCACTTGAGCCACAGTGCCCCTTCCATTAAGCTGTATTTTCAAAATCTTGCCATTATTTATTTTGAGGTGCTAAAAAACTATACCTCCTCCCCCATATTATCCTTTACCTAACATGGATCTTCAAAATTAATCCAATGACCTTACAGCTAACTGTGTATTATAACCACTTTCATTATGTTTTGATAACAATGACTGATCTTTCCCAAGCCTAGAATAATTTTTAACAAAAATTATTCTATACTCTCCTAGTTATATTTGTTGGCTCATGGATACCTTATTTACTTCAATCTAGTACATCCTAAGAAGACCAGAAACACATTTCATTACTACTATACATTTACCAACACTTTGACCTAGCAGAGTACATCTCACGTTGATGAACAGAATTTTATTCAAGTAACTAAAAGACAATGTTTATTGCTATGTCCCCCTAAATAATTGTCATTTCCAGCTCTTAGCAAGCAGGTTACACTCAATTAATGCTTAGGAATATTGTACAATATACTGTCATTAATAGTGACCATTTTCTAGAGAGGACTATGGGGGAGTAAGGTAAAAGAGGAAGCTTTTATTTCCCACTTTTTATACACAGTATTTATCATGTATAAATGTTGTAGTAATTTTTAAGTAATTTTTCAAGATTCTACTTTAAAAGCCTCGACTGTGCCACTGAGTTTTCTACTCATATAAAATATTTGCTAAAGGGATAAACACATAAATTTCCAAATTCAAAGACCTTTCACTTTTTCTTTACTTTTCCTTTTTGTCAGTCGTGGGACTTGACCTCTGGGTCTGGGCGCTGTCCCTCAGCTCTTCAGCTCAAGGCCAGAGCTCTACCACTTGAGCCACAGCACCACTTCCGGTTTTCTAGTGGTTTATTGGAGATAAGAGTCTCACGAACTTTCCTGCCCAGGCTGGCTTTGAACCATGATCCTCAGATCTCAGCCTCCTGAGTAGCTAGGATTACAGGCGTGAGCCACCGGCGCCTGGCACCTTTCACTTTTTCTACTAATACAAATTTCAGTGTAGTTTCTTAATTCTTCCAGCTATAACTTTTACATATTTCATATTTCTTTATGAAATAAATCCGAAGAATAAGTACCAAACACAAGAGTTTCAACTACAAAATGACTATAAAGTATTATTTCTGTGGTACTAATCTCTATTAGGTAATAGTTCCAATCTTAACTGTTGAATAAGCTAACAATGAATCTCAATGACTTATAAAGATGTGTATTATGAATCAAATCGTGGCTTTAAAAAGCAAATAAACTAGGTGCTGGTGGACGATGCCTATAATCCTATTCAAGAGGGTGAGACCTGAATGACTGCCATTGAAAGCTAGCCTGCGAAGAAAAGCCTGGAGACTCTCCAATTAATCAGCAAAATGCCAGACTGGGAAGTGTGGCTTAATTGGAAGAGTGCCAGACATGAGCAAGAAAGTTGAGCACAAGGCCCTGAATCCAAACTCTGGTACTAGAAAAGAAAAAGCAAATAAAAATTTAAAAAAAGAAAAAGCAACAAAAACAAACAGAAACTAGTCAACTTGCTACAATGAAAAACTGTCAAAGAAAATCACCTCCAGAAACTAAATGTATTATTTACATTAAAAAAAAGGAAACATAATTTAGTTGTAACAATAAAATCAATTCACTAAATTTCCAAACTACGTTTTGGCTGTGCTTCACTACCTGTGGCTGGGTTGATGCTGGCTGCAATATGAAAGTGGCAGAGTGCATTGGCGTGCAGTGGAGTGTTCCTGTGGACCTGGTGTGCATCCTGTTGGTGAGGCAGATAGCCAGTATGCGCGACAAGTGCAAGTGACCTCCTCCGACCTCTCCGAAAATGCCTCAGGTTTATCTGTGAAATAACAACAAACTAATGAATGCCTATATTAAGTCATATACACTGACACAAGTTACATATATTCTATTCCAGATAATTTTTTTTTTTTGGGTCTGGTCGTGGGGCCTGAACTCTGGGCCTGGGCGCTGTCCCTCAGCTCTTCAGCTCAAGGCTAGCGCTCTACCACTTGAGCCACAGCACCACTTCCGGCTTTTTTCTTATGTGGTGTTGAGGAATTGAACCCAGGGCCTCAGGCATGCGAGGCAAGCACTCTATCACTGAGCCACCTTCCCAGCCTGAACTTGGCAATTTTTATCTGTTCTCTTTTCTTAAAATATTTTCATTATCTTTAGTTGTACAAATGAGTTGCCATCCAACAAAGCAGCTTATGAATACAGTGTTTCTTGACCACTGTCGTCATTTTTAACATTCTCACCCATCCCTCCCAACCTACCCTCTTTCCCTCACTTTTCTTAATTTTGTAAGGTATACATTGCATTTTGTTTTGTGCCAGTCCTGGGGCTTGAACTTGGGACATGGGTGCTGTCCCTGGGCTCCTTCTGCTCAAGGCTAGCGCTCTATCACTTGACAGCAGCCGACTTCCTGCTTTTTCTGAGTAGTTTACTGGAGGTAAGTCTTGTGGAGTTTCTGCCTGGTCTGGCTTCAAACTGCAATCCTCAGATCTCAGCTTCCTGAGTAGCTAGGATTACAGGCGTGAGCCACCAGTGCCTGGCTATGTCGAATTTCTGATCGTATTTTCCCTGCTTTTCTTAATTTGTCTACCCCCCTCCTCTTGGCTCCATACCTACTCCTTTCAAGCACCTATTTTCTGGAGTTTATTTTGTAGAACTATGACTTTGCCTATTTAAGGAATAACATTATTTGAGTTCTCCCATGAATCTTCAAAATTTTCAGTTAATACATTTGTGTACATTTGAATACCACCCAAGGTATTTACTAATAAACTAATTTTAGCTAATTATTTAACATGAGAGAAAACATGCAATGGTTTATTTTCTTAAAATTAATTCTCTGGCTTGAAAGTATAAAAATTTTTCTAACGATGTTTCTATGAGCACTAAAATCTCTTTGTATACTATCCTCTCTGTCCACAACTCACTCGCATGACTGTAAAGTACTGAATATTACCACATATTATAGTATTTCAAAATTTACAAGTATTCCAAGATCATATCATACCATGAAGTACTTTGAAAATATTGTCAGTTCATCTTTCATACAATAACACAGTTTAATAGAACCGAAGGTCATACAGCTAACAAGAAACAGAACTTAGAGCCAGGTGCCAGCGGCTCACTCCTGTAACCTCAGCTACTTGAAAGACTGAGATCCGAGGGCTGCAGTTTGAAGCCCACAGGAGTAGGAAAGTCTGTGAGACTCTAATAAACTTTAATTTAAAAAAAAAAAAAAAAAAAGACGGAGCTACATGTAGAACACTCTTCAAATTCCTAGTCTGGGGCTTCAGGCAGTCATTATTGTAGTCATTTTATCTATTGTGGACTATATGATATAATACACACTCAGTTATATTCTGAGCCATTTTAGATACCATTCAGATTTCAATAATAAATGCTCTGCAGCCACACAAAGATTCACACACACACACATACACACACACACACATATAATTTATTTAAATTTTATTTTACTTTTGGTGCAGGTCCTAGGGTTGAACTCGGGGCCTGGGTGCCATCCTTGAGCTTCTTGTGCTCAAGGCTAGCACTTGAGGAACAGCTCCACTTCCAGCTTTTTTGGTAGTTTAAGTGGAGATCAGAGTCCTCAGACTGATTGTGGTTTTAAGCTAGTCTATGAAGGAAAGTCCGAGAAATTCTTATCTCCAATTACCACCAGAAAACCAGAAGTAGAGCACTAGCCTGGCAAAAACCCAGGGACAGCACCCAGGCCCTGAGATCAAGTCCAAACATTTAAAAACTTACCTTGCTCTTCAAAACTCATTAGTAAAATAAAGACTAGCAGACCAAGTTCTGGTAGAATAGACTATGATAAACTAGTCTACTCTAAGTCTTAAAAGAAAATAAATCTTAACAGTCAAATTTTTACATTCTCAACTGGGAATTTATGTTATCAGCAAAGTAAACAGAATCATTCTTTTGTTATCATTAGTTAAGCTAAAAGTAACATCTTAAGTATAGGCAGTTGGGGAGACAAAGGAGGAGGCTACAATGCTTGATAAGAAATGTACTCATTATCTTGCCCATGTAATTGTAACCCCTCTGTACAGTATTTTCAATAAAAAAAGAAAAAAGAAAGAAAAAAAGAAGCATAGGCAGTTTTATGAACTTAGAAAAAAATTTTTAGAGTAATACTTTTAATTTCAACATTCTCCAAATTATATTACTGTTGTAGTTTATGCACTTAATGCACAGGATCAATGATTTCAATGAAACCTCACCATGAATTGTTATTGTATGATTGATAACAAGTATTTTATAGGACAGTACTTTTTTCTGAATATCAAAATTTGTTTACACTCATTTAAAACTAGTGTAGCCAATTTTAAACAATTTCACATGCATCATTCAATACTTGCTAATTTTCCTTGTTGAAATGATCAATGACTTTGAAAATTAAGATATCTTTAAAAAAATCATCTCAGAGAAATCATTATGCCTTTAACACATATTATGAAAACTGAGCTAAAAAAACCAACTCTGGTATTCCATTTAGATTTTAGTTTTAGATTGCTCATAGAATATGTTAACCCACACAGTACCATATCAATTAGCAAAAACACTTACAAAAGGCCCATTGAAAAGGAGTGATCTTAAAATGTACATATGGTACATATGGTAAACCCAAGATTCTGACAACCTGATATGCAAGCTGCAGACAGAGAAACTGATGAAAATGTAGTAATTTTGAATTTTAATATAAACCATGTCAGCAACATTTAGAAAAATTCTTGTGTATATTTTGAACAAGACAAAATTTCTGAGGGAGAACATTATAAGGGGTAAAACTGATCAAAATGTGTTGTATTCATAAATCTAACTTTTTGAACTGAAACCCCTTTGTATAACCACTTAAAATTAAAAACAAAATTCCGAGACTTGTTTTTCTTAAGACAAAAATTTCTAGGTTACAAAAAAGTCAATATACAGTAGGTTGTAAAATTTGTAGGAAATAACAAAAACACTTACTTCTAGAGCATTGTGAACTCTTTCTTTACTGGAAGCATTTCTTTTGAAATTATTTGTTAAATTAATCGGTTCAGACCAACAGTTGCAGTCTCCTCCGTACAACAAACAATCATTTGGTAAAAATGTTTCTACCCAAAGTCGACACACATTATCTTTGCAGCAGGTCAATAGTACATTACATACAGAAGCCCTAAGGAGAAAAAGATGTTAGAAGCAAGAACAGACATTGTAAAGAGTATCCTAAATATTCTACAATGTTTTTCTAAATATTTAGGTGCAAAAACTAATTTAACAATGAAGAAAATACATACATATCACAGTAAATATTCCCCACTTTTATAGTAGCTCATTTTAATAATTTAAGATTATTCCCACAAATAAACAACAGAGATCAAACCACAATTTCTCAGTTGATAAGCAAGAAAAAAAAATACATCGTGTAATAAAAAAATTCTGATTTATTCAGAGGATGGCTATTATTTCATATGGGTTCATATTTTACTTTCTGTAAAAACACTGGCACACTGACCCCTAATAAGTGGCAAGGACCACTCCTTGCCTACCTAGGCCAAGGCAATACAGTGCAAGACAAGTGACAATAAAATCAACACTAAACACTTCCTTTCTTAGCCATCTTTAATTTCCACTTCATTTCCTTCTTCAGACCTCCTCAAATTAAATGTACAAATCAATTACATATACATTAACAAACCCCATAAGCATCAGAATTCAACTGTTCAAATCCTATCAACAAAAAGCTTCTACTAGTAACTCAGCAAGTCTGAAAAAGACAAAGAAAAAAGTCACAATATCTTGTAGCCAGCACTAGATTCCACAACATCTACCTGATTTTAAACAATCAGGTTAAGGCTTTATCAGGAAAGTTGGTGAGTTACAGAAAGAAAAATTAAAAAAAAACAAATCAGTGCTTAGAGCATTTGCCAAACATGTACAAGGCCCTGGGTCCAATATCCAAGTGAAAGAAAAAGCCAGGAAAAAGGAAATCTAATATTTTATATTAGATTGATAAAGAAGTCTATCTGATTAAAAAAAAAAAAGTAGTTTTTAACTCCTATGTCCTACATGGGGAGCAGGAAATGTTTCTCTCCCTTTTTCTATTTCTCCCTACTTTAACCCTGTTATACTAAAAGCAAAAGAAAAGAAATGAGAAAACAGCATGTCTGTCTTGGTTCCTTTTCCTTTAAACTTCAAATCAAGAGTTAACCCATGGCATTACCTCATTCCATTTGAAACACATTTTTATATAGGATTTAGAAGGGACCAGAGCAGTAGTAGTCAGTGAAGCTTAAGGTGAAGTTGCCTTTGAAACAGTACAGATTGTCCAGGCAATGATCTTACTTAGCCCAAGGACACATCCTCTTAAAAATATAAACAGTTGCAACAAAAGAAAGGAAAGAAAGAAAAGGAAGGAAGGAAGGAAGGAAGGAAGGAAGGAAGGAAGGAAGGAAGGAAGGAAGGAAGGAAGGAAGGAAGGAAGGAAGGAAGGAAGGAAAAAAGGAAGAAGAGGAAGAAAGAAAGAAAGCAAAGCGAGCAAGCCAGCAAAGTGAGCGAGCCAGCAAGCAAAGCGTGAGAGAGAAAGAGAGAGAGAGAGAGAGAGAGAGAGAGAGAGATGGTCAACGCTTTTGGGATTTGAGGCATGGCTCAGTTGGTAAAGCACCAGCCAATGAGCAAATCATCAAGTTCCAATCTTGGTCCCAGAAGAAAAGAAGGAAAAGAGAAAAAGAAAGAAAAAACAAGAAACATTCTCCTGGAGTGTTGTTCCCTCTTACCTCTATTAAGTTAGGCTAAGTAATGACAGAAATTACTGCACTATAGCCTTAAAAAAAAATCTATATCTATAGAACAAAATAGAGTTAACAAATAATCTAGATACACTACCACAAATCAGCTTAGAATGTCTCAGGTGAAAAAATCGGCAGAATAGTGAAATGGTAAACCTACACGGTGTAACAAGAGTGAAAACTGACATGAGGTCTATTTACTTAAGTAACAGGCCTCTCTAACTTCACACAGACATAGACAAAATTCAGCGTGGTAGTGTCTTTCAAGGACTAAGACAAAGAAAGGAAATATAGCAGTATGCACATATGTGTTTGTGTGGGTTAAACTAACACCTAATTCCATAGAAGATATCATAAGGTATGAACCTACTCTATTCCCTCAGAGATGCTGGGAATAGTCAAATACTTGAGGACTTATACTATATCTTCTGAATAAAGCTATCTTTAAGAAAGGAAACCAGGGCTGGGAAGGTGGCTCAGTGGTAGAGCACTTGCCTTGCATGCCTGAGGCCCTGGGTTCGATTCCTCAGCACCACATAAGAAAAAAGCCAGAAGTGGTGCTGTGGCTCAAGTGGTAGAACGCTAGCCTTGAGCTGAAGAGCTGAGGGACAGCGCCCAGGCCCAGAGTTCAGGCCCCACGACTGGACCTCCCCCCCCCCCCAAAAAAAAGAAAGGAAACCAGAGGAGACACGTACTAGAAATTACCAAATGCAAGAAGGGACAAAAAAAAAGTAGACACAAAACAGAGAAAAAATTGTACACAATTCTGACAAAATATGACATAGAGGTAAGTTGTCATAGTTTGAGTTCAGAGGTACGCAGGTCACAAGGGGCCACATAGTCATTGTCTCTCATCATCCAAGGCTCAGAAGTCTTAAGAGGTTCGGACACAAAGTGAGAAAAGCAAAGTCACAATGAAGATGTTGTCTTAACATACAGAAGGAAATAACCAATCCACTGACCTAGGCATATATTTGCTTGTTTTACGCCAGGAAAATCCATCTACTGCTCGAGGATGAGCCAGATATACAAAAGAAAAGTCAATTTCTCCTTGGGATTGTTTTTCTGAACTTCTATCTGGAGAGGTAACAGCTGTCCGCCAGTTTTCTATATTATACCATACTTTTAAGAGACAGTCATCCTAAGGGAAAACAAAAACAAAAATATCCAGATCAGAATTAAACCTAAAGTCAAACAGCAGGCTGGGCACAATGACGTATGCTTGTAATCCCAGCACTCAGATGATGAAAGTAGGAGGATCAGCCGTTTAAGCCCAGCAGAGGCTACATGGTGAATTCCAGGCCAACTTGGACTATGTGGCAAGACCTGTCTCAAAAAACAAACAACAACAACAAAAAATAAACCAACAAAACTAAAGTCAAATAGCAAAAGTGTGATTCTTCTCAACAGCAAGAAGTTGGGGACAAGAAAAAGGGTTGGGCATAAAAAAATGAGAAGATGTATGATTATGATACTTTTAAATCAGCATTACTGAATTTTGCTTTGAGAATCAAAATGAACGAATATATGTATTTTGTGTTCCAAATACAATATTTGCTAATTAGCACATAGTATGGAAAATACAGTTTTAAGAAAGACTGAAAGATGAAAGAGTTTATTTTCCCTTAAGTCAAATATCAAAGAAGAAAGCCACAACAGCAACAGAGTTATAGAGATATCTAATTCCTGAAAAGGCTATTTTGTGAATTATCATGATTCCTATATAGGAAGATAAGACAAAGGAAGACAAGTACTAGGTACTGCTTTTAAATTATAATTGTAAAGTCAATCAGAATACAGCTTCACCGCTCTCTAGAAAAAATAAACAAATAACAATAAGAAAATCTTGAAGGGTTAGAGTATCTCATACTGTTTGCAGAAGGCTTTGAGTCATGAGAACTCTTAATTTGAGACCACTAAAGGTTCACAAACTGCTCTGTGAACCAATGATTAAAAAGAAAATAATTTCAAGGAATTAAAGTATTCTGAAACCAACAATTATTAACAAGGTATATGAAGTGAAAAATGTTCACAAATGTCTCTGTAGCAAGCTTAGAAAGTCTTACATTTTAAATGCAGCCTTCTACATAGGTCAGCTATAAAGTAATATAAATAGGAGCCACAACTTCTTGGTTACATACTATAGTTGCTTTGTATGTACTGTCTAAATTCACCCAATAATTAGAAATTTATAAGGTAAGTGATATTACCCTAATTTTACATGAGAGCAGAAATAGGCTCAAAGAGACTATTCTGTGACCATGATAAAGCTGATGCAGTTATACCTAGACCAGCCTTTAGGCCTAAGCTATTTTTCCATTATATCATACAGCCTTTAACACTGCAATATCTAGCTGCTCTTTTCTATTTAACATTTTCAGTAGAAAATAATGTTTTCAAGTTCAATAAAAGGATGAAGCTGGCTAATGTAGTTACATTTTTTAAATAAAGTATAAACACATAATTTGACAGTAGTATTTTCACAATTTACCTTCCCAGCAGTGGCAAAAAATTCTCCATCTGGTGAGAATTTCATTAAATGAACTTGTGAAGCAGTTCTGTAAATTAAATAGATAAGGAATGATTTGTAAGAAAAATCAGTTCAAAAATTCAATGGTCTTGAAATTATGCTTAGTAATTTCTTTCGATAGAAAAAAATTGTGATAAGTTTCACAGCCTAGGCTGTCTCTAAACTCCCAGAAGCAAGCTGTCCTCCGGCCTCAGCCTCCCAATGAGCTAGGACTGAAAGTAGGCCGCTCTCAGCTGGTGCTGAGGACTGAATTAACTAAGCACATGCTCTATCACAGAACAACATTCCAGTTCCCAAAGTCCTACACCTATTTTTAAACAGGATCTTCTTATGTAGCTCATGCTGGCCTCAAACTCATGGTCCTCCTGTCTCATACACTGAGAAATACACGTCACCACGCCCGGCCAAGGCCACCCCTCTTTTTTTTTTTTCTGGTCCTGGGGCTTGAACACAGGGCCTAGGCTCTGTTCCTCAGCCTGTATGTACTCAAGACTAGCACTTGAGCCACAGTACCATTCTGACTTTTTCTGTTTATGTGGTACTGAGGAAGTGAACCCAGAGTTCCAAGCATGCTAGGTAAGGACTCTACTACTAAGCCACATTCCCAGCCCACTCCTCACTTTTAGGCAAACTTCTTTAGTGGTTAGCCAGATAAATTTTAAGTATTAAAAAAAAAAACTATTTCCTAAGCCAGGCGCCAGTGGCTCATACCTGTAATCCTGGCTACTAAGGAAGCTGAGATCTGAGGATCAAAGTTCAAAGCCAGCCTGGGCAGGAAAGTCTGTGAAATTCTTATCTCCAATAAACCACACAGAAAACCAGAAGTGGCACTGTGGCTCAAGTGATAGAGCACTAGCGTTGAGCTGAAGAGCTCAGGGACAGCGCCCAGACCCAGAGTTCAAGCCCCATGACTGACCAAAAAAAAAATCTTTACAGCCTTATAGTGCAAGAAAAAAAATTCTTTCATTCTTAAATCTGGAAATGGAATTTCCAGAGCCATGGATCCCTATATTGTAATACCATTTTAAGAGAACAAACTAGTATGAATTTCAGTTTCAACTGGGAAATGTTACGTATCCATTGATAAAGGACTTAGAGCAATCATGTTCTGAACTGGCTACCTTCACCTACCTGCTGGGCATACATTTGCCTTTCCTCTAAAAGGAACATTGGCTCATCACCCTACAATGCCCTCCGTCTCACTGCAGCACATACAGTGATGTCAAAGCACTTCACTGTTACTGCTTTTTCTTTATCCAAGTTCATACTTAGATGAATCTTTACTAAACCTATTAGCAAAACAGGTCAAAGAGGAATGTCATATCATTTCAAATTAATTTTTTTTTCTCTTTGACTTCTTAAAAAATATATATGGTTGGTAGGCACCGGTGGCTTATACCTGTAATCGTCGTTACTCAGGAGACTAAAATCTGAGGATCCTATTTGAAGCCAGCATCAACAGAAAAGCCCACAAGACTCTTAGCTCCTATTAACCACCAAAAAAACCTGGAAGTAGAGCCATGGCTCAAGTGGAAGAGCACTGACCTTAAACATAGCACACAGGCCCTGAGTTCAAGCCCCAGAACTGGCACAAAATAAAAAGTGTGTGTGTGAGAGTGTGTGTGTGTGTGTGTGTGTGTGTGCGTGTGCGTGTGCGTGTGCGTGTGTGTGTGTGTGTGTGTGTGTGTATCTTTTTGGAACATGAGAAATGGTTTAAAAGAAAAGACATATCACAGGCTTTTTAAAAATAAGCTAGGTTTTATACAAATAAAGTATATTTATAAAATAACAAAACTATTATTTTTGGGGGGGGGGGTCCAGTTGTGGAGCCTGACCTCTGGGCCTGGGCGTTGACCCTTAGCTCTTCAGCTCAAGGCTAGCGCTCTACCACTTGAGCCACAGCGCCACTTCCGGTTTTTTTCTTTTTTGCTTATGTGGTGCTGAGGAATCGAACCCAGGGGCTCAGGCATGCAAGGCAAGCACTCTATCACTGAGCCACCTTCCCAGCCCCAAAATAACAAAACTATTATAGAGAACAGGCATATCAGTTTAATCTTCTAATTACTTACTTGCAATGCCAAATGCACCTCCAATCCTCAAAGTTATTATCTGTTCCATCTGGATTTTCATCTTCAGTTTGTTTTGGTAAGTTAGTATTGGACCAGAGTTGCAAACAGCTGGAACCAGTTAACAGACGACTGCCTAAAAACAAAAGAGAAAAAGGATCACCATTATATAGGTATATAACACTAAGTTACATGCTCAAGAGTTTCATATACTATAAAAAGAATATAACTTCACACAAAAACTAAAATAAAAGGGTACTTGGGAAAAAGGAAAAGGCTGCTGAATTTTAGTTTTGTTCAAACAACTTGGAAGCAAAGAGAAACCTCTTTTGTTTTCTCTACTGACATATTCACCACAACCTGATGCATTAATTACATGAGCAGTAAAAACAATAACTCAAGCCAGGCGTTGGTGGCTCACGCCTTTACTCCTAGCTACTCAGGAGGCTGAGATCTGAGGATTGCGGTTCAAAGCCAGCCTGGGCAGAAAAGTCCATGAGACTCTTATCTCCAATAAACCACTAGAGAACCAGAAATGGTGCTGTGGCTCAAGCAGTAGAGTACTCGCCTTGAGCTGAAGAGCTGAGGGACAGTGCCCAGGCCCAGAGTTCAAGCCCCATGACCAACAACAAAAACAACAACAAAAAATAGCCCAACCAATGTTATTTCATTTGTGGTTAATCCTGTTTATTTTCTTACCTGTGGGATCCCAAGTTATATTGTGTGCTATTGATTCCAGAAAAAACTGACCACTTTTCTGCCACTGACTATAAAATTCCTAAAATTAGAAAAAATTAGTCAATTATGATTAACATCTTTTCTGCCAAATATATTTTCATATTTATTATTCTTTTAAAATACTCTTTTTGTAGCTGCTGTTGGTTGTGGGACTTGAACTCAGGGCCTGGGCACTGTCCCTGAGCTCTTTGGCTCAAGGCAAGCACTTTATCACTTTGAGCCCCAGTGCCATTTACAGGTTTCTGGTGGTTAATTGAAGATAAGTCTCATGGGAACTTTTCAGCCTAGAATGGCTTCAAACCATGATCTCAGTCTCCTGAGCAGCTTGGATTATAGGCAACAGACACCAGCACCGGGTTTTTAAAGTATTCTTTTAAAAATATTGTTTTTAAAAAATGACAGGAGGAGCTGGGCACCCGTGGCTAATGCCTGTCATCCTAGCTACTCAGGAGGCTGAGGTCTGAGGATCACGATTCAAAGCCAGCCCGGGCAGGAGCGTCCATAAGACTCTTATTTCCAATAAACCACTCAGAAAACCAGAAGTAGCACTGTGGCTCAAGTGGTAGAGCACTTGCCTTGAGCTGAAGAATTGAAGGACAACGCCCAGGCACAGAGTTTCCAAGCCCCACAACCGGGGGGAAAAAAAAATGACAGTAGGGAAAGAAAACATTTCAAGGCATTTTTTTGGCACAATTTAGTATAATTCAATTCTAATAAAAAGTTGTTTTGGGGTTTTTTTTGTCGATCCTGGGACCTGAACTCTGTCTGGACCTGGGCACGGTCCCTCAGCTCTTCAGCCCAAGGCCAGTGCTCTACCACTTGAGCCACAGTGCTCAATAAAAGTTTTAAATATATTCTGATATGGGAGTTGGATTTAACATGTAGTTTATTTGATTTAATATACTTTAAACAATAAAAAACATTTTAATTCCTAAAAGAAAAATTATAAATTACTGACCAAATTTTTCGTTTGTTTTGGCAGCTTAACTGGTTCAAAGATAGAGATAACATTTCCATAGGATGCTGCAATCTTTTAAAAGAAAATAGAAAAAAATTAGTATGGATTAAAAGAAAAAATGAAGTACTGTAATTTTTAATATATCTGCATACACACAATTTCATTCAATAATGCTCGTGGCTTAGATTCCTACCTTCTGTATCTGGCAAGTTCATCTCTCTAAACCTATATAAAAGTTTCCCTATCTGTGTTTACAATACATACAATACTATCTTAACAGCAGTTGTATTTTGAGGATGTAAAGATTTTTTGGGGGGGAAAGGGGGTCCGGTTGTGGGGCCTGAACTCTGGGCCTGGGCGCTGTCCCTCAGCTCTTCAGCTCAAGGCTAGTGCTTCCACCTTCCCAGCCTGTAAGGAATACTTGTAAGGCACTTAGCATATAGTAAATAACATATAACATGAATAGTAATACTAATTTTTTTCCTTCCAGGAGAAAACTTATCAATGTAATCCTCCTAAATATGTAACTTCATAGCATTCAAACAATGGTTTTTGGGTAGTCTATCCTGAAAGTTCACAGTTCTGTTTCTATATATTAACTTCTAAAAATAATGAAATTTAAATCTATCCCTTTTGTGGATTTCTTGAGTATATTTTCAAACATTTTATTTATTTATTTTTTGAGTCAGTTGTGGGACTTGAACTCTGGGCCTGGAGCACTGTCCCACAGCATTTCAGCTCAAGGCTAGCACTCAACCATTTGAGCTACAGCGCAACTTCCAGTTTTCTGGTGGTTTATTGGAGATAAGAGTCTCATGGACTTTCCTGCCCGGACTGGCTTTGAACCACGATCCTCAGATCTCAATCTCCTGAGTAGCTAGGATTACAGCATGAGCCACCAGTGTCTGGCCCAAATAGTAACTTTTCATGCTAGAAGATTTATTAGAAATTAGGATAGCTATTCTTTAAAAGTAATTAGATTCACACACTCTCATACAATTGTTATTCCTCACACAAAATGTTCTATGCGAGGCCAGGTGTCTTTTGCATACGTGAGGCCTGAGTTTAACCTCAGGCACACACACAAAGTCAAAACTGTATCTACATCCCTAGGGAAAAATGAATTTGCAAAGCTCAATTGAGTCTGGATACTATTGAAACAGGCCTGATAATCTATCATGTGTAGTACTATTACAACCTATATATGCTGCTTACTAGTATGCCTTCCATTCTCGTACGCCACAGATTTGTGACTAAGCTGATCTACAAGAACTATGTATATGCTGTTTCGTGTCCTTTGTTATAGTTATTTTACTTTCAAGTTACAGTTTTACTTTTTTATACAAACAGAAGTCCAGGCAAAGTTTGTATCTTTCTTATAAACTTGGAAATTAATAAAACATCACACATTTTAGAAGACTTTTAGGGACAAACTTTAAAAGTACAGGGAGAAAACTACCTACTTACAAAACAATGACTATGTAAGAATTCATTTTCTGGGGAAAAAAGTTATAAACACATTGAAGACCTAATGTCATTCCTTCTTCTCAATCGAATAATTTTCAAATATGTTAGGTTTGATCTCGGTTTGATTTTACTTTGTTTTTTGTAGTACTAAATAAAATAAGCAGGTTTTAGACTTGAAATTATGTTTCTTAATTCAAAGGTAAAAATTGTGTAACATTTTTAAATTATGTAAGAACAATTCTGAACACACTCCACAATGTATCTTAGCCAAAGCAATTTGTCCTTGACACAAAGCAAGTCTCTAATGGAAAAGGAAGTCCATACTTTACAAATTATCTTGACAAAAACAAATCTGTATATTGCCACAGATTACCAACCTTGCCTTGCTGCACTGAACAGTCAACACACCCCACTTGGATATTTCCGTGTTTCGTTCCTGGGATAATCTGTAATCTTTCAAAATCACTTCCCAGAATTACAATGTCACATCCAGACGCGTAAGCCTACACAAAATAAAGTGATGGAAGTGTTAGGTGGGATACTGGCTTTGAATATAGGGCTCATATATACAGGGTTTTAAACAGCTCACATTTTCTTTAAAAAAAAAAAAAAGAAGAAGAAAAAACCCATTGATTTGAAAGCATTTCCCTTTCTTCCCATAATACAGTCCAACAGCAAATTTTGCCAGCCTGTCTGCAAAACACATACCAACTTACTCTGTCCACTCCCTTGTCTTCACTGAGAGCCACTACCCTTGTCTATGACACCAGCCTTGTGTGGCACAGCTATTAACGATGTCTGTTTCCGTTGTTGTCCCTCTAATTTCAGTGACTTCTGGAAAATGTTTAATGTACCAAGTTATTTTCCTTGCTTAAACCTATTCACTAATTTCCTATTGCAGTTGGAATGAAATCCAAGATTAGCATTCTATAAATCTTTCTCAAGCTATTCCCACTTCCTTTTCTTCCCTCACCTGTCCGCACATTACCCTTCCTTCAGTTCTTTTTTCCATTTCAAGGTAGCTCATCTGACCTTTATCTGTCTATAGTGTTTGCCTAGCTAGCTTATTAATACCCAGGTCTAAGTTCCCTACCATTCTCTATTACTTTCCATCACATTACTTTTTGTTTTGCAGCAGTGTATTATAACTTATAAATATCTGCTCTTATGGTCTATTTAGGTTAAATTCCAAGAGGGTAGGAACAGGTTCATCTCAGCCTCCTATTCCAATAGAGGGGAGTAGAATACAAGTGGTACTCTATAAAATACCTATGGAATAAAGAGATTATTTAATCTCACAATAACAGCCACTATAGCCAAACAAAGGGAATTGTTCAAGACTTGCTGGCAAGTATTTTAAAGCTATTTTCAAATTTAACAACAATGAGCAAAACTCTTCCAACTCAAATTCCATGTGTGTTTTTTTCCATATATTCTTTGGCCACAGATGTTTCTTTCTTTATAAGACATATGGCTGTCCTAATATTTACATATATTACGGGCAGGCTCAGCATAACACCTTGACAGTAATTAACATCTGCCACAACTTTTCCCATCTAAATTCTCAACATTTTTGTTTATATACATTTATGTAAAAGTTATACTTTATACTTTCTCCTTAATTCATATACCAGAGCCAAAATAGCTCTACATAAATTTGAAAATATTATTAGAAAAGGGACTTCAGAAAACATACATATACGTATGTTCATATTGCAGACAAAAAAAAAAATCAAGGCCCAAATAATCTGGTGACTTCTCAGTGAGGGAGCTGACTTGAGAATCCGTGTGTGTGTGTGTGTGTGTGTGTGTGTGTGTGTGTGTGTGTGTGTGTGTGTGTGTGTGTGTGTGTGTGTGTGTGTGTGTGTGTGTGTGTGTGTGTGTGTGTGTGTGTGTGTGTGTGTTTTTCATGCCTCTTTGTGCTCAAGGCTAGCACTCTACCACTTGAGCCACGGCACCACTCCTGGCTTTCTCTTAGTTTACTGGAGGTAAGAGTCTCATGGACTTTCCTGACTGGTCTGCTTTAATCCTCAGATCTCGGCCTCCTGAGTAGCTAGAATTACAGGCGTGAGCCACTGGCACCCAGCTATGTGTTGTTTCTTGACGTAGTGCTATTCCTATGCCTGCCCAATAAAACTCAATTACCTTGAAGCAGTCCTAAAAGGAATTTGGAATAACCTAGCTTGGTTACAACAGTACCTTGTAGTGAACAAAACTGGTGCAGTAAACAAAAAAAGCTGAATAATGGTCTGCTCTCCTTCATAAGTATCTATAAAGGAGTCATAAGGCTTGGGACAAGAATTATCTCCAAAGGTGAATTTATGAGTTGTCTTTCATAAACTCATATCTAGAAATTAATTTTCTTCATATTAACTTTTGATAAAATACTGATTGTCACTGATTCTCCAAATATGTATTAAATTTTGCATGTTTACAGCAGAGTGCTAGGGACTCACCCCTATAATTCTAGTTACTTTGAAGGTTTAAGATTCAGAACGTGGCAGTTCAAAGCTAGCCTAGGCAGAGAAGTTCAATAGCTCTCTTCTTTGTATAGTTGTGCATGAACACGCCTAGCAATAAGCCTAGCAATAAAACTACCGTTAGGTTTTTTACTTAGAAGGAAAGTTGGTAAGACTCTTATCTCTAATAAACCACTCAGAAAACCAGAAGTGGTGCTGTGGCTCAAGTGGTAGAATGTTAGCCTTGAGCTGAAGAGCTGAGGGACAATACCCAGGCCCAGAGCTCAAGCCCCATGACCCACCAAAAAAAAAAAAAAAGTATAATTAGGCATAGTAGCACATGCCTGCAATTTAGCACCTGAAAGACTGAGGCAAGAGGATTTCAGGTTAGAAGCCGGACTGGGCTACATAGTAAGTTCCAGGCCAGCCTGAGTTACATAGCAAATCCCTGCCCAAAGGAAAAGAATGTATTAGTGAATACGTTATTTTCATTCATACGCAATTCATTTTATTTTTGCAGTTGTTAGAAATAAAACTTCGCACATGATAGCAAATCCTGTATCGCTGAGCTACATATACTCCCAGCCCTCTCAGCTCATGTTCAACTTAACATTTTTCTGCTTGTTCTATGGATGTTCCTTCTGTGCTTGCAATTTTATCATGATATAGAATTTCTAAGAAGCTGAACTAGTTTTAACAATCTATTAGAAATACCTATAACAACAAAAACTATAGTTAAACTAAAAGGTGGTTACGTTATAAAAAAGTTTGGGAAGGAGAATGCTTATTCAGTCCTCATTTACCTACCAAGGCCCACATAGCTGAAAAACAAATAATCTTGGCTTAGCGTACCTAGTTTCCTCTAGCTTCTCACTCCATGTTGAATGTAAAATTTATAACAACTAATTGTGAAAAAAATTATGGAAACTTTAATAGATTTTTATTTCTACTTAAATCTAAATTATTAAAGCTAACTCAAGACACAATAAAAAGTACATACTGCAGTAAGACTTCTTTACCACCCTATTTTTCATCAATTCAATCAGTATTTATAAAGCACTTTTTAATGCCAGACTCTACAATGAATAGCAATTTTTACAACAGTTGACATTTTAGAATTTCATGCATACTAAACCATGAACTTATTAATACTTCTCATGTTATACCCAATGTTTCACGTTTTCTTGGTAGAACTGAAAACCAAACTCTGGACCTTGCACCTGCCAGGTAAACGCTGTTCCACTGAGCTAAATATCCAACTCCAAAAATGGTTTTTAGGGGTGACACTGAACTCAAATGCACTGTACTCATAATCTGATTTTTTAAGTTGAAACCCTTTTGTTTACACAACTTAAAAAATTTTTAATTAAAAGGATCATCTTGATCCCATTTTACAGATGAGAAAAAAAGAAATTTAAAGACTGCTAAATAACTTGCTCAGAACAACTAACAGTGAGGCACACACTGGAAAGCAAAGCGACTATGAAGTGTCACCATATCCTCAATCCCTCCTCTAATGCTCAAGATGAAGCCAGGGAAGACACATACATTTGCAAGCTAAGACTGGTTCATGATATGATGTGAGCACAAATAAAGTATAAGAGAGATAGTCACTGTCACTAGATGCTTTCTTACTAAGGGCAATCTAAAACTATAGTAACTTATTTTAGTAACTGCATAGTAAGACATAAAAACTAGAATTCAACTACAGTTTAATTTAAAATTTGTCAGACTTTATGCAAACAACAGGATTCTATCTTTTGTAATATTCCAAAGCAAGAAAGGTTATTTAAAAATGGAAAGAGACATTAACACACACATGACTGTCCTAAGAGAAATCATAAAGCACATGAAATCATTTTCCAAGGAAAACTGCATGAAAATGATCTCACATCTCCACTTATAGTAAGACTGTAACTAAGAGGGATTTGGAATCTTCCCACACTGTCTATTAATTTTTGCTATCTTTCTCTCAAAGAAATAAGAAATGGTGGGGCTGGGAAGGTGGCTCAGTGGTAGAGCGCTTGCCTTGCATGCCTGAGGCCCTGGGTTCGATTCCTCAGCACCACATAAGCAAAAAAAGAAAAAAGCCGGAAGTGGCGCTGTGGCTCAAGTGGTAGAGCGCTAGCCTTGAGCTAAAGAACAGAGGGATAGCACCCAGGCCCAGAGTTCAGGCCCCACGACCGGACTCAAAAAAAAAAAAAAAAAAAGAAAGAAGAAATGGAGCTGGGAATGTGGCTTAGTGGTAGAGTGCTTGCCTTGCATGCACAAAACCCTGGGTTCGATTCCTCAGGACCACATGGACGGAAAAAGCTGGAAATGGTGCGGCGGCTCAAGCGGTAGAGTGCTAGCCTTGAGCAAAAGGAAGCTCAGGGACAGTATCTAGGCCCTGAGTTCAAGCCCCGGGGCTGGCAAAAAAAAAAAAAAACACCTAAAATAATAAGAAATCAAAATCTAGTCTGTGGTGGTAGCTCGGTCTAGCATGCCAACTGGGCTCAATCCCCAGAATAAAATTTTTAAAAAATCAAAAAAGGTTAGCCGGGCGCTGGTGGCTCACGCCTGTAATCCTAGCTACTCAGGAGGCTGAGATCTGAGGATCGCGGTTCAAAGCCAGCCCAGGCAGGAGAGACTGTGAGACTCCTATCTCCAATAAACCACCAGAAAACCAGAAGTGGCGCTGTAACTCAAGTGGTAGAGCGCTCGCCTTGAGCTGAAGAGCTGAGGGACAGCGCCCAGGCCCAGAGTTCAAGCCCCACGACTGACAAAAAAAAAAAAATCAAAAAAGGTTAAAAATAAGTCAATGAGAAACAACAGGTTGACTTTTCAGGTGAGAGAGAAAGAAGGGGAAATTTTTAAAAGCAATACATGTTTCAGGAAACCAAGGACAAGAAATTTTGTAACAGAATTATTAATGTAAAGTTAAACAGTCAGGGAAGGACTGGCTAGAAAGCAAAAAAATATATTTTTTTCTTTTTTTTTTGGATTCCAGTACTGGGACTTGAACTCAGGGCCTCTAGCTCTTGATTAGTTTTTCAAGGTTGGAGCTCTACCACCAGCCAAACCTCCACTTCTGGTTTTCTGTTGGTTAATTAAAGATACAAGTCTCACAGACTGTTCTGCCCAGGCTAGCTTCAAACTAAAATCCTAAAATCTCAGCCTCCTACAGGTGTGAGCCACTAATGCCCAACTCTTGACTAGGTCCTTAAACTACCACTGAAATTGAAGAGATGAGATTTCTTTATACTTGACATGTACATGTATTTTTTTAATTTCCTAACCTATTTAGTGGTATGCTTCCAGAGATTTAAGAGAAATGTGCAGTAAACTTGGAGGGAGGCAAGTGAAACCTGCTTTAGGGAAATTTTTAAACAGAAGCTACATGCTGGTTGAGGCTGACCATGTAATACTGACCTCTCCTTAAAAATAAGATGGAAGGGGCTGGGAAGGTGGCTCAGTGGTAGAGCGCTTGCCTTGCATGCCTGAGGCCCTGGGTTCGATTCCTCAGCACCACATAAGCAGAAAAAGCTGGAAGTGGCGCTGAGGCTCAAGTGGTAGAGCACTTGCTTTGAGCTGAAAAGCTGAGGGACAGCGCCCAGGCCCAGAGTTCAGGCCCCTCGACGGACATGAGGGGGCGGGGGGAGAATGGAAAGAGGGAGAGAAGGAAAGAGGGAGAGAAGGAGAGGGAAGAGGGGAAGAGGAGGAGGGGAGGGGAGGGGAGGGGGGAGGGGGGGAGGGGGGGGAGGGGGGAGATAAGAGAGAGACTACGCTAAGACCCATGGCTCACTCTACCCCAGACTATTTAGGCTAGGTAAACACTAAGAATTAGAATCCTGACAATTACTAGTACCAAGCACAAACTAAGGTATGCATGAGTCAGAAGGCATTCTCTATTTGTAAGCAAAGTGCTTGGTTGGCAAAATTCTCAAAGTACAGTTTAGGCATTCATTAAGTGCCTACACTATGGTTACACACTGAGTATTAATTATTCTGACAAAGGCTTCCCCCAAAAGTCAAAGATAGTGAGATCAGAAATACCAAATTCTGAAATCTGGAGTTCCGTTAGTCTGTTTACATTGTTTCACTCATATAAAATTGAGTCTTGCTTTTAACTACAACTAGAGAGCTAAAAAACACAATCTATATAACAAATATCATTAGCTTTTCAAGTGTTTCAATGTGCTCAGCACTGGTTTGAAAAAAAAGCTAGTTAAGGTTAAAAATAAAAAAGACACTGTGGTGATGAACAGCAAATGTGGGGTCATATTTCTTACAATCAAAATCTGAGGAGACCAAGAAAAGCAAGTCACCTTGGATAAGCCTTAACCTGTAATTACTACTCCACAGCAAGAGGAGTTTTGAACAGTAGTTTGAACAGTATTAAATAAAAGTTTTAAGAACTTCAAGACTGTTAACAACATATGGAATTCCAAGTACCTAGAGTTACTTTCAAGACATCTTTTTTCCTCTCCCAAAGTTATTCCTGTGAGTTTGGAGAACTATAAACCAAAAGGACTGTTTTCACGATACTCTTTACTATGCACTTGTGTTGACAGTGCACTGGCTTTTTAACTACAAACAACTTCAACTTGGAATTCAGGAAAACAATGAAATCCCAACTATTCCTAAGTATTTGTGGGGGAAGGAGGAAGAGGGGGAGACTGCAACTCATTCCTCTGGATACATTACTTTGTCAAACTAAGGTAGACTGCATGCCATTATTTATTATTACTTATTATATAATTCTAAGGATACCCCAGCTTCTGGTTATTATTTCCCCAGAGCCAGTTTTTTCATTTGTCGGTCGTGGGGCTTGAACTCTGGGCCTGGGCGCTGTCCCTCAGCTCTTCAGCTCAAGGCTAGTGCTCTACCACTTGAGCCACAGCGCCACTTCCGGCTTTTTCTGCTTATGTGGTGCTGAAGAATCGAACCCAGGGCCTCATGCATGCAAGGCAAGCACTGTTCCACTAAGCCACCTTCCCAGCCCTCTGATCATTACTATTATTATTTAATCCTAAGGATATCCCAAGTTCTGGTTATTATTTTTATTATTATTATTTAATCCAAAGGACATCCCAGCTTGTGGTTATTATTAATCCTAAGGACATCCCAGCTTCTGGTTATTACTATTATTATTATTATTTAATCCTAAGGACATCCCAGCTTCTGGTTATTATTAATCCTAAGGATATCCCAATTTCTGGTTATTATTTTTATTATAATTTAATCCTAAGGACATCCCAGCTTCCGGTGGCTATGGCTGTTGTTATTATTTAGTCCTAAGGCTAACCCCCCCCCCCTCCGGCCCCGGTTTTCCAGGTCGGCGGGGTCCCCGGGCCCCCGGGCGCCACTCACCGTGAAGCGCTGGTCGCCGACGCTGCCCACGGAGAAGCAGTGGTCGCCGGGGTTCACGGCGCCCGTCAGCACCTGGTGCAGGTTCATGTCGGCGCCTCAGACGCGCGGCGGCCGCCGCGCCGGGCTCATGCCGCGGGGCCGGGGCTCGCGTCCGCCCCGCTCCCGTCAGGGGCCGCGGGGCCGGGGCTCGCGTCCGCCCCGCTCCCGTCAGGGCCCGCGGCTCGCGGGTTCGCGTCCGCCCCGCTCCCGTCAGGGGCCGCGGGGCCGGGGTTCGCGTCCGCCCCGCTCCCGTCAGGGGCCGCGGCTCGCGGGTTCGCGGCCGCCCCTCCGCGCCGCCGGCCGCGGTGACAGGCGCCGAGAGCCGGGGCCGCCCGGCCGCGGTGCTCGCATCCCGGGCCCGGCGGGCCAGGCCGGGGCGGCGGGCGGACCGGCGCACCTGTCACCGCGCGGCCCGGGCTCGGCGTGCCCTCGCCCTCCCGCCGCGGCCGCGCCGCCTCACCGGCCCGCAGGCCGCGCTGCCGCTCGCTTGCCCCGCGACGGCCCCCGACGCCCGGGCCGCGCGCGCTCGCCCGCACCGCACCGCACCGGCCCCCCGAGCCGGCTCCGGTGCCGCCGCCGCCCGCACTGCCCTCCGCCGCCCACTACGCGTCTCCGGGTCCCGTCGGCAGAAACATCGCGAGACTTGCCCAGACGAGCCGAGGCCAGGGGTTCAGTCTTTTACTACTGTACACAAACCCCGCGAGTGGAGCGGGGGCCGCCGCCGCTACCCAGAGACTGGCCAATCCTGAGCTTCGCTCCACTCGGAGCCCCGCCCAACACTGGAGGCTGACCAATCGCCTGGAGGCTGGGGAAGGCCTGCGCCCCGTCCGTTTGGTGAGGAAAGCCCACCCGCCTAGCAAGACTACAGTCCGCCTCGGGCGGGATTGACCGACTTGTGCTGTAGTTCGGGGCTTCATCTGACTGTCGGGCCCGAAAGCGGAAAGGAAGAAAGGTATGACCAGAGAAGCTGCGGATTCCTTGGCCCCACCCCCTGTCGGACTACAAGTCCCAATATGCACCGCTCCGGACGGGGGGGTGCTCTTGGAGACTCAAGTCCACGTGACTCGTGAAGGCTGTCGGCTTGCGCGGTTTCCTGGGGGTGGTGGGGAGCCCCTCTCGGTCGGACTACAAGTCCCGGCGTGCACCGCTTTGCCGGACCCATGCGCCTCCGCGCGACCTGGGCGTCGGTCCGGCGGTTCCGGCCTGGCGCGCTGCTCCACCTGCCGGGGCCGGGGGTGGGTGCGCCGGCTTGGACGCCGGGCGACGCCCGGCCTGGCCGGCCCAGCCTCGGTTTACCCGAACGTCGGTTCGGAAGCCGCCCGCGCGGACTTCCCACGCGAGCTTCCGCGTTACTAGGGACAGATAGTGCGCGTGCGCGTGCGGCCCGCGCCGGCCGGGGGCGCGGGGGGGGGGGGGGGTGTGGGGGGGACGGACAGACTGCGTCCAGTGTCCGGCGCCCCCCCCCCCCCGTGGTGTCGGAGATCGAAGCCAGGCTGGCCCCAGGCCCGCACCTCACTGCTTGGTCCCTTCTGATGCTGACAGGGAAACGGGATGGTGGCCTCAGTGTCCAAGATGAGGAAGGGCTCGGATTCCCCTGGAATGGGGGGGGCCAGCTCAGACTGAAGGGTAATTAGGATGCTGCTTGCTTCCTAGCTCCAAGGGATGTGGAGTTCTCCTAACACCGGGACACCTGCAAACCAAGAGCCTTCTGTGAGGAAACACGTAGCTCCAGAGCACTGTGGTTCAAGAACATAGCGAGGTGAACAAGGCCCTGGGTCCCAGCCATCACTTACACGTTAGTACAAAGAAAAATTAACCGCACGCTTCAAAATTCAGCGGCTGCCGCCACGCACACTCAGGAGTTGGGGGGGGGGGGGGCTAAAGTCAGGAGTTGTTCCTTACACACCCCTTCCCCACGGTAATCACAGTTTTATCTCATTCCACCCATCCACACTTTAAGGGTTTCTTATTTTGTAAATAATGAAATGTGAAGTCCCAGAGACTGAATTCTGCACCCAAGGTCACAGGCAAGCCGGATCACTGGGCCACCCAATGGGAGGCCTGGGATGCGGAGCTCTTCTGCTGCAAATGAGCCCCAGCAGGAGAGCCAGATCTGCTCACAGGCCGGTTGGCTGTTTAAGCATCATTAGAAAACATGGATTGAAAATGTATTAATTGCCTGCTAGTTCCAGGCACCCCTTAATGTGTTGTCCCTCCTTTTTGTGTAGTCTTTGCTTTTGAGGCAGGGTCTGGCTAAGTAGCCAGGGTTGGCATTGAACTCACCATGTGGTCCAGGCTGACCTTGTCCTCACCAACCTCCTGACTCTGTGTCCCAAGTGCAGGGATTACAGGCAGGTGGCACCACACCTGGCATAGTATATTTTTCCTTCTATCCAACCCAGCCTGTCTGTGTGATTATCTGTCATCAGCCGCTTCTCTGAACACTCCAGCCACTCAGGCCTAGCAGTAACATAAGCAGCTCTGGTCTTCCTAAGCACCGAAGCTGTGCTTCCACATACGCCCCAGTGAGGTCCCGCTGAGCGGTATCCAGATACTAGAAAAGTTTGAGGGTTACCATGAGGTCACACATACAGGTTGTGTCTCTTCTCATACCTACCGAAGCTTGGTATTTCTGGGGACATGGCACCAAGTGTAACTGTGAAAGAGCACATGAAGCATGAAGGAGTTTTGTTCAGCTGCAGCTAATTGAGGATAGCTACTTCCAGTTTCCCCTAGCTGAAAGGGCGGCAAGCTTGGGGAGATAATCTCACGGTGGCCACCACTCTGAGAGTTCTCTTTGCTTAATTAGCACCCCAAACCCTAAAGGAAAGCTTCCTTAAGTAATTGGGATGGTAACTACTAAATAATCCTCATTTAGATTTATAGAGTCCTTCAAGATGTGTAACACCCTTCCTTCCTGGCGCATCAACCGGCACAAAGCACTTAAACGGATGTGATGTGCACTGACAGAAAGATGGTGTGGAGACTTGTGGGAATGCAGGCCACACGTGCAGTAGTGCCTCCAGCTCCAACTGGGAGGCAGAGGCAAGACGGTCATAAGTTTAAGTCTGTCTCCCAAAACCTGCAAATAAAAGAGCTGGTGCACATGGCTTACATCTGTGTTCAAGCTGTAGTATCACCAGAGAGACAGAGACAGAGATAGAGACACACACACACACACACACACACACACACACAGCCAGAGAGCGACAGAGACAGAGAAGGGAGGGAGGGAGGAAGCAAGCAAGCAAGCTACCCGCTTTCTGGTAAGTTGACAGACAGACTTGGGTCTGGTATAGAATGAAGTACTAGAATGGTATATTCTGTCAGCAAAGAAATCAGAATTTCCATGCAGGGGAAAAAATGTTTATACCTAACTAGGTTACTGCACAGAAAATGTATCAGGAACTATGCCCACACTCACTAATGCATTATGGAGTGCCAGAGAGACGGAACATAAAATTCTCCAGCGAAAGAAGCAGCCTCTTTGCCAAGTCCAGAGCGAGTGCCTCCAGCCCATCTTCTCTTAGTCAGCGTCACTTGAGGGGCGCTTTTAGTTGTGTCACTGCGCGGAGGCCACCTTTGCATAGATAGAAGAGCGGGCCTGGCTCACACACTCTGTCCTCCAACATCGTAGGGGCTGAGAGTGTAGTTCAGTGGTAAACTGCTTTGCCTGCCTACCAAAGGCTCTGGGTTCGATTCCTAACACTGCAAATAAATAGATAAATTACCACACAATTTTCTTTTTAGCCCACAAACTTTGTCGGTAATATTCAAGTTAGGGAAGGAAGGAAACCTCACCTCATTAGCTATTGCGGGTTTGGATATGGAATGTCCTCCAGAAGCTTACATACTAAAGGCTCTGTCCCCAGTACAGCAGTGTTCAGAGGTGAACACTGGGAAGTGATTGATTGGATCTGGAGGGCTCTGACCTCATCAATGAATTAATTGATAAATAGAGTCATAGCTGGGCTGGGAAGGTGGCTCAGTGGTAGTGCGCTTGCCTTGCATGCCTGAGGCCCTGAGGTTCGAGTCCTCAGCACCACATAAGCAAAAAGAAAAAAAGCCAGAAGTGGCGCTGTGGCTCAAGTGGTAGAGCGCTAGCCTTGAGCTGAAGAGCTGAGGGACAGCGCCCAGGCCCAGAGTTCAAGCCCCACGACCGGACTCCCCCCCCCCCCAAAAAAATAGAGTCATAGCGTGTTGGGTTATTGGGAGATGATGGAAATTTAGGAGGTGAGACAGGTAAAAGAACTGGGCCTCTCCCCCTCCCTCCTCCTCTCCCCCTCCCCCTCCCCCCTCCTCTCCCCCCTCTTCCCTTTCCTGCCCCTATCCCTTCCCCTCCTCCCCTTCTACCTCCTCCTCCTCCTCCTCCTCTCTCATCTTGTGCAGAATCTCTTTGCTTCCTGGTTTCTATGAGATAAGTACTCTCCTTCATCACGTTACATTTCTTAACCTCTTACATAATTATGCATATGAATACTCTGTCAGATGACTAACTAGCAACTACTGTGCCTTTGCTGGGCAGGTTTTTTGTTTGTTTGTTTGTTTTTTAGTTTAATATAATCCCACATACTGTTGTTTTAAATTTTGTTCGTTGTGCTTTTGGGATTGTATCCAGAAAACTATTGCCCATACCAACAACAATCAGTGTTTACCCTGTGTTTTCCTCTAATAATTTCAGAATGTCAGATCTAACATTAACATTTTTGATCCAGTTTGAGTTGACTTTGAGAGACTGGGTTCAGACGGCCGTCTCCAGCATGTAGACATTGCGTTTCTCAGCAGCATTTTTTTTTTTGGGGGGGGGGTAGGGATCTAGTCATGGGGCCTGAACTCTGGGTCTGGGCGCTGTCCCTCAGCTCTTCAGCTCAAGGCTAGCACTCTACCACGTGAGCCACAGCACCACTTCCGGCTTTTTTCTTTTTTCTTATGTGGTGCTGAGGAATCGAACCCAGGGCCTCATGCATGCAAGGCAAGTGCTCTACCACTGAGCCACCTTCCCAGCCCCCTCTCAGCAGCATTTGTAAGAGAGAGGCTGTCCTTTCCTGCCTGCTTGTCGCCTCTTTGTCAAGAGCCAGCTGGCAGAAGGTATGTGGATTTACTGGGCTCTCTGTCCCGTTGGTCTGTGTGTTGGTATTTAATGTCCAAAGTGATATTCTTGCCTTGTTTCTTACATTCTGAAGTTTCTCTTTTCTCCTCATGTTGTTATTTTATCCTCTCATCTTTGACATTATAACCGAATTTGTATCATTACAGAGGAAATGTGGGGTTTTTTCCTTTCTTTTTGTGGATCTAGGCTTTCTTCTTTCCTGCATTTTGCATGCTACATTTCTTCTCCTTTTCCTCTTTGACGCTTTTGTCCCCCTTGTGGTTCTGGGTTTGAATTCAGGACCTCATGCTTGCTCTACACCACTTCGGCCATGTCCGCCCCCCCCCCCCCAACACTTTGTATTTTATATATTTCTTGGGATAGGGTCTGCACTTTTTCCAGTAGAGCATCATTAACACTTCTTCTCCACGTGTCTAGGCCATCTGACTGGTATGTGGGCTGCTGGACTTGCTGGTCACGTACCAGTTTGGGGATTCCATAAGATTTATGAAATCTGTTACATCCATTGTAATCATTCCCAGGTGTGTGATCCTCTTTCCATGAGAACTGACACTGAAAGTGGAAGCATCCCTCCACTGCCCTGTAGACTCCAAGGCCTGCACACCAGCAAGTGAACGTCAACACAGGGCGTGGCTCTTCTCATCCACGTCTCTGACATAGCTTCTCACATCACACACACACACACACACACACACACACACACGCACACACACACCCGTGCACGCGCGCCACACACACACACACACACACACACACACACTTAGTAGTCTCCCTAGAGGAGATTTTTAATCCTTACAAAAAGATATAGAATTACTTAGAAGGTTTCTCTTAAGAGAGTAAAGATGGAGACTGGCCTCTGGATGAGAGAATTCTTCATCTAAGAGCACACCCCACCACACTGCAAACTGTGTCCTGGAAGAAGAAAACAACAAAGAAAATCAATAGGCTCTGGATCCAGACAGAAGAAACTGAAGAAAATTACTAGGCTCTGCGTATTTTGCCCACCAGAAAGGATGCAGTCCTGCAGCCAGGCCCTGGAGCTGACCTGGACAGTGAGGGCTCTTGAATAGGAGGAGACGCAGTACCTCTCTTCTAGCTTTTACAAAATCTTTTTTTTAGGAACGAGAAAGTTTTAAAACTGTCTGACTGCCTGACAGGAAGCACTGCCGACCAGAGTGATAGCTAGGTGACTGGGGTGAAGGACAACTGTGTGTAAGGCTTCCTTCCCAGTAGTGGCTGTAGCCCACCATCCCAAGGAGGCTGACTCGTTGGCATCCCTGACCTTGATTGCTACTTTGGAAGCCGCATGGGCTTTCTAAACGTGCCAAGTCCTGCTGCTCTGTCTAGTCAACAGTCTTGCCTAACCCAAACCCCTTGTTGTCTGACCACACTGCTCAGTGAACACATTGATGTCACACTTAACTGCCTGTGCCTGTTTTGAGGAGAGCTTAGGTCAGAACCAGCTCCTGAGATAAGGATGTAGCACAGTGGTAAAGTGCCTTGTCTGGCAGGCATGAGCTTCTGCTTAGCACCAGACAAAAAGAGAATGAAGATTTTCAATGGTGTAAACCCCAAGGAGATAGAGAATCATGTCCAGAGGAGTCAGAATTAGAAATGGCACACATAGAAGTAGAAGTTGTGGGTAAAGAAGATGGAGGTGGGGTAAGAAAGATAAGTCTTCATCTTTTTTTTCCAAAGTAGGATGCAAATTCTTTTTTCAAAGAATTGTATGGGGGAGGGGGGGAGGGGGGAAGAGGTGGGAAGGGATGGGAAGGGGAAATAAAGGAGGAGGCAACAATGCTTGATAAGAAATGTACTCATTACCTTGCCCATGTAATTGTAACCCCTCTGTACAGTATTTTCACAATTAAAAAGAATTGTACAGTATGTGAAGTATATCTCAATAAGGTTGTTTTTTTTTGGGGTGTGTGTGTGTGTGTGTGTGTGTATAGTACCAGTCCTGGGGCTTGAACTCAGGGCCTGGACACTGTCCCTGAGCTTTTTGGCTGAAGGCTAGCACCCAACACATGAGCCACAGCTCCACTTACAGGGTTTTTGGTAGTTAATTGGAGATGAGTCTTGTGGACTTTACTACACAAGCTGGCTTTAAACCACGTTCCTCAGAATCTTAGGCACCTGATAGCTGAGATTACAGGCGTGAGCCACCTGTGCTCAGCAAGATTGGTGTGCATGCGTGTGTATGTGTGTGTGTTAAAGTAGTGAATGTAAGAAATGGAATTGTAAAAGTACTGAGTCTAAAAGTTACATTCATATTAGCATGGCAGTTCCAAGCTATGAACCCTTGGATATTTCTAAATAGTAACATTCTCATTTTCTACTTTTATTTTTATCAGTCAGAAAAAAAAAAAATCTTTTTAGGAAGCTACCAAGAAACTTCCTCTTCTCTCTCAGTGGTTAGCCCCTCACGGAGAGCTCCTGGCTTCCAGGGAGCTGGGGACTAAGTGCTGTGTTTACCTTTCTAGAGAAAGAAGCAAGCATTGGAAATAGCTGTTGGGTAGGCAAGCAAATGCCTGCAACATTGTTCCCAGGAAAGAGTACAATAAACCAAGAAATAACAGCTGGACATAAGCACACTTGAAGTCTCAGCTACTCAGGAATATAAGGTAGAAGAATCATTTAAGTCCATGTATTTGAGACTTGCCTGGGTAACATAGCAAGACTCCATCTTGAGAGAGAGGGAGAGGGAGAGGGAGATTGAGAGGGGAGAGAAAGAGAAAGGAAAAGAAAGAGAAGAAAGAGAAAGGAAGGAAGGAAGGAAGAAAAAGAAAGAAAGAAAGAAAAGCAAGAAAGAAAGAGGACGGAGGGAGGGAGGGAGGGAAGGAGGAAAGGAAGGAAGGGAGGAAGGGAAGGAGGGAAGGAAGGAAGGAAATTCTCTTAGCTTGACAAAAGAGCAGTCCTCAAACTTGAGGTCTCAAACTTGAGCAGACTTCAATTAAACTCAAAGCTTAAGAAAAAAAACAAACCAGGCTGGGAAGGTGGCTCAGTGGTAGAGCGCTTGCCTTGCATGCTCAAGGCCCTGGGTTCGATTCCTTAGCACCACATAAGTAAAAAACCGGAAGTGGCCCTGTGGCTCAAGTGGTAGAGCGCTAGCCTTGAGCTGAAGAGTTGAGGGACAGCGCCCAAACTGAATAGTTGAGGGACAGCGCCCAAGCCCAGAGTTCAGGCCCCACGACCGGACCCAAAAAAAGAAAAAACAAACCCTGAAGATTTAGACTTGAGATGTGATCAGCACTCCTGGATAGCAAACAAACCTTCACCAACAAAAACATGAATGTAGTTGTGAAAATAAATCTCCTCCACCTCCTCCTTCCTGTTGCTCCTTTCTCCTCTACCTGGCCCCCAAGCAGAAAAAAAAAAAAAAAGCCCAAATGGAAGAACTTAAGTAGAGCTTCTTAAGTTCAACAACAGTGTTAACATTTACAAGATAGTAAATATGTGTTCTGGTTAGCCAGGGAATTTGAAGTGCTCTGAAGACAAACAGGATTCTTGACCTTAGGAGGGGTCCAATTAAGAATCTCTATGTAGGGGCTGGGAAGGTGGCTCAGTGGTAGAGCACTTGGCTTGCATGCATGAGGCCCTGGGTTCAATTCCTCAGCACCACATAAGCAAAAAGAAAAAAAAAACGCTGGAAGTGGCGCTGTGGCTCAAGTGGTAGAGCGCTAGCCTTGAGCTGAAGAGCTGAGGGTCAGCGCCCAGGCCCAGAGTTCAGGCCCCACGACCGGACCCCCCCCCAAAAAAAAAAAGTATATATATAATAAAGAGAGGTAGTTGTGTGTGTGTGTGTGTGTGTGTGTGTGTGTGTGTGTGTGTGTGTGTGTGTGTGTGTGTTTGCCTATTTGTAGAGTGCCTCCTTAGCATGTACAGGGAAGTGGCTTTTAAAAAATAGTTAATAATTAATGAGTTTGGAGTTGCCTACTATTTCTTTTTCTTTTCTTTTCTTTTGTTTGTTTGTTTGTTTTTGGGGTCCAGTTGTGGGGCCTGAACTCTGGGCCTGGGTACTGTCCCTCAGCTCTTCAGCTCAAGACTAGAGCTCTACCACTTGAGCCACAGCGCCACTTCTGGCTTTTTTCATTTTGCTTATGTGGTGCTGAGGAATCAAACCCAGGGCCTCAGGCATGCAAGGCAAGCGCTCTACCACTGAGCCATCTTCCCAGCCCTCTTTTCGTTTTTTTTTTGTTGGTCATTGGGCCTGGGCGCTGTCTCTCAGCTCTTAAGCTCAAGGTGAGCACTCTACCATTTGAGCCAAAGCACCACTTCTGGCTTTTTCTGCTTATGTGGTGCTGAGGAATCGAACCCAGAACTCATGCATGCAAGGCAAGCACTCTACTGCCAAGCCACCTTCCCAGCCCAAGTAGCCTAATGTTTCTTAAGGATGAAACTTTTATAAAATCAGGAGTGCAGGAGCTGGGAATACAACGCATAAACTCAACACTCAGCCCCAGGAAAAAAATAATAATAAAGTAGGAGTGCAGACAAAATGCTAACAGAAACGCTGCGGCACTCATCAAAGAAGAGTTTTGTACTTGTAGAGTTTGAAGAATCTGTTGTCTAACGCCAGCATTGGCAGAGCCACACAACCTCGCTGGGTGTAAAGAAGAAAACGAAGTGAGTTGGAGGGAAGGAAACGGGAGACCCAAAGGTAAAAGTGGACCAAGGGGAATGTCAGGGCTTCTCGGGCAAATCAAACCGCAGAAGCGAAGGCAACTCCAGCAAAGTTCACTGAACAGACCAGCCAGGACAGGCCCTGCAGACTCCCTGTGTGGTTGGAGCTGGTGGCAGATGACAATAAGAGAGGATTTGTATTGTGGAAAATGTCTGGACCTTAGTCCCTGCCTCAAATAGAGACATTGAGAGGAAAACAAGTGATCTGATACACATTTTAAGTCTTTTAGCAGTCAATAGGATGCCTCATTTGGAAATATGCTGGCTTTTCAAAAAAAAAATTCTGACTTTTTACCTTGACAGGATCAATTCTATTAATACACTTTCTCTCACCATAACCTAGTTGCTGAAAGTTTTTAGAAACCGCACTTTGGATGAGAAAGAACTCTTGTTAGATAGGCCTAGTTCTAACCAGATCTCATGCAAGTGGAAAATCAGTTGTGTTCTGAAACTCAGAATATTTCTAGAGATGGCCTGACTTCTTTCAACTTGAACACAAACATCCATTGATTAGCTAGGTGTCTCTATGGCTGAACATCGGTGCCTGAAATATCTTTTCATAACCTAAACCACAGTCCACGCTCTCATCTCTAGACTAATGATTGTCAGGTAGCATTCTTGTTAGTAAATACAGTAGATGGAGAGAAGTAAACCAGTAGAAACAATTCAATACCCTTAACATTGTTGCTACTAAGTAATATGTGTATAAATCACACAAACAAGAACAGCCGTATAAACAGTATAAACATAGCCATTTCAGAACATAAGCAATGGACAACCGGTGAGAGTAACATGATATCCACACTACAAGCTTTCTTTTCTTTTCTTTCTTTGACTCCTGGCTTAGAGAGCTCAGCAAATAACTAACCATACATCCTTGTTCAAGGGTCGTGGCCCATTGCCGCTATTTATTTTATCTCAGATAAGGAGACTATTTTACACGTGCATTCCCATTCTATAGAGTTTAGACGGAAGTGAATTCCTAGAAAGTCTCTGGAGTCA